TGTTTCCTTTGTACATCACCGGTTTGAAAGGTCTCTTAAAAATCTTTGACGAATTTCTTACGGATCTCTAAAAGAATTTTTTTGAAGGGTCTTTAAAGAAAGCATCTGAAAAATATCTCGAAGAATTCTTAAAAAGCTCTTTTGGGGGTCTCCTAAAAATTCAAAAAAACCTAAAAAAACGTTTTGAAAAATTCTTCTAACAGCGATATTTAAAAGGACCCTTGACGCATATTTTGAGGAATTTCCCCCCAGGTAAATGAAATAGTCAATCTTTATTTACCTACACAAACTGACATAAAGACTTTCGTTCACTGGGGGGTATTCCAGACCCCCCGGTGATACGTTCACCATCAAAACGTTCAACCCTAAGACTATTTCGAAAAATTATGGTGTAATTGCTAAGGGTACGCAATATTTTGGGGAAGAATGTAGAACCGGGGGGTTTGGGGGGTATGGAATACCCCCCAGGTAAATGAAATAGTCAATCTTTATTTACCTACACAAACTGGCATAAAGATTTTCGTTCACTGAGGGGTATTCCATAGTCCCCAGACCCCCCGTGATACGTTCACCAGCAAAACGTTCAACCCTAAGACTCTTTCGAAAAATTATGGTGTAATTGGTAAGGGTACGAAATATTTTGGGGAAGAATGTAGAACCGGAGGTAAATGAAATAGTCAATCTTTATTTACCTACACAAACTGACATAAAGATTTTCGTTCACTGAGGGGTATTCCATACCCCCCAGACCCTCCGTGATACGTTCACCATCAAAACGTTCAACCCTAAGACTATTTCGAAAAATTATGGTGTAATTGCTAAGGGTACGAAATATTTTGGGGAAGAATGTAGAACCGGGGGGTCTGGGGGGTATGGAATATCCCCCAGGTAAATGAAATAGTCAATCTTTATTTACCTTCACCAACTGACATAAAGATTTTCGTTCACTGGGGGGTATTCCATACCCCACAGACCCCCCGGTGATACGTTCACCATCAAAACATTCAATCCTAAGACTTTCGAAAAATTCTTGTGTAATTGCTAAGGGTACGAAATAATTTGGGGTAGAATGTAGAACCGGGGGGTCTGGGGGGTATGGAATACCCCCCAGGTAAATGAAATAGTCAATCTTTATTTACCTACACCAACTGACAAAGATTTTCGTGCACTGGGGGGTATTCCATACCCCCCAGACCCCCCGGTGATACGTTCAGCATCAAAACATTCAATCCTAAGACTTTCGAAAAATTCTTGTGTAATTGCTAACGGTACGAAATATTTTGGGGAAGAAAGTAGAACCGGGGGGTCTGGGGGGTATGGAATACCCCCCAGGTAAATAAAATAGTCAATCTTTATTTACCTACACAAACTGACATAAAGACTTTCGTTCACTGGGGGGTATTCCAAACCCCCCAGACCCCCCGGTTATACGTTCACCATCAAAACATTCAATCCTAAGACTTTCGAAAAATTCTTGTGTAATTGCTAAGGGTACGAAATATTTTGGGGAAGAAAGTAGAACCGGGGGGTATGGAATACCTCCCAGGTAAATAAAATAGTCAATCTTTATTTACCTACACAAACTGACATAAAGACTTTCGTTCACTGGGGGGTATTCCATACCCCCCAGAGATACGTTCACCACCAAAACGTTCAACCCTAAGACTCTTTCGAAAAATTTTTGTGTAATTGCTAAAGGTACGAAATATTTTGGGGAAGAAAGTAGAACCGGGGGGTCTGGGGGGTATGAAATATCCCCCAGGTAAATGAAATAGTCAATCTTTATTTATCTACACCAACTGACATAAAGATTTTCGTTCACTGGGGGGTATTATATACTCCCCATACTCCCCGGTGATACGTTCACCATCAAAACATTCAACCCTAAGACTCTTTCGAAAAATTTTTGTGTAATTGCTAAAGGTACGAAATATTTTGGGGAAGAAAGTAGAACCGGGGGGTCTGGGGGATATGGAATACCCCCCAGGTAAATAAAATAGTCAATCTTTATTTACCTACACAAACTGACATAAAGACTTTCGTTCACTGGGGGGTATTCCACACCCCCCAGACCCCCCGGTGATACGTTCACCATCAAAACATTCAATCCTAAGACTTTCGAAAAATTCTTGTGTAATTGCTAAGGGTACGAAATATTTTGGGGAAGAATGTAGAACCGGGGGGTCTGGAATACCCCCCAGGTAAATGAAATAGTCAATCTTTATTTACCTACACAAACTGGCATAAAGATTTTCGTTCACTGAGGGGTATTCCATACCCCCCAGACCCCCCGTGATACGTTCACCAGCAAAACGTTCAACCCTAAGACTCTTTCGAAAAATTATGGTGTAATTGCTAAGGGTACGAAATATTTTGGGGAAGAATGTAGAACCGGGGGGTCTGGGGGGTATGGAATACCCCCCAGGTAAATGAAATAGTCAATCTTTATTTACCTACACAAACTGGCATAAAGACTTTCGTTCACTGGGGGGTATTCCATACCACCCAGACCCCCCGGTGATACGTTCACCATCAAGACATTCAATCCTAAGACTTTCGAAAATTTCTTGTGTAATTGCTAAGGGTATGAAATATTTTGGGGAAGAAAGTAGAACCGGGGGGTCTGGGGGGTATGGAATACCCCCCAGGTAAATAAAATAGTCAATCTTTATTTACCTACACAAACTGACATAAAGACTTTCGTTCACTGGGGGGTATTCCAGACCCCCCGGTGATACGTTCACCATCAAAACGTTCAACCCTAAGACTATTTCGAAAAATTATGGTGTAATTGCTAAGGGTACGAAATATTTTGGGGAAGAATGCAGAACCGGGGGGTCTGGGGGTATGGAATACCCCCCAGGTAAATGAAATAGTCAATCTTTATTTACCTACACAAACTGGCATAAAGACTTTCGTTCACTGGGGGGTCTTCCATACCCCCCAGACCCCCGGTGATACGTTCACCAGCAAAACGTTCAACCCTAAGACTCTTTCGAAAAATTATGGTGTAATTGCTAAGGGTACGAAATATTTTGGGGAAGAATGTAGAACCGGAGGTAAATGAAATAGTCAATCTTTATTTACCTACACAAACTGACATAAAGATTTTCGTTCACTGAGGGGTATTCCATACCCCCCAGACCCTCCGTGATACGTTCACCATCAAAACGTTCAACCCTAAGACTTTTTCGAAGAATTATGGTGTAATGGCTAAGGGTACGAAATATTTTGGGGAAGAATGCAGAACCGGGGGGTCTGGCCAATACCCCCCAGGTAAATGAAATAGTCAATCTTTATTTACCTACACAAACTGGCATAAAGACTTTCGTTCACTGGGGGGTCTTCCATACCCCCCAGACCCCCCGTGATACGTTCAACACCAAAACGTTCAACCCTAAGACTTTTCGAAAAATTATGGTGTAATTGCTAAGGGTACGAAATATTTTGGGGAAGAATGCAGAACCGGGGGGTCTGGGGGGTATGGAATACCCCCCAGGTAAATGAAATAGTCAATCTTTATTTACCTACACAAACTGGCATAAAGACTTTCGTTCACTGGGGGGTATTCCATACCCCCCAGACCCCCCGGTGATACGTTCACCACCAAAACGTTCAACCCTAAGACTCTTTGGAAAAATTATGGTGTAATTGCTAAGGGTACGAAATATTTTGGGGAAGAATGTAGAACCGGGGAGTCTGGGGGGTATTCGATACCCCCCAGGTAAATGAAATAGTCAATCTTTATTTACCTACACCAACTGACAAAGATTTTCGTGCACTGGGGGGTATGGCACTGGGGGGTATTCCATACCCCCCAGACCCCCCGGTGATACGTTCACCATCAAAACATTCAATCCTAAGACTTTCGAAAAATTCTTGTGTTATTGCTAAGGGTACGAAATAATTTGGGGAAGAATGTAGAACCGGGGGGTGGGGGGGGGTATCGAATACCCCCCAGGTAAATGAAATAGTCAATCTTTATTTACCTACACCAACTGACAAAGATTTTCGTGCACTGGGGGGTATTCCATACCCCCCAGACCCCCCGGTGATACGTTCACCATCAAAACATTCAATCCTAAGACTTTCGAAAAATTCTTGTGTTATTGCTAAGGGTACGAAATATTTTGGGGAAGAATGTAGAACCGGAGGGTCTGGAATACCCCCCAGGTAAATGAAATAGTCAATCTTTATTTACCTACACAAACTGACATAAAAACTTTCGTTCACTGGAGGGTGCTCCATACCCTTGAGGAACAAAAAGCGGGTAATTTCATGTCAACTCGTTTCGAGACGGTTGGAGCACTTGGTACTCAAACTACGAAGCTCTCCTATTTCGTTAGTCGAATTTTGCACTCCCAGTACTGAGATTGAGATGGGGAGGTTAGGCAATTTTTGAAAATTTGCAAATTTCCAAAAAGCCTATAATTCGTAAAAAATTAAAAAAAAGAACGTAAAGCCTGTTTTGAAGAATCCTTTGAGTAACATGTCTGTAAAAATCTCTTAAGATATCTTTCGAAGGATCTCTCAACACATGTCTCGGAATATTCTGAGATGTATCTTGGTAAATTTCTTGAGGAATGGGTTAAAGAAATTTCTTTAAAGAACCTATTGTGTTACGTAACCGTAATGTAACGATGTTATCTCTTTAAATAATCACTCTGTATGATTAGAATAAGTGCAAAAAAGGTGTAAACTACTCAGACAATCTCAAAGTCTTTTCCAACTGAGTTACGTAACAATGTAACATAAATGTTACATCGCAATGTATTGTCTTGGAGGACGTTATTGGCGTGACAAAAATAGATGAAGCAGTTCTGTACTTCCCAATTGCAGTCATAATAAGCGTACGCTTTGTGACAGAAATAGAGTCGACACTCACATACGTCTATTATGAAACAATATGCATTTGCCAAGCGCTCCAAGTATTTCAAATGTAACGCAAAATATTATGAAAAATTGTATAATTTATTTATAACTTTATCTACGCCTATGGTATTCCCATGATAGTTTAGAAACGAACTTTGATCCGCACACGTTTTAAGATGGCCTCGTCGACCGAATTTAATAATATCGACGAGATTTTGGGCAAATTGTCCTTAGACGACCAGGCGAAGATAAAAGGGGTGCTCTATGGAAAGGGGTGCAGGTAAAAGGCGGCGAGGGGTTGTTCGCGTTGTAAGTCTGTGGTCCCCCCAGGATAATCGAGCTCCCGGGCGAAGTGCGCGATGTAGCCGAAAGGGCCGGAATGGAAATCGCGGGGTATGGTTTTCCGGGGAAAAAGGAGCAGGTACGTCCTCCGCGTGTGGTGCGAGTGGGCGCCTTTCAAAACAAGCTCCCGATGGCGACGACGGCCCCGATCGCCGAGCAGCGTTCCGCCCTGTTCCAAATGGCGAAGGTCGCGATCGCAGTTGCATCTAAGGCGGAAGTGAACGTCTTCTGCTTCCAAGAGGCTTGGAGTAAGTTGAGCAACTCCTTCGCTATATTTACCCAAAATTGTTGGCAAGGCGCATTTGGGCCTTTTCCAAAAGGTATGTGAAGGTGAATATTGTGAAACGTTATTGCAGATATGCCTTTCGCGTTTTGCACGAGGGAAAAGGAGCCCTGGTGCGAGTACGCCGAGTCGGCGGAGGAGGGACCGACGACCAAGTTTTTGCAAACGGTAAGATCCGCACACGCCTGGTGGAGGTTCGGCGTTCTAACTCAATTGGAAAGCAATGGATACGACCTCGAGATTCATTAAACGAAATTGGGCGAGCACGTGGTCATTATTTCATTACATAATTTGCGATGATGACGTAACGGTAACGAGCCCATTTTTTCGCTCGCCGTCCCCGTCACTTTCTGACGCTCGCTTGATCAAATAAACGCAGATTTTTTGTTCGTGCCACTTAAAGTCAATCTACTTTAATTTGTCGACTACACCGAGTTTAATTTGCGAAATGATTTTGTGCGTCTTTTGGCGTCATTCGCAATTTATTATTCATTTTGGTCATATACTCCATGATTTTCAAAAATTTCACGAGAATATCGAACAAATTTTTGTTCAGCAGCGCATAATTTGCATCCTATGTGTCCCAAACAATTGTTTTTTTCATGGCTCTGAATTTAGCCATGTTGCCAAATTTTGTTCCAATTGCGCATAAACTTATCCAACAGCGCTTAATTTGCGTCGAAAACAATTGTGATTTTAGTTTATTCCTCTCAACTTGGCCATATCGGCGCAATTTTGTTCCAATTGCCCGTAATTTTGTTCAACAGCGCATAATTTGCGTCCGATGCGTCCAAAACAATTGTTTTTTATGGCTCTGAATTTAGCCATGTTGCCAAAGTTTGTTCCAACTGCGCATAAACTTTGTCCAACAGCGCTTATTTTACGTCCTATGCGTCCAAAGCAATTGTGCTTTTAGTTTATTTCTCTCAACTTGACCATATCGGCGCAATTTTGTTCCAATTGCGCATAAATTTTGTTCGGCAGCGCATAATTTGCGTCCTATGTGTCCAAAACAATTGCTTTTCATGGCTCTGAATTTAGCCATGTTGCCAAATTTTGTTCCAATAGCTCAACCATGTTGTTTAAAAGCGCTTAATTTGCGTCCTACAATAAAAAATTGTGATTTAAACTTTATGGCTCTGAATTTAGCCATGTCGGTGAAATTTTGTTCTAATTGCGCATAAACTTTGTCCAGCAGAGCTTAATTTGCGTTCTATGCACCCATAAAAATTGTTTCTAAAGTTCGTGGCTCTAAATTTACCCACGTGAACAAAATTGTGTGCCAATTGCGCATAAATTTTGTTCAACAGCGCATAATTTGCGTCCTATGTGTCCAAAACAATTGCTTTTCATGGCTCTGAATTTAGCCATGTTGCCAAATTTTGTTCCAATAGCTCAACCATGTTGTTTAAAAGCGCTTAATTTGCGTCCTACAATAAAAAATTGTGATTTAAACTTTATGGCTCTGAATTTAGCCATGTCGGTGAAATTTTGTTCTAATTGCGCATAAACTTTGTCCAGCAGAGCTTAATTTGCGTTCTATGCACCCATAAAAATTGTTTCTAAAGTTCGTGGCTCTAAATTTACCCACGTGAACAAAATTGTGTGCCAATTGCGCATAAATTTTGTTCAACAGCGCATAATTTGCGTCCTATGTGTCCAAAACAATTGCTTTTCATGGCTCTGAATTTAGCCATGTTGCCAAATTTTGTTCCAATTGCGCATAAACTTATCCAACAGCGCTTAATTTGCGTCCTATGTGTCGAAAACAATTATGCTTTTAGTTTATTCTACTCAACTTGGCCATATCGGCGCAATTTTGTTCCAATTGCGCATAAATTTTGTTCAACAGCGCATAATTTGCGTCCTGTGTGTCCAAAACAACTGCTTTTCATGAGTCTGAATTTAGTCATGTTGCCAAATTTTGTTCCAACTGCGCATAAACTTTGTCCAACAGCGCTTTATTTGCGTTCTATGCACCCATAAAAATTGTTTCTAAAGTTCATGGCTCTAAATTTACCCACGTGAACAAAATTGTGTGCCAATTGCGCATAAATTTTGTTCAGCAGCGCATAATTTGCGTCCTATGTGTCCAAAACAACTGCTTTTCATGGCTCTGAATTTAGCCATGTTGCCAAATTTTGTTCCAATTGCGCGTAAACTTATCCAACAGCGCTTAATTTGCGTCCTATGTGTCGAAAACAATTGTGCTTTTAGTTTATTCTACTCAACTTGGCCATATCGGCGCAATTTTGTTCCAATTGCGCATAAATTTTGTTCAACAGCGCATAATTTGCGTCCTGTGTGTCCAAAACAACTGCTTTTCATGGCTCTGAATTTAGTCATGTTGCCAAATTTTGTTCCAACTGCGCATAAACTTTGTCCAACAGCGCTTAATTTGCGTCCTATGCGTCCAAATCAATTGTGCTTTTAGTGTATTTCTCTCACTTGGCCATATCGGCGAAATTTTGTTCCAATTGCGCATAAATTTTGTTCAGTAGCGCATAATTTGCGTCCTATGTGTCCAAAACAATTGCTTTTCATGGCTCTGAATTTAGCCATGTTGCCAAATTTTGTTCCAATTGCGCATAAACTTATCCAACAGCGCTTAATTTGCGTCCTATGTGTCGAAAACAATTGTGCTTTTAGTTTATTCTACTCAACTTGGCCATATCGGCGCAATTTTGTTCCAATTGCGCATAAATTTTGTTCAACAGCCCATAATTTGCGTCCTGTGTGTCTAAAACAACTGCTTTTCATGGGTCTGAATTTAGTCATGCTGCCAAATTTTGTTCCAACTGCGCATAAACTTTGTCCAACAGCGCTTAATTTGCGTCCTATGCGTCCAAATCAATTGTGCTTTTAGTGTATTTCTCTCACTTGGCCATATCGGCGCAATTTTGTTCCAATTGCGCATAAATTTTGTTCAACAGCGCATAATTTGCGTCCTGTGTGTCCAAAACAACTGCTTTTCATGGGTCTGAATTTAGTCATGCTGCCAAATTTAGTCATGTTGCGCCAAATCAATTGTGCTTTTAGTTTATTTCTCTCACTTGGCCATATCGGCGCAATTTTGTTCCAATTGCGTATAAATTTTGTTCGGCAGCGCATAATTTGCGTCCTATGTGTCCAAAACAATTGCTTTTCATGGCTCTGAATTTAGCCATGTTGCCAAATTTTGTTCCAATTGCGCATAAACGTTGTCCAACAGCGCTTAATTTGCGTCCAAATCAATTGTGCTTTTAGTTTATTTCTCTCACTTGGCCATATCGGCGCAATTTTGTTCCAATTGCGTATAAATTTTGTTCGGCAGCGCATAATTTGCGTCCTATGTGTCCAAAACAATTGCTTTTCATGGCTCTGAATTTAGCCATGTTGCCAAATTTTGTTCCAATAGCTCAACCATGTTGTTTAAAAGCGCTTAATTTGCGTTCTACAATAAAAAATTGTGATTTAAACTTTATGGTTCTGAATTTAGCCATGTCAGTGAAATTTTGTTCAAATTGCGCATAAACTTTGTTCAGCAGCGCTTACTTTGCGTTCTATGCGTCCAAAACAATTTTTTCCATGACTCTAAATTTAGCCATGTTGCCAAATTTTGCTCCAATTGCGCATAAATGTTGTTCAGCAGCGCTTAATTTGAGTCTGACGCTCAATTAATAAATTGGCACTTTTATCAGTATACAACAAAAGCATTTTCCCCACTCCCTCTTCATTCTTTCTTTCTTATTCCTCGTCATCTTGTTCTCTTACTATTTCTAAATCCTGCCTTACCCTCTTCCCAGTCTGATTCCGTTCCTATTTTCCTCTTCCTCCCAACCTTACCTTGCATTTTACTGTTTTATTTTCTATTTCTTCCTCGCTTCTTTTTCTATTCCCTTTTCCCTTTTGAATCTGATTCCCTCCCTATTCTTCCTTCCCCTTACCCGTTTCTTTCTTTACTTCCTTGTCTCGCTCCTCGCCATTGTCCTGATCTTGCCATTTCCGTTTGCTTCCTTTTTCTCGGCATTACTTTTATAATAGTTAGTATTGTTCTTCATCTTCCTCTGCTTTATTTTCCTCTGCTTCTTCATATTCTGTATTATTCTTTTTCGTTTCCTGATCATCTTGCCTTTTTCATACTCCCCTTTCTCTTCCTCCCTACTCCCATTTGAATTCTCCCTTCTAACCTCACTTTCATCTCGCACCGTTTTCTTTTTCTTTTTCATGTTTTCTCTTCTTTGTTCGTCTTCCCCTTCACATCATCTCTTCTGTTTTATCTTTTCCTCTTCTTCCTTTTCCTGTATATCTTTTCTTTTCACTTATCTCGCCATCTTTTTTCGTTTGTTCTTCTTTCTCCATCGCTTCTTCTTCTTTTTTTTGTACCATTTGTGTTCTTCCACTTCGTATTTTTAAGTGCCCCCTGCTTCATCGTTTTCAATTTTTCTTCTTTTCCTCTTCGTTCGCGTCCTCCCGTTCTCGCCTCTGTTACGCTCGTCTTTGTCTTTTATTCTAATCATCTCTTTCATGATTCTGTTTACTGTTCTTCTTCGTCCCCCCTCCCCCGCCCCCCGCCACTTTCGATGCTTTGGTTCTCTTTCAAAACGTTTGTAGCCTGCAGCAATTTCATGATTCTGTTTTAAGAGATCGCCATCTAATCCAATCTTTCTTATATATAGGCCAGGGTATCCTATACCCCTGCGACGTCTGCGTGCCCCCCCCCCCTCCCAGCACCCAATGGTCCTGTTTTTAAAATTATCATACGAGTTGTTTAAACGTTTTGGTGCTAGAACGTAATAGCGAGAAGTTCGCGAGGTATGGAAATAGAACGAATGAAAAATTCAAGAACTGATCCTAAACCTTAGAGCACTTTTGAGATGGTTTCAGAACCAGAAGACTAATGTTCGTTCTGAACCAGGAAGTGACGCCACAGTCAATCAGAGACGAGCCTGTCCCCGAAAGTGAGGTCACAACCAATCTGAGACGAGCGCGACCCCCTACACCTCTCCCCTCGGCCCATGGGATACGTGGTGAAGCTTTTAGAGCCCAGCCCCTTTCACAACCAATGAGCGTGGTCCGCGATTTTAGACCCGCCATACTGTTGGGCGCCATCTTAGATCAGTCCGCCATTTTGTTACTCACCATTTTAAATCCGCCATTTTGATGGGCACCATCTTGGATCCATCGGTCACGTGATTGTTGGATAATTTTTTTTATTGGCGTTGGGATTCGAACCCACGATACCCGAGATACAAAGCCAACGCGTATACATTCTAACCTATTAACTCCAATTCCATATTGAAGGGCTTGATCGAATCTCTAGGTCTAGACTATTTGGTGATGATCTTCAGAAGACGTGGGTATCTTGAGGCTTGAGAAATAATGCGTTTTGGTCTTGTCCTCTACAGCTGGCAAAGCAGCACAATATGGTCATAATATCGCCAATATTGGAAAGAGACGAAATCCACGGCGACGTTCTGTGGAACACGGCGGTTGTCATCGACAATCATGGCGACGTGCTCGGGAAGCACCGGAAGAACCACATCCCACGCGTGGGGGACTTTAACGAATCGGCCTACTACATGGAGGGCAACACCGGCCATCCCGTTTTCCAGGTACGGCGTTACAGTGTTGCCGCAGTAAAAATCGAGTAAATCCACAGACCGAGTTTGGCAAAATCGCCATTAACATTTGCTACGGAAGACACCACCCCCTCAATTGGCTGGCGTTCGGGTTGAACGGGGCGGAGATCGTCTTTAATCCATCTGCGACCGTCGGAGAGTTGAGCGAGCACCTGTGGGGCATCGAGGCGCGCAATGCGGCGATCGCGAACGGTTACTTTTCGGTCGCGGTCAATCGGGTCGGTACCGAAACATTCCCCCACCCCTTCACTTCTGGCGACGGTGGGGAGCCGCACACCGATTTCGGCAACTTTTACGGGTCCAGCTACGTGACGGCCCCCAACGGAGTTCGGACACCGGTAAGACCAACTCACAGCACCACCACCTCTAAACCTAATTTTAGGGCCTCTCCCGTCTGCGCAACGGTCTCCTCGTGACGGAGCTCGACTTGAACCTCTGCCGGCAAGTCAGAGACCACTGGGGCATTCAGGTGCGTCGACCTCCACCCCTACGGACGGGGGCAAGTAACAAATTTTTGCTCTCTTTCAGTTAACCCAACGCCTCGACCTCTACGCTTCCACCCTAAGCGAGGCCACAAAATTGGACTTTGTACCCCAGGTCATACGAAAATAAAACCTACATCAACTTGACTTGTCTATTTTTAACCTGTCATTTTCGACGTGTTCAGCACCAACGCGTTGTTCTCTTTCTAATCAGACGGTAGAACAATGACGGAGAGTGCGAGGACGAAACCGACCGAATTGCACTCCAGTCGTTTTCACGGCCAAGATAAAGTCTTCAGTTCCCGAGTTCCCGTGGAACACATTATTTAGTTTAGTGCATTCGAGCAGGGGCGGAATCGTCGAGGAGTAAGTACCAAATGATTTAATTTTGATTTCGCGCGATTGCTTATTCATCGTCTGGTAAGGGAACGTGGGAATTGGAGATCCGAAGCGCCCAGACGTAAACCATCCCGATTAGATAAAAAATTATTGCGCCTCATTTTTTTTGGCAGAACGTTCAAGGTCAAAGCGTGCATTGTTCGCCGAATTAGCGTAGGTTACGAGGTGTAATCAAATAGTAGCGTAATTTTTAATTTCGCGGGGTTGGGGTGGGGGAGTAATTTTGGGTCTTGTCGCTAAGCGAAGTTTCTCTTCGTACGCTTCCTTTCCAAATTGCTTAATAATAGAACGGAGATGGCCAATCAAACGTAAATGTCTAACACTTGAAGTCAATTAAATTTTAATCAAAGCCAGTCGCTTGGTAATTTAAACAAAGCGCTTGTTTTTTAATGTCTCTATTTACATTTACGGTAAACATGTCAGCGATTTAAGCCTTAATTAAATAGCACGTTTTAAATGTATACGTCAGTTCCTCGTGCTCGTACTTTGACATTCCAATTTTTGGTTAGGGGTTGCTCGTGGATCAGAAAAAGGCCCCTTATTGTTTTTTGGTACTGGAAGACTACGATCTTAAACATAATTCAGGATCCAATTTTAGCATTTGAGATGATATTAAGAAAACGTTAGTAGTAGAGGGACACTTTCTCGGCCATCTTGGATTTGATTTTCGGTTTAATTTGCGGGATTAATTTAATTCGAGGGATCATCAAGCTCATTAAATTGATGCGCGGTTTCGGTCAGGTGACCGATAATGTCTTCGGGGACTTATTTCTGGGAATAATTTCGTGAAATTTGAACTTTTGATTCGATCGATTAATTTATTTCGCGGTTTTTAATTTGATTCGCTCGACTGCATACTAAGGGTGCAAATAAAACAGATTTAAATTAGTACGGTAAATGTTAACGCGTCTGTAGACAGCCGAATACTAACAGAGATTAGAAAGTAGAAGGGAAGTGATTTCCAGACGCATTTGAAAAACAAATGAACCTTGCAATTTCCGAAATAATCCGTTCACTTAAAAAACTAGTTCTTATCTTGGCTAAAGTAGAATGGGTTCTTATCTTAGCTAATTTTTCGCGCGGTTTGTATCTAAGATAAGGCGGATCAATGTCGACTTTTCTTGTTCCTTGTCACTGATATCAGCGTACCATCACAGACATTACATTACGTCACCCAAATGTCCCTCTCCCGGATTGAATACTCCCCAGTGTACGAAGACCCGAAAACTTTTTCCCTACTCCTCCTGGCACTTTCATGGTAGACTTCGGAAAATGTAATGCAATCGAATCGCCCAATACTGGAAGGTATCCCCCCCCTCCCAATGACCTTGTCTCGAATATTATCACGTGAGTGCTATTGTTACATTTTTTGGGAAATAAGAGGAACAGGCGTCTTTTGGGTTTTAAATGGATTAAAAATTGTTCCTGATAAGGGAACCCGATCCAGCCTTTTACTGGGGACACATTTGGTTCAGAATTAGGATATACCTTAATACTCTCCTGCTACACACACGGCAATTTGTAGTACAAGTGACAGGGGCGACGTTAGGGCGGAAGGTACACTCCTAGTCACCTGATGCACATCAGAATTTATTGTATCAGAATAACAGGCGTAGTTAAATGGATTAAAAATTGTACTTTCTCCTGATACATTAAAACGCAAGTGTTATTCTCAAGAGCAAGGAGCTGCCGTTGGAATAGAAGGAGCTACCATCCTCGGAAAGAAACTTCAAAAGTTACCATACTCATCGGGAGCGCAAATGGATTGGCATACACCGCATACTCTCCTGATACTCAAACTGCTTTATCATTTATGAGAAGCGCAGGCATGATGGAAGCTTTGAATGGATTAAAACATCTGCTCGTGTCATGTTCTCCTAATATAACACTTCATCCGGTATCAGGCGCTTCGAAAAGCACCTCAAAAGTTACGATAAGGAGCACGATCGCAAATGGATTGGATTAAACCTACTCTCCTTATACATAAACTATCGAAACTAATTTATTGTATATTGCCTGTTTGAACTTTGACCAATTGTGATATTCTCCTGATAACAACCCATTAAAAAGTGAGTAATAAAAGAGCTACGAAAAGTAAGGAGCTGCTAACTGCAAGAAAATTAAATAATTAGGAAGTGTACCCGCTCTATCAGGAGTGCATATGGATTGGCGTATACATGATAATCTAATACGCAGCTTTGATTGAAGCTTTGAATAGCTAAAAATCTCCTAATATCAACACATAACAGGAACTCAAATCGCAACATTCCTTTTCATGATTCATACTCTCCTGATACACAAACTCTAGTTTTAAATTGATTATATACACCTGCTCAAAATAACCGGGGGGAGGGGGGGGAGGTAAACAAATACTCCCCAGCGAACGAAGACTTGAAAACTTAGTTCCCCTACCACTTTCATGGTAGACTTCGGGAAATCTGGATCTTCGGATACTGGAAGATAGCCTCCCAGACCGGTACTACGAACTCCTAAAGCAGGATTTGACTTTCATACTGCTGCCTGAGAAATACCACGTGACCGAAACCGCAAATCAATTTAATTAATCTTGATTGGCCCCACGAATTAATTCGCGAATAAAGAGGGGAGGGGGGCGTTGAACCCCTTTTACTAATGTTGAACGACGAATGATTGTTAAAAGAAGTATTTCATTAACATAATCTTGAAAGGCGGGTTAAGGGCATTTTTAGACGGTTCTTGAACGACAATGAGAAATTCACGAGTAGATTTTGAGATAATTTTAAATGATTTCAACGACGAATAATAGATTTTTGAAAGAATCTTGAGAGCAATTTGAGATGTTCTCAAAAAAATCTTGAAAGACGATTGAAGAGGGCTGTAACTTTTGAACTAGTAGCCCAATCTTGGAATTGTTTGAAATTATGGATTCTACAGGCCACATTCCATAAGAAAAATTTTTTTCCGGGTCGATCTGAGACAATTTTTTTTCTTGCCTCCAAAAAAGGCAGTGTATAACCTTCCTTTTTAGCCAAAAATCGACTGCACCAAAATTTCTCGGGAAAACACTTTTTCTTATTAATTTTGGTGCTTAGAATCCAAAACAATTCGTACTTTCTCGATCAGACTTCTCAATCAAAAGTTATAGACTAGAAACTAATTTCGGAAAAAAATTCAAAGGGCTGTAACTTTTGAACTAGTAGCCCAATCTTGGAACTGTTTGAAATTATGGATTCTACAGGCTACATTCTATAAGAAAATTTTTTTTCCGGGTCGTTCTGAGACAATTTTTTTTTCGGGCCTCCAAAAAAGGCAGTGTATAAACTTCCTTTTTAGCCAAAAATCGACTGCACCAAAATTTCTCGGGAAAACAGTTTTTCTTATTAATTTTGGTGCGTAGAATCCAAAGAATTCGTACTTTTTCGATCAGACTTCTCAATCAAAAGTTATAGACCAGAAACCAATTTCGGAAAAAAATTCAAAGGGCTGTAACTTTTGAACCAGTAGCCCAATTTTGGAACTGTTTGAAATTATGGATTCTACAGGCCGCATTCTATAAGAAAATTTTTTTTCCGGGTCGATCTGAGACAATTTTTTTTTTCGGGCCTCCAAAAAGGCAGTGTATACTTCCTTTCTAGCCAAAAATCGACTGCACCGAAATTTCTCGGGAAAACAATTAATTTTGGTGCTTAGAATCCAAAACAATTCGTACTTTCTCGATCAGACTTCTCAATCAAAAGTTATAGACTAGAGGAAAAAAATTCAAAGGGCTGTAACTTTTGAACTAGTAGCCCAATCTTGGAACTGTTTGAAATTATGGATTCTACAGGCCGAGCAGGTGTATATATAATCAATTTAAAACTAGAGTTTGTATATCAGGAGAGTATAAATCATGAAAAGGAATGTTGCGATCCATCTGAGCTCCTGTTACGTGTTGATTTTGTGTTACTATTAGGAGATTTTTTATCCATTAAAAGCTTCAATCAAAGCTGCGCTTCTAATATACGACAAACTAATTTTGATACAGTCTGTGTATTAAGAGATCACCTATACGCCAATCCATATGCGTTCCTGATTGAGCGGGTACACTTCCTAATTATTTAATTTTCTTGCAGTTGGCAGCTCTCTTTCTGTAATATTACTTCTTAATGTGTTGTTATCAGGAGAATATCACAATTGGTAAAAGTTCAAACATGCCTGTGTTCCTGATACACTAAATTAGTTTCGATAGTTTATGTATAAGGAGAGTAGGTATAAGGCTATACGGTCTAATCCAATCCATTTGCGATCCTGCTCCTTATCGTAACTTTTAAGGTGCTTTTCGAAGCGCCTGATACCGGATGAAGTGTTATATTGGGAGAACATGACACGAGCAGATGTTTTAATCCATTCAAAGCTTCCAACATGCCTGCGCTTCTCATAAATTATGACGCAGTTAAGAGTATCAGGAGAGTATGCGGTATATGTCAATCCATTTGCGCCCCTGGTGAGTATGGCAACTGGAAGTTTCTTTCCGACGATGGTAGCTCCTTCTATTCCAATGGCAGTTCCTTGATCTTGAGAATAACACTTGCGTTTTAATGTATCAGGAGAATAGTACATCCATTTAACTGCGCCTGTTACTCTGATACAATAAATTCTGATAAGGGATTGTGCATCAGGTGACTAGGAGTGTACCTTCCGACCTAACGTCGCTCTTGCTACTTGAACCAAATGGGTCCTCAGCAAAAGGCTGGAACGGGTTCCCTTATCAGGATAGCAGATTTTCTCCAATGGGAGCTCCGAAGCTCTTGAAATGTCTCTAATTTATTGGTATCAGGAGAACATCACAATTTTTAATTCATCTAAAACCCAAAACACGCCCATGCCTCTTATATAATTACAATCAAATAATTTTGAGTCAGTGTGTGTATCCGGAGAGCATGAGGTATATTTTCATTAATTTGCGCTCCTGATACTTATCGCACTTTGTGAAATAGAGACTGTAAGGCGATCTTTTGCATTTACCTTTTATAGTTCAACAAAATTATGTGGTTTTAGTGATTTTTTCGAAAAATCGTTTCTTGTATCAGGAGCACAGAATTGAAAATAATTCCTATGCGCCTTTGATATTCCGAAATTGTTTTACTATAGCAGAAGTATATCAGCTAACAGTTAAACATCCGCGATCCTACGTTTATTAAAATTGTATTTTCCTGATTGCATGAAATAAACTGTAGCAGGAGAACAGAAATTGATTCAATTTTAGACCATAGCATAACGTTTTCCGAAAACGAACTAGAAGTGCAAGTTACTAGGACCAAAGTCTTCTCAAATTGTTCCGAAGAACTGTTGATTATACTAGGAGAGCAGAGTGCAAGATATTTTTCAGAAACGATTATTGTATAAGAAGCGCGATTATATAAGAGTCCGATTACCGCAACCTTCGGCAATGAAATTTTTTGTACCAGGAGCACAGAACCAAAGTTACCCAGAGGTCGAGAACTGATCATTTGCACAATTTACACATACAACGAGCTGGTGTGTTTAAAAATATAACATAACGTTTTTCAAGTGGCAATGTCAAGGTGGCACTTAAATCTAATCATTGTTTGCACCTATTTTCCATAAAATATACAATCAACAACAATAAAAATGTATTGTTATTAGCGACCTTCAAATTGACCGCAAATTTGTAAATTTCTGAGTTGCATAAGTACCATTAGACCCCGGTTGGTAAATCCCCGGTGCCGGGTATCATAAAGTCGCATCACGTCCCGCGATTTTTTAAAGGAAGTCCAAAATCAGGTGACAATGCGATGACGTCAATTGTGTTATCAATTCAATGATAAGTCGTAAATCGGACAAGGGCGCACCTGAAGCTATTAAGCGTATTTGCAGTGTGACGCCATTGGTCTTTAAAGTTTCCATTCACCTCACGGTCAAATTTGCAGGCGCGCGCGTGTGTGGGGGTTGTTAAATTCGTTCATCCCTCACGGCCGACAGTATTAGACGAAGTCGCCCCCGAGCTGGTCACCAAAAAAATTTGTGGGGCGGGTAGGTTTCGCAGTCAGTGACCTCGTCGCGGTGAAATCTAAAAGAAGGCCGATTGTGAAATAGACCCGTGCGGCGACGACCCCCAGGTAAGCGCACCTAAACGTAAATATTTATTTATTAGCTTAGTTATTGATTGGTACGTTGCGCGGAACGAAGCGACCCCCCAGAGGGCGCCGGTGTAGCGGAGGCCATGTTGAGCGAAACGCATCATCCGAATAAATTTCAATTAACTTGCCCTGGAAGCCCTTTTGAAGCAGTGCTGCTGTAATTGCAAATTTAGATTGCCTTATGTAATACACTCGGGGGGCTTCCTGGCAATTAAGTTTTATTGCGTACGTACGGGTCGTCGCAATAAACGAGCACCCCCACAAGAAAAAGATGCAAAAACTTTGCGGCCAGAGATCTCCTTGCATTTCTGAAGTGTTAATGTATAATTATACATTTTAGAACTCGCCAAAATCCATCGGGAACACTGCCGTTAGAGAAATTCTCTGAAATATTGCATTTTCCCTTTGTGGGTAACTTCTCCCAACATTTTTTTCTGTACAGAACGAAAACCTCCCTACATCTTTTTCTGGACGTTTTATCCATCCAAAGGTCAGTTCTCATTCGAGTTCCATGCGACCTCCAATGAGTTCTAAAAGTGCCCAATGAACTTTTCCGTGGAGAAAGCTTCAAGAAAAAGACGTGGAGAGGTCTTCGTTTTGTAAGGGAAAAAACGCATGAACTTCTAAGTTCTCATTAGGGTTCCATGCGACCTCCAATAAGTTCTAAAAGTACCCAATGAACTTTTGCGTGGAGAAAGCTTCAAGAAAGAGACGTAGGGAGGTCTTCGTTCTGTAAGGGAAAAAGCGCACGAACTTCTCAGTTCTCATTAGAGTTCCATGCGACCTCCAATGAGTTCTAAAGTGCCCAATGAACTTTTCCGTGGAGAAAGCTTAAAGAAAAAGACGTAAGGAGGTCTTCGTTCTTTAAGGGAAAAAGCGCATGAACTTCTCAGTTCTCATCAGAGTCCCATGCGACCCCCATGAGTTCTAAAAGTGCCCAATGAACTTTTCCATGGAGAAAGCTTCAAGAAAAAGACCTAGGGAGATCTTCGTTCTGTAAGGGAAAAAGCGCATGAACTTCTCAGTTCTGATTAGAGTTCCATGCGACCTCCAATGAGTTCTAAAAGTGCCAAATGAACTTTTGCGTGGAGAAAGCTTCAAGAAAGAGACGTAGGGAGGTCTTCGTTCTGTAGGGGGAAAAGTGCATGAATTTCTCAGTTCTAATTAGAGTTCCATGCGACCTCCAATGAGTTCTAAAAGTGCCCAATGAACTTTAGCGTGGAGAAAGCTTCAAGAAAGAGACGTAGGGAGGTCTTCGTTCTGTAGGGGGAAAAGTGCATGAATTTCTCAGTTCTAATTAGAGTTCCATGCGACCTCCAATGAGTTCTAAAAGTGCCCAATGAACTTTAGCGTGGAGAAAGCTTCAAGAAAGAGACGTAGGGAGGTCTTCGTTCTGTAGGGGGAAAAGTGCATGAATTTCTCAGTTCTAATTAGAGTTCCATGCGACCTCCAATGAGTTCTAAAAGTGCCCAATGAACTTTAGCGTGGAGAAAGCTTCAAGAAAGAGACGTAGGGAGGTCTTCGTTCTGTAGGGGGAAAAGTGCATGAATTTCTCAGTTCTAATTAGAGTTCCATGCGACCTCCAAAGAGTCCTAAAAGTGCCCAATGAACTTTTGCGTGGAGAACGCTCCAAGAAAAAGGCCTAGGGAGGTCTTTGTTCTGTAAGGGAAAAAGCGCTAGAACTTCTCAGGTCTCATTAGAGCTCCTTGCGAGCTCCAATGAGTGCTAAAGGTGCCCAATGAACTTTTGCGTGGAGAAGCTTCAAGAAAAAGACGTAGGGAGGTCTTCGTTCTGTAACGAAAAAAGCGCATGAGCTTCTCAGTTCTCATTAGAGTTCCATGCGACCTCCAATGAGTTCTAAAAGTGCCCAATGCACTTTAGCGCGGAGAAAGCTTCAAGAAAAAGACGTAGGGAGGTCTTCGTTCTGTAAGGGAAAAAGCGCATGAACTTCTCAGTTCTAATTATAGTTCCATGCGATCTCCAATCAGTTCTAAAAGTGCCCAATGAACTTTTGCGTGGAGAAAGCTTCAAGAAAAAGGCGTAGGGGGCTCTTCGTTCTGTAAGGGAAAGAGCGCATGAACTTCTCCGTTCTCATTAGAGTTCCATGCGACCTTCAATGAGTTCTAAAAGTGCCCAATGAACTTTTGCGTGGAGAAAGCTTCAAGAAAAAGACGTAGGGGGGTCTTCGTTCTGTAAGGGAAAAAGTGCATGAACTTCTCAGTTTTCATTAGAGTTCCATGCGACCTCCAATGAGTTCTAAAAGTGCCCAATGAACTTTTCCGTGGAAAAAGCTTCAAGAAAAAGACGTAGGGAGGTCTTCGTTCTGTAAGGGAAAAAGCGAATGAACTTCTCAGCTCTCATTCGAATTCCATGCGACCTCCAATGAGTTCTAAAAGTGCCCAATGAACTTTTCCGTGGAGAAAGCTTCAAGAAAAAGACGTAGGGAGGTCTTCGTTCTGTAAGGGAAAAAGTGCATGAACTTCTCAGTTCTCATTAGATTTCCATGCGACCTCCAATGAGTTCTAAAAGTGCCCAATGAACTTTTGCGTGGAGAAATCTTCAAGAAAAAGACGTAGGGAGGTCTTCGTTCAGTAAGGGAAAAAGCGCATGAACTTCTCAGTTCTCATTAGAGTTCCATGCGACCTCCAATGAGTTCTGAAAGTGCCCAATGAACTTTAGCGCGGAGAAAGCTTCAAGAAAAAGACGTAGAGAGGTCTTCGTTCTGTAAGGGAAAAAGCGCATGAACTTCTCAGTTCTCATTAGAGTTCCATTCGACCTCCAATGAGTTCTAAAAGTGCCCAATGCACTTTTGCGTGGAGAAAGTTTCAAGAAAAAGACGCAGGGCGGTCTTCGTTCTGTAAGGGAAAAAGCGCATGAACTTCTCAGTTCTCATCAGGGTTCCATGCCACTTAATGAGTTCTAAAAGTGCCCAATGAACTTTTGCGTGGAGACAGTTTCAAGGAAAAGACGTAGGGAGGACTTCGTTCTGTAAGGGAAAAGGCGCATGAACTTCTCAGTTCTAATTAGACTTACATGCGACCTCCAATGAGTTATAAAAGTGCCCAATGAACTTTTCCGTGGAGAAAGCTTCAAGAAAAAGACGTGGGGAGGTCTTCGTTTAGTAAGGGAAAAAGCGCATGAACTTCTCAGTTCTAATTAGAATTCCATGCGACCTCCAATGAGTTCTAAAAGTGCCCAATGAACTTTTCCGTGGAGAAAGCTTCAAGAAAAAGACGTAGGGAGGTCTTCGTTCTGTAAGGGAAAAAGCGCATGAACTTCTCAGTTCTAATTAGAATTCCATGCGACCTCCAATGAGTTCTAAAAGTGCTCAATGAACTTTTGCGTGGAGAAAGCTTCAAGAAAAAGACGTGGGGAGGTCTTCGTTTTGTAAGGGAAAAGGCGCATGGACTTCTCAGTTCTCATTAGAGTTCCAAACGACCTCCAATGAGTTCTAAAAGTGCCCAATGAACTTTCGCGTGGGTAAAGATTTAAGAAAAACGCGTAGGGAAGATTTCATTCTGTTTCGCGACATATTCTAATATGCGTGACTTTACAAAATCGCGTTTCGGTCACGAAATGACGAACAACTGGCAAAATAAGCAGTTGAGATCAGCAGTTGTCTAAAAATTGCAAATTCATGTTGAATATACAAAAAAATGCGACTTTACGTAACAATTTCTTAATAGCCCACAAATCCAGGGTTTTAATTGGACGCGAGCGGTGTTGCCAATGTTGCATGATGCAATTATTGCGTCAGTTGCATTCGATGCGTTTTCGATTTTATCGAAGTAAATTTTGACTAAAAAAAAACTGCACGTGGATGAGAAGTAAATTTAGAGAGAAACCCAACTCCCGCGGCGACACGAACAAAAACTTAATACTGGGCGGACGGCGAGGTGACGTTTTCACACCTTTCACGCACACACCCCTGCAACGTCACCGCGGTGTACCCAGTTTCAAAGGTCGCCACTATTATTTTTTGGGGGGGCCGGGGGCGATTGCCCAACATTTCCGCGACGTTCGCTGTATTTGTAGGTCACCGACCCATACCTTTTACATTAATCGCTTTGAACTAAATTGCCAATCGGCGCGATTTCAACAGGACGCCGCCACGCGTCATTGCGGGGCGCCCACGGGATCTTCAAATCACGAGAGCGACCGTAATTACGTCAACGCGCTAAAAGGAATTCGACTGGTGGCGGCGCGAGGGTGTGTCCCCTTAATTATTGCCGCGTGACGTAAACTGGCAGCTGCAGACCTGTGACGTCAGCATTCTTGGATTTGAGTTCTCGATTGTTTTGTGGTTTTTTTTACCCGTCGCGCCACTCCGATTCGTCCATTCCGAAGGTGTGTCCCCCCACTTTTCGCGGCGTATAAATAAAAAATTTCTCTGAGACCGACGCCAGTTTGCTACGTGTTCCACGATCTCTAGTCCAGGTAAGCGCATGCACTCACTTTATTCGATCTAAAATTCATTATCAATGTGGCGAAACGGAAGGAAATCGCTATCGATCCCGATTAAAATTGATCCAAAATGGCGCTCGCGCGCGCGTTCCTCTCGCAGGGGGCGAAATTCTGTGCGTTACGTAACCGGATGTATGTTAACGACCAAATTTAATTGTCGACTATCGCGAATTCATAAAACGCCAGCAATTAGAACACATGCCAAGGTTAAATTTGTGGCAATCGCGCAGGGTGCGCCTCAAGGGTAAGGATAACGGCCCCTTCTTTTCGCCTATGCGTTCCTCACTGACCCAAAATGTGGGGCTTCAATTGCGCGCCGCACAAGTAGAACAGGTTTTTTTTTACCATTTATGGTGATTGTAAATTTTCTTCTTCCTCCAAGGACTGCACCAATTTAATGTCCATTATAAGGCTTTGGAAAATTTCCATCGGTCTTGCTATCAGTTCGGTTGTGACATTTTTTTGTTTGTTCTAGCACTCCACTGAAGAGGACGACGATTTGTACAGTCATTCTTTAAGTGTCTCGGTTGTTGGCACCGGGGTCCAGTGATTATCGCAGGTAAATTCCGCTCGGCCTAAATAATGGAAGCCATACAGTTCAGTTTGGGGGAGAAGAAATTGGAATTGGTCAACAAGCCCGTACCGCAAATAAAGGAGCCCACCCAGATCTTGGTTAAGGTCGCCTATTCGGGCATCTGCGGTACGGATTTGCACATCATCGAGGTAAGTTGAACGTTGGGGGTGCGTTTTTCGCCTGACTTGGTCGCTTTCAGGGCCACTTTCCGTGTAACCCCAACGGATTTACGTTGGGCCACGAATTTTCCGGCGTCGTGGTTGATGTAGGCGCGGAAGTTTTTCAGTTTGCCAAAGGCGACAATGTGGCAGTTGATCCTAATAAGTAAGTACGGTAGGCAGCACACATAGCGCGAATTTCTTTGTTTTTTACACCAAGTACGGTCGTCACTTGGATTTTCCCAAAAAAAATTTTTGAGTTAAAACAACCATAATTGTTTATTGCGGCTTAATTAAAATGTTTAATATTCAAGAGTGCTTTGGAAACAAAAAACGGCTGTGAATTGTTTAATGTAGTACTAATTAAAACGCGAAAAATAAGCGACTAATTAAATAGCATTTGACAACAATTATCATCTTTTGTTTACAAGGCACTCTCTTAATTAAATAAATAAGTATATATTGTTTTAGTTAAAACATAATGGGACCCATAGATAGGGTTTAATAAAGAAAATTCATTTTACGATTCCAATTTAACCCATCAAGATTTCCACGCGAGCTACGCAAAAAGGCGGCCACCCTGTATACATAAAATTGTATTCTCTTATTTGCAATGTGCTGTTCTTTGACAGTCATTAATTTTTACCATGATTTCAATTTTTAGGTTTTTTCCAGAAAAACGCAAACATGTTGGTACCTACCCAGTTGTAGAAAATTGCCCCTTTTTTGATCTAATATTGAGCCCGTGATCAAATTTGAGTTACTAAAATAAGGTGGTGGTGGCGAAATTTTAATTGCTTGAAAGAAAAGTGTTGTCACGGACACATCTTTTTTGAATTTCAATTAATTGCTTAATTTTAGGGTATTAAAAAAGTGTCAAGACAGCGCTGACCAAATTTTCATGGTTTTTTGGGAAAAAATTGAATGTTTTCTAAAGCAGCCCCAGAAATGCTTTTTTGAATGTCAACGTGGGAACGTTTAATGTTTAATGCAACGATTCTAACTTAAAACAATTACAATAATTAATTATAGAGGTTGGAGCTGTTGGTAGGCAACACGCATTACACACTACAGCTGGTTGTAGAAAATTGTACTTTTTTCCAATTTTATTATTTTCTATTTTTGTTCTTTATCTTTAAGTAGGCCAATTTTCATGTTTTTTAATTAAAAATGTTGCATTTATTAATACGGAAAATTGCAACTCTTAAGATTTAGTCTGTTTGTAGGCAACACACATGACACACTACACCTAGTGCTAGAAAATGAAATCTTTCTATCAAATATTGGTTATTGATCAAATTTGAGTTGTCAAAAAAGTGTTGAGGTAGTACCAAGTTTTCCATGTTTTTTAAAAAAAAGGTGAATTTCTTCTGAAGCAGTCTTTCTTTGAATTTCGAAGCGATCAACTTAATTTTCGATTTTTTGATTCAGTATTGAACACGTGAACCGGTTTAAAAAAAAGTTAAAAATTAAAGCAAGCTCAGATACGTCTTTTGTTTTATTTCGATTAATCTCGTCGGCTTGATTTCTTAATATGACTCCAATGTATTATTATTATTTATTATTTTTGGTCTTTATTTAGTGGGCGGGGTTTCAGCCTGGGTGGGGTTGCAGCACGTGATCAAATTTGGGTCGTTAAATAAAGTGTTGAACAAATTTTCATGATTTTTTGATAAAAAAGTTGAACCGTGCCTGTTCAACACACGACACGCTACACCTGGTGGCAGAAAATTGCATTATTAAGATCAATTTTAAATTATTACGAAGTGTCCAGGTGATGCTGTCCAAAGTTCAATGTTTTTTTTTAATTAAAAAAAATGGAATGTTTTCTAAAGCAGCATCAGAAACGTCTTTTTTGAATTGCGATGAATGTAATCAGTCTCTCTTCTTAATACGGAAACGAGTACTTCAACGATGTAAAAAAAATTGCAAATCTAAAAGATCGAGTCTTGTTTGTAGGTAGGCTATAAAATTGCATCTTTCTTGAAAGAAAATAGGGCAAGTGATCAAATTTGAGTTATCAAAAAAGTGCTTTTTAAGTAGTCTTCTGAAGTAGTCTCAAAATCCGATTAATTTCTTAATAAATCAACTATTTTAAAAAAAAATGCAAGTTAAAAAGACCAAAGAACCAAGTCTGTTGTAGGCAACGCGCGTGACACTAGATCTGATGGTAGAAAACTGCACCTTTTTTAATCCAATATTGAGCTCGTGACCAAATTTGTGTTTTTTTTTTAAAAAAAAAAGTTGTTTTCCAACGCCGCCTCAATGCGTCTTTTTGAAATTTCATTTCATGTGCATCTTAATTTCTTAACACACACAACGACCCCAACTTGAACGATTTCTTGTAAAATTGCAATCAAACCAAATTTTCATGTTTTTTTGAAAAAAGAAGTGTTGAGCGTCCTCTAAAGCAAACTCAGAAAAGCCTTTTTTGAATTTCAATTTATGTGATCAGCTTAATTTCGGAATAATTTCGGAACAATTTCGGAACAATTTCTTTAAAAATTGCAATACAGTGGTAGAAAGTGGCAATTTTGGGCACGTGATTAAATTTGAGTAACTATAAAAACTGGTGACCAAATTTTCACGTTTTTTTTAAAAAAAAAACCGCTCTAAAGCTGACTCAGAAACGTCTTTTTTTAATTTCAATTTATGTGATCAGCTTAATTTCGGAATAAGACGACTCTCACTTGAACAATTTCTTCAAAAATTGCAATACAGGGTGGAAAGTGGCAATTTTGGGCACGTGGTCAAATTTGAGTTACTAAAAAAAGTGTTGATGGGGGGGATGACCAATTCTTCACGTTTTTTTTTAAAAAAGCTGCTCTTAAGCAGACTCAGAAACGTCTTTTTTGAATTTTAATGTTTGTGATCATCTTAATTGCGGAATAAAACGACTCCCACTCGAATAATTTCTTTAAAAATTGCAATACAGCGGTAGAAAGTGTCAGGTTTGGGCACGTGATCAAATTTGAGTTACTAAAAAAGTGTTGAGGGGGGACTGACCAAATTTTCACGTTTTTTTTTGAAAAAAACTTCTCTAAAGCAGACTCAGAAACGTCTTTTTTGAATTTCAATTTTTGTGATCATCTTAATTGCGGAATAAGACGGCTCCCACTTGAACAATTTCTTTAAAAATTGCAATACAACGGTAGAAAGTGTCAAGTTTGGGCACGTGGTCAAATTTGGGTTACTAAAAAAAGTGTTGGGGGGGGGGGGGCTGACCAATTTTTCACGTTTTTTTTTAAAAAAGCTGCTCTTAAGCAGACTCAGAAACGTCTTTTTTGAATTTTAATGTTTGTGATCATCTTAATTGCGGAATAAAACGACTCCCACTCGAACAATTTGTGGCAATTTTGGGCACGTGATCAAATTTGAGTTACTAAAAAAAGTGTTGAGGTAAGGCTGACTAAATTTTCACGTTTTTTTTAAAAACTGCTCTAAAGCAGACCCGGAAACTTCTTTTTTGAATTTCAATGTATGTGATCATATGATTGCGGAATAAGACGGCTCCCACTTGAACAATTTCTTTAAAATTGCAATACAGTGTGGAAAGTGGCAAATTTGAGTTACTAAAAAAGTGTTGAGGGGGGGCTGACCAAATTTTCACTTTTTTTTTTTTAAAAAACTGCTATAGAGCACTCAGAAACGTATTTTTTGAATTTCAATTTTTGTGATCATCTTAATTGCGGAATAAGACGGCTCCCACTTGAACAATTTCTTTAAAATTGCAATACAGGGTGGAAAGTGGCAAATTTGAGTTACTAAAAAAGTGTTGAGGGGGGGCTGACCAAATTTTCACTTTTTTTTTAAAAACTGCTATAGATCACTCAGAAACGTATTTTTTGAATTTCAATTTTTGTGATCATCTTAATTGCGGAATAAGACGGCTCCCACTTGAACAATTTCTTTAAAAATTGCAATACAGCGGTAGAAAGTGTCAAGTTTGGGCACGTGGTCAAATTTGGGTTACTAAAAAGTGTTGAGGGTGGAGGGGGGGGGGGCTGACCAATTTTTCACGTTTTTTTTAAAAAAGCTGCTCTTAAGCAGACTCAGAAACGTCTTTTTTGAATTTTAATGTTTGTGATCATCTTAATTGCGGAATAAAACGACTCCCACTCGAACAATTTGTGGCAATTTTGGGCACGTGATCAAATTTGAGTTACTAAAAAAAGTGTTGAGAGGGGGCTGACCGAATTTTCACTTTTTTTTAAAAAAAAAACTGCTAAAGAGCAGACTCAGAAGCGTCTTTCTTGAATTTCAATTTTTGTGATCATCTTAATTGCGGAATAAGACGGCTCCCACTTGAACAATTTCTTTAAAATTGCAATACAGGGTGGAAAGTGGCAAATTTGAGTTACTAAAAAAGTGTTGAGGGGGGGCTGACCAAATTTTCACTTTTTTTTTTTAAAACTGCTATAGATCACTCAGAAACGTATTTTTTGAATTTCAATTTTTGTGATCATCTTAATTGCGGAATAAGACGGCTCCCACTTGAACAATTTCTTTAAAAATTGCAATACAGCGGTAGAAAGTGTCAAGTTTGGGCACGTGGTCAAATTTGGGTTACTAAAAAGTGTTGAGGGTGGAGGGGGGGGGGGCTGACCAATTTTTCACGTTTTTTTTAAAAAAGCTGCTCTTAAGCAGACTCAGAAACGTCTTTTTTGAATTTTAATGTTTGTGATCATCTTAATTGCGGAATAAAACGACTCCCACTCGAACAATTTGTGGCAATTTTGGGCACGTGATCAAATTTGAGTTACTAAAAAAAGTGTTGAGAGGGGGCTGACCGAATTTTCACTTTTTTTTAAAAAAAAAACTGCTAAAGAGCAGACTCAGAAGCGTCTTTCTTGAATTTCAATTTTTGTGATCATCTTAATTGCGGAATAAGACGGCTCCCACTTGAACAATTTCTTTAAAATTGCAATACAGGGTGGAAAGTGGCAAATTTGAGTTACTAAAAAAGTGTTGAGGGGGGGCTGACCAAATTTTCACTTTTTTTTTAAAAACTGCTATAGATCACTCAGAAACGTATTTTTTGAATTTCAATTTTTGTGATCATCTTAATTGCGGAATAAGACGGCTCCCACTTGAACAATTTATTTAAAAATTGCAATACAGGGTGGAAAGTGGCAATTTTGGGCACGTGATCAAATTTGAGTTACTAAAAAAAGTGTTGAAGGGGGGCTGACCAAATTTTCAGGTTTTTTTTTAAAACTGGGGCCCCCCTTTCTTCTCGTTCATAGCGCAACAGCTAATTTTAATAATCCCAATTTCTAGTGGTTGCGGAATTTGCCATTTTTGCCACTCAGGCGATCCACATTACTGCAAAAGCGGCGGAATCAACAACACAATCGGCATCTACAAGGACGGCGGCTGGGCCGAGTACGTCCTCGTTCCCGAGAAACAGGTCCACAAGCTAACCGAACACATTACGTTGGAGCACGGTAATTTGCGACCGGCGAGAGAGAGAGACGCACGATAGTACATGTCTCATTTCAGCCGCCTTAACCGAACCAATCTCGTGCCTTTCACACGGATGGGACTTGATCTCGCCGATTACCATGGGTGATAAAGTTTTAGTGACCGGTGCGGGTATCATCGGTAATTTATGGGTAGCTTTACTACATTTGCAAGGGCACAGGAGGGTTACGGTTTCCGAGCCGAATGGGTTGAGACGCGAGTTATTGCAGAAGCTGGGTGAGTTTCTTCCTTTTCATACTTTCTTCATTTTTTCGTTTAATTCATTACTTTCCACTTCTGGTGCTGCCGCTTGAAATTCATCTAACAGATTTGTCCCTTACAGGTACAGGTTTTCAGTGCATAACACCCGACGAGCTGAAACAGCGCCACGAGAAGGACGCCGACTACCTGTTCGACGTCGTCATCGACTGCACCGGCTCGGCGCCGGCCATCGAGCACGCCTTCTCCTTGCTAAACGCCGGCGGAACCCTGTGCATTTTCGGCGTAGCCCCGCCCCACGCGAAAATCAGGTAGGTCACCGCGCACGCGTCGCCGGAAACTCCGCTAACGCGCTTTTCCGCAGTATTTCTCCCTTCGAAATCTACAAGAAGGAAATCCGAATAGTCGGCGTCAACGTGAATCCGTTCAGTTTTCCGAAATCGCTCGGTTTCCTCGAGTCGCTAAGCGACAGGTATCTCAAGTTCGAGAATTTGGGCGTGAAGACGTTCCAGCTGAAAGAGTACAAGCAGGCGATAGAGGAATTGAAAAAGGGGGCCATTGCGAAAGCGGTATTCAAACTGTGATCCATTTAAATCGTTTTAAGTTCAGTAGAAATTGTTTTCCTTCAAAAGTATTTGTAGCGTTAATCAAATATTTTTAAACACTTTATTTGTGTTCGGTAGTCGTTAGTTCAATTTGTACATAGATTTTAGTCGCTAAATTTTTGACAAAATTATATTTTGTCCATTGTGCCTATATTAAGTAAATATTTTTGAAAATTTTCAATTTGTCTTTTCCTAACTCTAAAAGGAAACTCATCCCTTTTCCTATTACAGTGATGCCAGTAGTTGTGACGCGTATTACATGTTGTCATATTTCTTTAAAATACCAAAGATTTTTTTAAAGCTGGACAAAATACACCAATGAATATTCATTTGTTGTAGTTGATTTTTTAAATCAGTTTTTTTAAATCCATTTCTGAATTATTTTTATTACGCGTAGCATTTGACAGAGAATTCGAAAATGCCTTTTAAAAATACTGCTCCATTGGTATTCAAATCTAGCTTTTGACGCGCCCTGTATATTTTCTCCCGATCCAATTCAAAAATTATTTTATCACGTTCACAGCAACGCAAGATGGATTTTGGCGAAGCAAATTATTCTGCATCAGGATCACAGAAAAGCAAACAGGTATAATGAAAAAAATTTTGTTAAACACCTTCCGCCATATTACGTTCTCCGACAGAGGTTTCCCGTCCAACAATAATCAGAGGCGCAGAAACTCAAAATGCCACAGCAATCTGTGATCAAACACCATGTCTTATGTTTTCCTGGCACAAATTTTTCTTGCAACGATTATTGCATCAGAATTACAGAAACACGAAGAGATGTACACGAGAAATTCTCACACCTTCCACCGTATATTCTGCCCTCCTGATACAAATATTCCTTCCAGAGATTATTTTAGTTAAGTCATAGCAACGCAAAAATAGGTAGAAAATCTCGTTACAAGTTCTCCTGATACCAATTCTGGGGCCATATTTGTTCAACGAAAAAAATGATTGTCCGAACGTCCTATGCTTTCCTGATCCTAATTGTTCCTTGTAACAGGATCACAGAGGCGTAAAAGAAAATTTATTGTTACAACCGTATTATGTTCCCCTAATACACGTTCTTAGTGTAAAAATTATTGTTTCAGATTCGTACAAACAACAAGGAGCTATTCTGTCCTCTTATGTTTTCCTAATAATTATTAATCAGGGTGATAGAAGCGCAAGGAGCAGGAGGTATCACTAGGCTATTGACTATAATTTTTTCCTTTATTCTTGTGATACTGATACATAAGTGTTTTGAAGTGAATTGTGTACCAGGAAGAGATATTTAGGTAGAAAGGTCACAGTAACACGAGCAGTGAGAAACAGCATCCGCCGGGTTATGTTCCCCTGATACTAATTCTTGAAGATTTTGTGTTTCAATAGCAGCAAAGGTGTAATAGACAAAAATATCTTCAAACACCTTTTACCTAATTATGTTCTCCCGATAACAATTTTTTCTTGAACACTTCAGTGTCATAGAAACGCAAAAAGAAGAAACGACTTTATTGGTAATCGACCTGCTACTGGATTACGCTCCGTATTAAGTTCTCCGACAAAAGCTTTTCGCGTTGCATCAGGGTCACAGAAACTCCAAAGAGGTGTAAGAGTAAAAACGGTCGCCTAACGTTCCTTTCAAAAATTATTTTATCAAAGTTGTAGCAATTCAAAGCAAATTGGATCTGTTAGATCACAGAAACGAAAAGTTATAAAGGCTAAAAATGACTTTCCACACCTTACCTCGTGTTATGTTCTCTTGATACAAACATTCACAATTTTTTTAGATTTCTCAAACTTTTTTCAAAAAATAACTGAAGCAAGTGAGTGATGATACCATCTATTACGTAGTTCTTCTGACAGAAATCATTCTAAAAATGGTTGGATAACAGAAACGGGAGGTACAGAGAAAAAATGATTGTTAGACACCTTACACCGTGTTATGCGCTCCTGATTCAAACGTTGATGTCCAAACTTAGGTCACAGCATCACAAAGGAACAAGGTCACTGCACTGCAGCGCAAGCGTATTATGTTCCCCCGATACAAATTCTTCTTCTAAAAATTATGCGGCATGCAAAAATCATCTTATGTTTCCCTGACGGAAATTGTTCGGTGTCGCTCTGATATGCGGTCTACATACCCGTGATCCTTTTTTGTTTCAGGATTACAGAAGCGTAAGAAAAGTCAGTGATACACTTCCTACAGTATTACGTTCCCTTAGCAGTGTAAAAACCTTCCACCGACACCAAATTTTCCGACTATTTGTCTGAAAATTATTAATCAGGAGCATAGAAGTGCAAAGAGGTATCACAAGAGCATAACAGCCTACGTGTCTAACTATAATTTTTCCGCTTTATTCTCCTTGACTTTATGTGATACTGAAATGAATGTGTATCAGGAGAACATATTTAGATATAAGGTGGGTCAAGTTGTTCAAAAATTCTTGTATCAAGATCACAACAAAAAGTTGTCGAATTATGATTTCCTGGTGCGAAGGTTCCTTCCAGAAATCGTAAACAAATTATTGGATTATGCTACTTCTATGTATCAGGATCGCAGGAATATAAAGAGGTTAAAAAACGTCCTACCGACTTATCTTTTCTTAAAATTCACTTAATCAGGATTGCGAAAGTGCAAGGAGGTATCAGGGTACACGTGTTTGACCATAATGTTTTCTGTTTGTTAAGAGGTCCTTCTTGACATTGTTTCTCCGTCCGTCCGTCGACATGTACACGATAACTCTCGCACGGAAGGTCTTAGAATCTTGCAACCTAACCAAAATCTGTATACCCCGTTGTATCGGTTTGTTTATCAGTGTAAAGCATCATCGGATATGTTATGCACTCCTGAAACAAGTTTCCTAAAAGTAGTTCAAGTGTACAATCGTAGTTACATTGCAATGTAGAAGTAGTTCACATAACCCAACGTGGTAGTTGCAATGTACCCGATGTCTGTAATCAATAAGAATGACACCTTTGAACATTTTCGTTTAAAAAATTGTGCCAGTGAGTCATTTTAGATGCCGAGAAAATATCGTCAAGTTCATCGTAAAATGGAGGAAACGAACGATCTAATCGACGACGTAACCGTAGTCGACGTCTACGACATCGCGTCCGATATCGGCAAGGAATGCGAGAAAATCATCGACCTTTACGGTGCCGATGCCGTCACGTCGCTCATGCCGAAGGTGATCAGCGCGTTGGAGCTCCTCGAGAACCTCGCGGTGAACAACGAGCGCGAGAACAGCGAGCTTTTGGAGCTGAAGTCGAAGATATCCCAATTGGAGAACGACAAGATCGAGAAGGCAGAGTACAGGCAGAAGTTCGAGAAGGTAAACGCTGCAAGAGGGGGGCGGGGGGTGTGTCGTTAATGACGGAGGCACTTTGCAGGAGCTGGAGGCCATCGAGGAGCAGTGGAGGGCCGAGTCGAAGGAGCTGCTCGCTTTGGTCTCCCGTCTGCAGGACGAGAACCGGAAGTTGGCAAAGGTGAGGGGCACCTCGCAGGTGGCCGAGCGGGTCTCGCCCACCGAGATCGTCAACAACAGCGATATGCTGCAGAAGCTGCAGCTCACCCTCGAGAAGCAGAGGGACGAAATTCGGGTCAAGGAGAAGCTGCTGCAGGAAAAGTGTGGTGATATGGAAAAGGTGATTAGAACATTGTATCCAAGTATTCCCATTTAAATGGGGATATTCCCAGAAAAACTTAGATCTTTTTAATTTCGGAATATACCAATTCCACCATCCACAAATGTCAAGATAAGGGCACGGTGCTTTACTCCCTGAAAAATTTCAAGAGTCCTCCCAGAAGCCTGCACATTCTCCATTACCAGATTGATATTCCTGAATAAAACCTCATATTCCTCAACAAATCTTTTAAATTTTAGAATATACCAGATGAGTGGATATTCCCACAGTAGTTTCAAATGTATCTATAAATAATAGTAGATACTTATACATAAAATTCGGATAGGTGTAGAGGACAATCTCCAGAAATACAGGAATTTTCTCAAACCATGGTACAATTGGAAGTTGAGGGATAGATATATGAATATCCAGATAAATGTAAAGCGAACATAAACTCTCAAATGTATTTACAGATAACAGTAGAGAAAGGTAAACTTAAAATTCACATCTCCATTCCTAAATAAATGTGGATATTCCTAGAAAACTTTTAAAGAAGTGTCCCAATTCTGCAACAGATGTGGATATTCCTACAAAATTGGTACAAATTGTCCCAAATGTTGGAAAGTTAGAAATTCACAGATAAATATGCCAATTCCCAGATAAACGCGAAGGGAATATTTTTATAAACTTTCAAATGTATCTACAGATAACGGTAGAGAAAGATAATCCTAATGTGGATATTCCTAGACAATTTTTAGGAATTGTCCCAAATGAAAACTTAGAAATTCACATATATATATAGGAATTCCCAGATAAACGCGAAGAGAATATTTTTATAAATCCTCTAATGTATCTACAGACAACAGTAGAGAAAGATAACTCTAATGTGGATATTCCTAGAAAATTTTTAGGAATTGTCCCAAATGCAAACTTAGAAATTCACATATAAATATACGAATTTCCAGCTAAACGCGAGGAGAATATTTTTATAAATTCTCTAATGTATCTAGACAACAGTAGAGAAAGATAACTCTAATGTGGATATTCCTAGAAAATGTTTAGGAATTGTTCCAAATGTTTCTTGCCAATCATGGCAAAGTTAGAAATTCACAGATAAATATGCGAATTCCCAGATAAACGCGAAGGGAATATTTTTATAAACTTTCAAATGTATCTATATACAGCGGTAGAGAAAGATAAACCTTAAATTCACACCTAAATTCCGCAACAGATGTGGATATTCCTACAAAATGGGTAGAAATTGTCCCAAAGGTTGCAAAGTTAGAAATTCACAATAAATATGCGAATTCCCAGATAAACGCGAAGGGAATATTTTTATAAACTTTCAAATGTATCTATATACAGCGGTAGAGAAAGATAAACCTTAAATTCACACCTCAATTCCGCAACAGATGTGGATATTTCTACAAAATTTGTAGGAATTGTCCCAAATGTTGTAAAGTTAGAAATTCACAGGTAAATATTGCGAATTCCCACGTAAACGCGAAGAGAATATTTTTATAAATCCTCAAGTCTACACAGATGTGGATATTCCCGAGGAATAAGCTATTTCAAATTTTGTATACACTAAAATTCTAAAAGGAGTTCTAAAAAATTCTAAAGAAATCGTATAAGATTCTAAAAAAATTATACAAATGCTAGTAATTTACGGAAAAATCTAGAACATTCCAGAAAAGTTCCAAAAAATTCTAGAAATTTCATGAAAAGTTCCAAAAAATTCTAGAAAATTAAAATAAATTCTAGAAAATTGTAAAGAAATTGTAGCAGATTCTAAAACAATTCTATAAAATTTAAAAAATTCTAAAGAAATTTTAGATGTTACAAAATTCAAGAAAAGTTCCAAAAAATTTTAGAAAATTAAAAAAATTCTAAAGAAATTGTAGAAGAATTCCCAGGTAAACGCGAAGAGAATATTTTTATAAATTCTCTAATGTATCTACAGACAACAGTAGAGAAAGATAACTCTAATGTGGATATTCCTAGAAAATTTTAGGAATTGTCCCAAATGTTTCTGACCAATCATGGCAAAGTTAAAAATTCACAGATAAATATACGAATTCCCAGATAAACGCGAAGAGAATATTTTTATAAACTTTCAAATGTATCTATATACAGCGGTAGAGAAAGATAAACCTAGAATTCACATCTAAATTCCTGAACAAATGTGGATATTCCTAGAAAATTTTTAGGAGTTGTCCCAAATGTTTCTTATCAATCATGGCAAAATTAGCAATTTACAGATAAATATGCGCATTTTCAGATAAACGCAAAGAGAATATTTTTATAAACTCTCAAATCTACACAGATGTGGATATTCCATTTTGTATACATTAAAATTCTAAAGAAATCGTAGGAAATTCTAAAAAAATTCTACAAACGCTAGTACAGTTGTACACAAAAATTCTACTGTTATTTCCCCTCGGGATTTACGACTTCAAACTAGTACATTCTAGAAAAGTCAGAATTGTATAAAATAATAATTGTGCGTGCGTATGTGTTCGGAAAAAATCTAGAAAAGTTCCAAAAAAATTTAGAAAACTTAAAACAATTATAGAGAATTAAAAAATGCTAGAAAAGTTCCAAGCAATTCTAGAAAACTTAAAATAATTCTAAAAAATGTTAAACGATTTTAGCACAATTCTAGAAAATATTAAAAAATGCTAGAAAATTCATGAAAAGTTCCAAAAATTCTAGAAATTAACAAAAATTCTAGAAAATTAAAAAAATTCTAGGGAAATTGTAGAGGATGTTAAAACAATTCTAGAAAACTTAAAAAAATTACAAAGTTCAAGAAAAGTTCAAAAAATTCTAGAAAATTAAAAAATTCTAAAGGAATTGTAGCAGATTATAAAACAATTCTAGGAAATTAAAAAAAATTCTAGAAAATTCTAAAGAAATTGTAGAAGTAAAACAATTCTAGAAAATTTAAAAAAAATTACAAAATTCAAGGAGTTCCAAAAATTTTTAGCAAATTATTAAAAAAATCTATATTGGCGACAGCGGTACCCAAAATTTGAAAATGACAAACTTGTCAGATTTAGAATTCCCCAAGTCTCCATAATTCAATTACAGATGCGCTCCCAAGTGGACCGACTTACAAATAGCGGCAGAGAACTGCGCCGCAAGCACAAGACGCTGCAAAACCAGGTGCGAACGCTGTGCGACGAGCGCGCCGACTTCCTCGTGCAGCTGCAGGATCAACAGCGCGACATCACCGCGCTCCGGCAGCGATTGGGCCTCGCCGAGAAGGAGAACGAGGACCTCGCCAAGTCCGACGTTTCCTACCCGAGCAACAAGGCGGTGTACGACCTGGACGATCCGAACCGGCCGCGCTTCACTACGGCCGAGCTCAAGGACATCCTTCACGAGCGCAACGAGCTCAAGGCGCGCGTCAGCGACCTGGAGGACGAGCTGGAGACGTACCGTCCGAAGAACGCCACCGAATCGTAAGCCATTCGCCCGTTTTTCGTTTTTTTCTTATTTTTCTTTTAGCAAATTTAAGTTAGTAGAAGCTCCCGTTAAACCCATCCCGGAACCGTTAACGTAATACGCGCTTAGCTTACTCGAACCATTTCTGTAGCTCGCCATTTCAGGCCGCTCGACGAGGACGCCCCGGTCCAAGGTCCGCTGCCGTACGAGCCCGAAGACGCCCCCTGGAAGCGAACGACGTCCGAGTCGGGAATCCGAAAGTTGTAAGTGCTCGACCGGTATCGGATCATTTTCTAAGCGTTTTCTTATGTCGGCAGTTTTCGGAAGTTATTTTCCGAGGGCGGCGGCGGCGGGAGCAGTTTTCCTCGGCGTAGTCTTTCCACGCTCACAAAGATGGCTCTTTCCGCTACTGACGAGCCGATACCTGTCTAGAGAGGCGACGCTGAGCGTGTTCATGAATATCGATTTGTCGGGTAACCTACAACGTTTGTGATCTTCCCCGTTAAATTTTTCTCACAAAAAAAAGTCTCGTATTGTTTCTGTGATATGGATAAAAGTCATGCTGCACGATCTGAAAGACGCCATTTTTTTTGTTGTATCAAAGTCGCAGAAGTACTCATTTTTTTAATTTATACGTAACAATTTTGTTTGTGCACAACTTATGTACAGGCCCGTGCCAAAGTATAAAATATTTGTATTATGTACCTAGGGATGTAAAATAGGTTAGATCTATAGGTTGTAAAAGTAATTAAGTTACATGATAGGGTATCAAATTATTTGTCGTTTAATTACATTTACATCCGTTGTAAATTTTGAACATTAAAATTTAGATATTATTTAATATTGTTATTACATGGCAGAAGGAAAAAAAATAAATAGTTACAGATTTAGTAATTGATAATGTGTAACACATCTGTGAAGCGCAGGCATCTACAACTACCGTTCAAAGTACACAGTTTTCTCATCGTTCAAAGTTCAAAGGTTGGTCTCCGTTCAAAGTCCAAAAGTTGCGCGCCGTTTAAAATCCAAAAAGTCCCTTACCGTTCGAAGTTTTTTGCCCCTCCTTTCGCTGTGGTTTAGAAAATTAGATCAAAGGTCCGTCACCGCTCTGTTTCTCAACTGGAGGTTAAATTAAGGAGTTAGATCAAAGTTCAAAGGTTAATTCATTCTTGTTTAATCCAAATGATCGTTTTGAAGGTCAGTTCAATGACATTAAAATATACAGCGCATCTGCGTATATGTATAACATATTCAGAAGGGATCTCACATTTATTAAAGATGGATTTCTACGATTTCAAGGTCATTCTAATTATGCTAATCTTGATAAGCAACGTTTGAACGGTAGAGAATTCTTGGACTTTGAACCAACTATGCACTATGAACTGCAAGGAAAGTTTGCAGACTTTGAACGGCAACCAACCTTTGGACTTTGAATGGCGAGCAAACTTTGACGACCAACCTTTGGACTTTGAACGGCGGCCAACCATTGAACTTTACAAATCGTTAACCTTTGAAACTTCTACTACGCAGCATCGGTAGCATTTCTGATTTTCACACCGTAAATATTTTAGGGCATTGCGAACAATTTATCTGATTAATCAAGGGGGGCATAAGTCAACAGCTCGCCCAAAATTGTAGAGCGTCATACGGTTCCGGTCACAAAGCACAGAGCTCATACCAATAACGTCAACCGTTCGCCCGAAATTTGGGGTCGGTATACATTTCCGGTTACAAAAGAGAGTTCATACCAATGCCGAGCGAACGTGGCTCGGTCGAAATGCCCAATTCATACCATAAACAGTTGGTGAAGAGGGATTCTATTGGTGGGACGGATTAGCAGCCATTTTGGGGCGTATTTGTTGAAGTTGGTGGGGAATTAAGTGGAGTATTACGCGTTAGACCTTGCGAGCATCGTGTGCGCAGTCAAAAAAACTTAAAGAAACTATAGGAAGATAGTAATATTTTGCGTCATAGTTAAACCGCGAGGCGATTAGCTTCGAGTGGTGAATCAGTCGAGCCAGTAAAGGAAATCCGCTGTAAAACGGTTGCGCGCATTCGCAAGAAAAGAATCTAAATCGAAAAGGGAACAAAGCGCGCATTACAGACAGCGGAAATCGTAAAATCACCGCGAATTTGAATCGTAAGCCGTCAAATTTCATAATTTCCTCGCAGTTAATTAATTATCATTACCAAATTCGATTTCAATTAGATAGCGTAAGTGTGTAATTTTGACATTTCCGAGAAAAGACAAGCAGCCTTTCTTGATTCAAATGCAGATTTCGATGCCGGAAAATAAGGTAATCGCATTTTTCTTGTATTTGTATGTTCAACTCATTACCGTACCCTTAAGGGCAAACAAATCGGAATCTCGAATGAACCAAGGTCAAATTAGTAAATGTAAAATGGTTTTGTCGAAATTTATTTAATATATTTTTGAGTTATTTGATTTTTATCCACTTTCTTAAAAAAAGGGCATGATTAATAATTGAGGTGGTAAAAAAATTGTTTTATTTAACATTATTTTACAAGCAACAAATTGAGTCGTCTGAACGTTAGAATGTTACACCACTAAAATCCGACATTGCAGAATCTGCGATGCGACACGAGACTCAACTATTTAAAAAGGTAGTCATATAAGGAAGAGGGTAGGCATCAATCTTTAATAATACACGTAAACTTTATTTCATTTCTTTATTTGCTTATAAATGGTTTTACAGACATATTCGGTTTAAATCCTCTACGCACGCTCCATTTCCTTCCATTTCTCTTGATTCATCGGATTTTTGCACCTAAAAACTTTAAGCCGACCACAGAGAGCGGTTCGAAGACAAAGGGTTGTAATATGTAGAAAAACAAAGGTTTCAAGTTTTATAAAACACTTTAATAATAATAATAACAATAATAAGATGCCTTTATTCATTAAGGCTGCTCTTCCACTTAACCTACCTCATTAAAGGACTACATCAACCAACATGGAAAAATGTAGTTAGTCTTCTTGAGGTAAGTGACAGTTTAGGATTGAGATGACTCTCTGTACCTGTAAGAAACTGTAAAAAAGTTTAAGCTCAAATTACGGCGGTTAAAACCACCCTCGAGCGAAAACTGGAGACAAGCAGAAAAGGGAAAAAAAGTTTCAGGTTTTATAAAACATTTTACTCTCAACTGTGAAAAATGTAGTTCAACTACACGTAAAAAATACTGTCGTTTACTTACGCACTATCAAAAAATACTGACGATTCGTAATCTAAGGCACCTCCTCACCAGTCTTCCTTGGACGATATACCGTCCGGGTACTCCCCGGTCAAGCAGGCGGTACAGTGACCGATTTTGTTATTTTCCATTTTGGCGTTTCGCTGGACGGCCTTTACCAAACCGTCGACGCTTAAGTACTCCAAGCTGTCCGCCCCTAAAGCGTCATCGTTACCGCATGCTGGCCCACGCCAATACTCACCGACGTGCGACGCGAGATCGGTCGAGTCCAGCGAGTTGGCGATCAACTCCTCCTTCGTCGGAATGTTTATGCCCATATAGCATGGGTGCTGAAGCGGGGGGCTGGCGACTCGGATGTGCACCTCGGTCGCGCCCGCCTTGCGCAGTAGCTTAATGATCGGGCCGATCGTGTTTCCTCGGACGATCGAGTCGTCGATGAGTATCAGACGTTTACCGGCCACGTTCACGCCGATTGGACCTGCAAAAAAAAGACGATCAGTTGACCGCTCCCGTTCGGATAGTGAAAATAATCACTGAATTTCAAGGAGACGTTCAACTGTCGCAGACGGGTCGTGGGCTGTATGAAACTTCGACCGACGTACGTGTTTTTTGTAAGTAACTCCCCGAAAGGTATGTTGGACTAGAGGAGAGAATTGCTAACGTCAACTCACTGTGGGTTAAAGACAAACCTGTTTGGCGAATCCGTGGGCGGCCGCATTCCCGGACTCCGGCACCGACCCGACGATGTCGGCGTCGACTGGGTTCTCGATCGCCAGCTGGCGACCGCACTGCGCTCGCACGCTGTACACCTCCTGGCCCTCGAATATGCTGTTCGGTCGCGCGAAATACACGTACTCGAAGATGCAGAACGCGGGCGCCTTACCTTCGGGCCGGTCGATAATGTCGATCGTCTTGATGCCGGCCCTCGTCATTTCGATGATCTCGCCCGGGTAGACCTCGCGCACGTAGCGAATGTGGGTGAGGAACGCGCACGATTCCGACGCTACGGCCCAACCTTCCGCCTGCGTGTCGTTGAAGCCGTTCACTCCTGAAAGCGACAGAGGTAAGTGGGGGGACAGGGGAAAGGAATCAATCGGAGCAAGACCTCGGCGTCTCACTCCAGCCGAAAGGTGCACTTACGATCGCTAATGGGCAAAATTTTTCCAAGACACAAGGGTCGGTTGCCGTAAGGGTCCCTTACGACGTAAATGCGGTCCTTGAGCATGATGACGATCGAGTAGCTCAGAGGGGAGAGCTGCATGAGGTGCTTGATGCGTCCGGGCCAGTTGGGACCGTTTATCTCGCCCTCGGGTGGATTTAGACATAGAGCTTGCGTTATCAGTTCGCTGTCGGAATGGGTCGAGAGGCCTACTCCTCTTCCGAGTACCTGGAATATAATATTGGTTTTTTCTTTTGTTTGGTTGCTATAAATGACACATACGTAATGTGTTCTCATGTAAAGATATTATTTCCACATGGCAGCGTTCTACTTGTAGAAAGGTGGCTTTGGAATTCAAGTACGACTTTTGTGATTGGCTTGTGTGATGAGTCGGCGGTTTTTGTTTTATACGGGGTTTGTTTCCAGTGGAATTTTCCACCATCTTATTTTGCGTATGTACCAAATGTGATTTATTTTTTGACTTGTGACTATTTATGTTATTTGAATACTGTTATGTGATGGGCCTCGAAACCCTACTCAGTGTGCAACTATCGTACCCTTGTATTATTATTATTATATAATCAAATAGGTTATGTTTGAGCCAAAAGCGGGCTCCTGAGTTCTAAACACACCCCTATGTATTATTATCCTGGCTAAAATAGCGGGCGCCTGAGCTCAGACATGTATATTCTTCGCCCGTGCAACCCTGATGTGAATGTCGGGCTCCGTTACATAACAGCCTTAATAAATACACTCATTTCCGTGAAAGACGGTGGCACAATATTTTAAATGTTACTGTAAAATCACGATTATAAAATTCCCTGACGTCGTACAAGTGGAAAGAAAAAAAGTAAGTAACTGTATTTCCTGGAAAATGTTCAGTAACTTTTTCTCCTTCCTTGTAATCAATGAAGACCCTAGAGCTACTCTCGTGGTAATGAGTGGTTTGTATCTCGACTTTAAAAGTACGAAAGGTGGGGGTATTTCTCGAGAAAAAATGCGCTTTTCAGGTGTGAAACGGATTTTCCCTATGGAACAATAGGACGCGTTGAGAGTGTGGAGATATTGAACAAGACGCTTCGAACGCGCCGGATATCAAGCCCCCCCCCTCCGCGCTTCACGGTTAATCAGAGAGGCGTACGGTGAAAATGTGCTTAGGAGTGCGCTGGCGGGTGGACCACCGATCGCGCGGCGACGGATGCTCACCGAATAGCTCCGTCTAGGGGAGTGGAATTTAGATTCTACGTTCCGATTTTGTAAAACGATCGTGCCGTAGAGTAGATGAGAATATGTGATAAAGAAGAAAATTGCTCGCGCCTCCCCCCCCCCTGCCGTTTTAGTTTTCTGTACAAAACGCATTCTGGCAAATAAACGTTAAAAGCCAGGAGTAGACCGCTTCGGCTAAAAGGAGTACCGTCTTGGTTCCATTGAGCAAACATTTGTATCGCATTCCTGGGGGGAGGACAGTTACCGTAAAAAGTTGAAAAAGTTATTCGACCAGTGGGGTTGTCACTTCAGGAATTCGCAGCAGTTAGGGGTGCGCATAACTAGAATTGCTTTCTGAATGAAGGAGGTTATGGGGGAAAACAGCACGGGGGGGGGGGCCATTAGGTTGATTCAATTACTTTTTTTCCCCACAAGCGCGCTTCCAAACAAGGTAATTGAACCTACCTGTGTGTGGGCGGGGGGGGGGGGGGGGTACTCCATACCCCTCGGTTCTATGTACGACCCAAAAACGAGTACTTCTCCAGAAAGAATATTTGATTGTCAATCACAAGTGCCTCCAGGATTGAGGATTTATAGCACCGGGGGGGGGGGGGTCTGGGGATTATGAAATACTCCCCAGTACACACAGTACACAACACAGGTAGATTCAATTACCATTTTTCACCACAAGCACTCAGAAACTAGTTTCCAAAAAATGACAACTGAATCTACCTGTGTACTGGGGATATTAGAATCCCCCCCCCCCCCCAAGGTGCTATATGTTGGACTTAAAAACGAATACTTCTCACGAAAAAAAGATGTGATTATCATTTTCTATAAACTACTACAAGCGTCTTGACGACTGAACATTTGGACAGCGAGGGGGGGGGGGCTTAGCAGCAGGAGGTGTGGAGGGTATGGACACAACACAGGTAGATTCAATTACCTGCTTTTACCCCAGTAATTATCAAAAGTAGTCAACAAAACAAGGTAATTAAACCTACGTGTGCGTGGACTGGGTCCATACCCCCTCCCCCTCCCCCGTGCTATTTTCGGCACAAAAACGAATACTTCTCAAGAAAGATAGATTTGATTGTCCTTTTCTATAAACAATCAAAAGTGTCTTGAGGACTGAAGATGGAGAGGGGGGGGGGGCATAGCAGCAGGGGGTCTGTAATACCTCCAAGTTACCTGTTTTTACAACAAGCACTCTCAAAAGTAGTCTTCAAAACGACATAATCTTGTAATTGTTTTGTGGGAGAACATAGCACCGGGGGGGGGGGGGATCTAGGAGTATGGAATACCCCCAAGGTTGCACAGGTACATTCAGTTAACTGTTTTCACCACAAGTACTCTCAAAGTAATCTTCGAAAAAATGTAATTGAATCTACCTGTGTTGGGGGAGGGGGAGTGCTACTCCGCAATGCTATGTTCGGCCCAAAAGTAAATGCATTTCAAGAAAGGAAGATTTGAGGTAATGCAGTGATCCAAACAACAAGGTTACTGTTATACCACCTGTACGATGCATTCACTTATTGGTCCATTGAGCCGAATCAAATTTCTTTTCGCTCTTTTTCACCTTTTCAAATACAGAAATGGCGTTTGAAGCAAACATTTTCACAACGCTTAAAGAAATAAAACCAAATTTTACCCAAAGGAAAAACAATAAAAAATTCACAAATTAAAAAATTAGAAAAAATGAAAAAAAATATGTCAAAATACAAAATTGCTTGTTGGTCCAATGCGCATAATGTCAAAATAATGTTGTATGTAAAGGGTGCTCCATAAAATTCTTCAAACTTTTTATTAAATATATAAAATCAATTGTTTAAATAATTCTAGTCATTTTAAGATTTATTAAGAGCTCTAAAATTGTATTTGAGGGGGGGGGGGGGGTGTCAGAACACTAATGAAAATTAATGAGGAGCTAACTTCAGACAGCCAACAATAGAAAGAGAAACACCAGGATGCTCAAAATCACTATCTACACTGTGGTCAAAAATAATTAATGCTGCCATCTACTGTGTGACCGACAAAATAAAAAAATCACAGTGTCATTTAATGATCAACTGCCGCTAGTTGGCTGCAAGTCTAGATTTGGTCACAAACTGTGGTATGGGATCAGCTTTTCGGTTAGTGCCTTCAGGACTGAGGATGTTGGGAGGGAACATAGCACCAGGGGTGTGGGGATTATGGAATACTCCCCAGTACACAACACAGGTAGATTCAATTACCTTTTTTTTTTCCACACGCACTCAAACTAGTTTTCGAAAAAAGGTAATTGAAGCTACCTGTATGTGTACTGGGGGGTATTGGAATAGCCCCCACCCAGTGCTATGTTGTTCGACTCAAAAACGAATACTTGTCAAGAAAAAAAGATTTCATCATTTTCTATGAAGTAACACAACTGCCTTGAGGACTGAAGATGGGGGGGGGGGGGGCATAGCAGTAGGGGATGTAGAGGGTATGGAATAACTCCAGGACACAACACAGGTAGATTCAATTACTTGTTTTTACCACAATAATTCTCAAAAGTAGTATACGAAACAAGGTCATTGAACATATCTGGGTGTGGACTGGGTCCATACCCCCCCCCCAACCGGGGCTAATTTTCGCTCCAAAAAGAAATATTTCTCAAGAACAGATTTGATTGTCGTTTTCTAGAAACTATCACAAGTGCCTTGAGAATTGAAGATTTTTGGGGAGAGAACATAGCACCGGAGGTCTAGGGGCTATGGAATACCCTCCAACACACAGGTAGATTCAATTACCTTTTTTTACCTCAGCACACAATCTACCTGTGTGTTGGGAGGGGGGGGGGGGTCGCTACCCCTCAAACGCTCCGGTGCTATGTTCGACCCAAAAGCAAATACTTTTCAAGAAAGGAAGATTTGAGGTAATGCAGAGTATTCAAAGAACAAGGTACTGTTGCATTTTTACCACCTGTACGATGATATTCACTTACAAAAAAGTGTAATAAGGTATTGGTCCATTGAGCCGAATCAAATTTTTTCTTTTCGCTCTTTTTCACCTTTTCAAATATAAAAATAGCGTTTAAAACAAACATTTTCACAACGTTTAAACAAATAAAAACAAATTTTACCAAATGGAAAAACCGGGGGAAAAACAACAAAAAACACAATCACAAATTAAACAATTAGAAAAAAAAATAAGTGCTGCATAAAATTCTTCAAACTTCTCAATCAAAAGTTATAGACTAGAAACCAATTTCGAAAGAAAATTCAAAGGGCTGTAACTTTTGAACTAGTAGCCCAATCTTGGAACTGTTTGAAATTATGGATTCTACAGGCCACATTCTATAAGAAAATTTTTTTTCCGGGTCGATCTGAGACAATTTTTTTTTCGGGGCTCAAAAAAAGGCAGTGTATACCCTTCCTTTTTTACCAAAAATCGACTGCACCAAAATTTCTCGGGAAAACACTTTTTCTTATTAATTTTGGTGCGTAGAATCCAAAACAATTCGTACTTTTTCGATCAGACTTCTCAATCAAAAGTTATAGACTAGAAACCAATTTCGAAAAGAAAATTCAAAGGGCTGTAACTTTTGAACTAGTAGCCCAATCTTGGAACTGTTTGAAATTATGGATTCTACAGGCCACATTCTATAAGAAAATTTTTTTTCCGAGTCGATCTGAGACAATTTTTTTTTCGGGTCTCAAAAAAAGGCAGTGTATAACCTTCCTTTTTAGCCAAAAATCGACTGCACCAAAATTTCTCGGGAAAACACTTTTTCTTATTAATTTTGGTGCGTAGAATCCAAAACAATTCGTACTTTTTCGATCAGACTTCGCAATCAAAAGTTATAGACTAGAAACCAATTTCGAAAAAAAATTCAAAGGGCTGTAACTTTTGAACTAGTAGCCCAATCTTGGAACTGTTTGAAATTATGGATTCTACAGGCCACATTCTATAAGAAAATTTTTTTTCCGGGTCAATCTGAGACAATTTTTTTTTCGGGGCTCAAAAAAAGGCAGTGTACAACCGAGTGTACAACCTTCCTTTTTACCCCCCCCCCCCAGGTGCTATGTTCGACTCAAAAACAAATACTTCTCAAGAAAAAAAGATTTGACCAATAAAAAAAGATTTGATCATTTTCTATAAACTATCACAAGTGTCTTGAGGACTGAAGATTTTGGAGGAGAACATAGCACCAAGGGGTCTAGGGGATATGGAATACCTCCCGGTACACACACAGGTACATTCAATTACCTTTTTTCACCACAAGAAGTCTCAAAGTAATTTTCGAAAAAAGGTAATTGAATCTACCTGTGTGTTAGTGGAGTGGGTGGAGGTATTGCTACCCCTCAAACCCCCCGGTGCTATGTTCGGCCCAAAAGCAAATACATTTCAAGAAAGGAAGATTTGTGGTAATGCAGAGATCCAAAGAACAAGGTACTGTTACATTTTTACCACCTGTACGATGCATTCACTTACAAAAACCGTAATAAGGTATTGGTCCATTGAACCGAATCAAATTTCTTTTTGCTATTTTTCACCTTTTGAAATATAAAATAACGTTTAAACAAATTAAAACAAATTTTACCAAATGGAAAAATAATAAAAAACACAATCACATATTAAAAAATTTAAAAGATAAGGCAAAATACAAAATTGCTTTTTTCAATTGTTTCTAGAGTCTTTGTACGATTTTAAGATTTATTAAAAGCTCTAAAATTTTTTTTGGGGGGGGGGGGGGTCAGATTTGGTCACAAACTGTTCTATGGGCTGATAGTTCTAAATTCAATGTTAGTACCTAATGATTTAAATAGGGGGGCTAACTTCATGGATGTGATCTGCAGAAAACGGCCACCCTGTACTTAGATCATTCCAAAATCACTACCACTAACTGACTTTTATGATGTTACATTTCAAATAGGTTTTTTTTATCGAATATTTCCCGACAAAGATGCTCACCATTTTACGTAAACCGTCCTTATTGACAAGCTCGCCGTTATGCGCTACTGCCAACGACCCGTGAATGGAGTGAACGAAAAACGGCTGACAGTTGACCTGGTCGGAAGCACAACTCGTCGAGTACCGCGTGTGACCAATTCCCATGCTCCCCTGCAACTTCTTCATGTTTTCCGAGTTGAAAACGTTCCGTACCAGCCCCATCCCCTTTTGCGTGTGAAAGCTTGTGCCGTTCGTCGTCACGATGCCCGACGACTCCTGCCCCCTGAAACAGAACGGTCGATATTGGGCAAGGGCCCCTCGCGACAACTCACCTGTGCTGTAACGCCTCCAAGCCGATCATGATTATCTGTGAGATGTCCACATTCTCGGGCCAAAATTCGGTTCCTATGGCGCCAAAAACGCCACATTCGTGCGTTAGTCCCGTTGCGTTTTTGCTCATTTCCGCTTCGGAGGATTTTCTGCGAAATAAGTCGCAAAAGCAACAATTTCAAGTGCACAACGTGCGTGGTTGTGGTTTTGCACGAAATTGCGCCATCTACAATTTCAAATGGTAGGAAATGGGGGGAAGTTTGAAAACAGTTAAAAGGTCATCGCTACACGTGGCGATAAGTTTTTCTTTTGTTTGCGAAAGTAACGGACTTTCACTTTTCACTGCCCGCTGTGACGTTAAGGCAACGTCAGACGTGGTGTGATATCGCCCACCAGTGCCGGCTCGTTATCTTCATACAGTGGCGTTCTCTAAAAATATTTCTATTCTCCTGTTACTTCAAATTCTTTAGTTTCTTCTCACTGAGCTGTTCTCCTGATACCACCGTTTATAAGCCAAGCAAAAGGTGAACGAGAACAGATGATCGAATCATTAGGCACATAAAGATAAAAATTATCATCCCAACAAAAGGTTTTGTCCACACACTAACATTTTCAGAATTATTATAGGGTTGGCCAAATATTCTGTTCTCCTGCCACCATCAAGCCCACTAACCTTTCCGAGCGAAACAAAAAATGAACAGAGGTGATCGAGTCAGAATTCATCAGACACCTGAATGATCGTAAATCTTAACAAATCCTTTCTGGGCTCCTGGCCAGGGCGAGCCAACAAGCCGCGCGGGTCCTCAAAACGGGTCCGGTAACGAGGCAGCCTCCTCGAAAGAGGGGACGGCTCCAAAGCAGGGCCCTGGTAGTGAGCCAGCTTCTAGATTCCCAAGGATGAATAGAACAGGCGCACAGAAGGCGATGCCCAGGAAGCGCAGGCTCGCGGGTAAAACCTCGGGTCAAGCGGGCCCTGCTCCAAAGGAGTCGTGGGCTCAGGGAGTGCTCCGGCTGTGCCAAGTAAGTGAGACTGGAGCAGCGGGACCCAGTCCCATTGCAACGGGGAGGCGGGGGGCTCAATCCCTCGTTATCGAAGGGGTGTCGGGATTATTACCGCGATGTCCTCAACGCGAGAAAGACGTCGACGAGCTTTTGGCTCGTGTGGTGGTTCCTGGCTCCGACGAGTCAGTACCGTCGGCATCACCGGAAGAGGGGGAACCTATAGTACAGGGTGGTTAACTAAGAATGCAAGGTACTGTGTCTGGGAACCTGTCCATCATAGAGGCTTGCGGTAAAAAATGTAATACTAAAACGGCCACGAGCAAAACCTGGAAAATATTTTTAGGTTTCTGAAATGACCGCTATGGGGCGTAACTGCAATCTGGAATATAAAAAAAGTGATGTTTGTGTGAATTCCCGAGTTTGTTAAAATCGGCTCAGTCGTTTCGAAGATACAGGGTGTTCCTTACGGAAACCTTTAAATACCCCCCCCCCAACGCTTCATTTTTAGAGATACATGAAAAATTGTCAAACAAAAAAGGGTTCAGATTATCGTCAACTTCAAAGACTGGACATTTTTTTGTTAGGTTAATATAGCGGAATTCACAGAAAAATCACTTTTTTAAATTCCAGATTGCAGTTACGCCCCCTAGCGGCCATTGCAGAAACTTAAAAATATTTTCCAGGTTTTTCTCCCTGTGAATATGATTGTCGATACGAAGCACCCTATACATCATGTTAGTTACACAAGCTGCCAACCGAAATCTGGTGGGATTACAGAAAAGGGAAAGAGAGCGAAGATGAGACGGATGGAATTTCTTGGAAGACCACATGTGTTTACAATTCCAAACACCTGCAGTGCATTTTTTTTCTTAGAAATGCGTGAAATGCAGGGAATGGGCGATTTTCGGGTGGTTTTTAGGGGTATTGGTAGATCAAATTACCGCGTGGCTTGGGTTGGTCAAATAAATAGGATTTAACATGTGTGTTCATGGTCTTTGTCTTGTAACCGGCTGAAGTGTAAAGTACAGCTTGTCTTGAAAATATTTTGTTATACCTTAATCATTGCTGTGTGCTGTTGCTTTATTATATCATAAATCTATAAATGTGTGTAACTTGAATGCAGATTGTAACCCTTTTCTTATGTACTTACTGAATTCAACCACTTGTACCTTTAATGTGTAACCTTTGTTGGTATTGGCAATCATGTTTCATTGTCGGTAGGGCTGTATCTGTGCTGTACATACTTGCATGTGTAGATATTTAATTTGTGTATTGTACTTTTTAGTCACTCTCGATTATTCCATTGCATTTCATTATATTTGCTTATTTGGGACTGTGAGTAATCAAGAGGGAAGTGTGCTTGTTTAGAGGGGATCGAGCTATTCAAGTTTATACGGCCTTGGTGAACCTAACACTAACATTTTCACTCGTTCCGAACCCAACAACTTTAGCCCAGGACTACAGGGTCTCCACTGGTCTTGGGTAATCCTCCCGCCCGGCGAGGTATATTTGACATCTCTTAGTTTTGTCCGATGTATGTGTTGTAATACCTGGGGAATGGCTCGATCCCATTTTGGTTACTCATAGCATGTTTGTAGTAGTTACTCCGATTTCGCGAGGGCTCAAAAGTGCTATACATTAGATGTTGTTCATTATAGGACTACTCCGAATTAGGTTTTCCTGCAGTTTTCCTAATTCGTAAGGTAAATGCCGGAGTAGTATAGAACCACTTAAGACCCTCTGCAGGGGCACCGTTTTGGTATTAGCTTCAATATAAACTTAATCAGCTATTGCTTTTGGTGTTCCTTACCCATAAAACGCCCTCAGTGCCTGCTGAGAACCCAGTTATTACACAACGTAAGTGTCCTACATGACGACCACGATCTTAGTGCACTCGGCGTGGCCCCCGAGTGACGGATTCTCGCGGGAAACTTAAGCGAGAATATTCTAACAGGCAGCCATGTTAGTTTGGCATTCCCAATACTATAGAACATGGCCAAATATTCCGGTGTGAAGTTGGCGTTAGCCCGCCAAGATAGTAGGAGGCTAAGATCATCACACCTCTACGATGGACAGGTTCCCAGACACAGTACCTCGCATTCTTATTTGGCCACCCTGTACATCAGTGATGGACGAGGTAACCAGGGAAATTTTTGCAGCACTGTAAGGGGGCGACCTGATTAATAGGCCGTCTGCCGCTGTAAAATGCGGACCTTTCCCGGAACAAGAAAACACCTTGGTAGAACTCATACCTTGAAAAAGCTCGCAGACTCTTTAACAGAGCCATATGCAAACTAAGCTGCCTGCGGACTGGGAATACCTCAAGATCGCTCAGACAAAATTTCTGTTCTCCTGACACCATCAACCCTTTCCCAACAAAACAGAAAGTAGAAGGGTAACAGGTGAGTGTATCAGGCGCATAGAAATAAGAACAAAAAGCTTTATCAACCTACGCAAATGTTGGAACTATTATTGGGTTGACAAAAAATCCTGTTCTCCTGACACCACCACCCCTAACCCCGCCCAAAACAAAGAAAGCTGAAGGTAACAGTTTATCGAATAAGGAACATAGAGATCAAATCCCCTGGTACCACAACTAGTAGTAAAAAAAACATCTGAGAACCAGATACAAAAAAATTTGCTTATTTTTGGAGGTAGGTACAATGGTAGATCAGTAGTTCAAACGCATCAAATCGTAGTTAATTTGCTCACACGAAATATCAAGGTTTTGACAGCCGACATGCCGTTTTGAAAACACAAAATGGCAAAGTGGACCGAATCCGGAATTTTGAGGAAGGCAAATAAAGAGAAGCACGAGGACCTACTCGTCTTCGGATATGCCTGTAAGCTTTTCAGGGACGACGTCAAAGCCCTTTACATCGATCAAGGCAAGCATCTCATCCCCTGGATGGGGGAGGATTCCTTGAAGATCGACAGGTTAGGATCTTACTCTCAGGCGGCTATATTTACGGCCTATCACTTGCAGGTATGACTGCAGAGGCGCCTTATCGGAATTGAAACAGTACGAGGCGGGCAGCGGCGGCGTCAGCCGGCTTTCGGAGATGAGCGAGTCGGAACGGCGGATGGAGCAGATGTGCGACGAAGAACGATACTATTCGCTCAAATACAACGAGGAGGAGTTGGAACTGTACAAAGGTAATCGTAATTGGGCCGTCGATCAATTTTACTACGACAAATTTGTAGAGGAGGAGCTAAAACGCTTGCAGCAAAAGAACAACGAAGTGCAGTACAATTACGACGTGCCAACTGATCCTAAAAATTCGCAGGAAGTGAGCGAAGTGGTCGAGGAGGAAGATAAACCGTTCATACCTCCACCCGACTTAAACGTGCCAGCAGATGTTGACGCGGTATGTTTCAGAAATTTAAAAAAAAAATAGCCTAGGTACAAGTTTCCTAGGCATTTCCAAAAACTCATATTTCTGAAAAATGTTAATCGGACCTGGCTTGGGGGGAATACTAATTGACTTTTTGTGTTGTGCAGCCGGAGACCGTTAAAGTGAACGCCCGAATCGAAAAGACTGCCCTATTCATAAGCAAACAAGGACCCCAGATGGAGATTCTCATTAAGACCAAGCAGGCGGACAATCCTCAATTTCGGTTTCTAAACAAGGACGACCGACTGCACAAGTATTACAAGTTCTTGCTGTCCGCGATCAAAAGTGGACAGTACAAGATACAGCAGGAGGAGGAACCCGACGGTAAGACGGCGCCATTTTTAATTGCTAGTTAGTAGAAAAGGGGCGCTATCCCAACCACTTTGTGTGACGTCACAAGGTCATAGTCTTGGCATTTCAAATATTATTTATTTTTTAATAATAATAATGTAAATAATACGGTTAAGAACGTATTCCCAAAAAAATATTCGCCTTGTGTTTTGTTTTGAGATTAGGGACATCTAGTAGTCATTGCGCTGTAGTTAGTTTGTAGGTAAACAAGTGTGTTCGCCGAAAGTAAACACAAGGGTGAGTTTTTTAAAGACGCACAATAACTGATAAGTGGGGGTGGCGGCATTATTTGCCAATGCGCCTTTGTTTTTTAAATGCCTCTAATCCTCTGTCAGTCTGAGTTAGGGCTCAGTTTACATCCGCTTTAATACGAATATAAGGGCACACTTTTTAGTAAGCGTGAGATAAACTTGTACCGTGAAAACCTTTGGTCTGGCTTATTTTGGGAAAGACTTTTAGAACCATCTGAGATCGGTAGTAAGAAAGACACTAACAAATGAAAATGTCGCCATTTTGAGGTATTGTGGGCGGGAAAAAGTTGCGAAGTGACTAAGGGGGGATCAGACCTGATCTGAAAAACATAATTAATGTCAGCCCGTGTGGCGCAGTTCAATTGAAGCTGGATTGTGGTGCTAAGGGTCCCTGGTTCGGACATGGATATTTGTAAATGTATAGTGGCTTGGGTTGGTAGATCAGCGTTGGCTGAAACCCCGCCCACTCAAAAATAAAGGTTAAAATTCCATATGCTATAAGTATTGGGCCACTTGACTGTGGGAAAACTCGATTGAAAAAATTAGAAAGCATATCCGCCACATAAATTACGTAATATGATTTTCGAATCTCGAGAATCTATACAGGGTCGTCGAAAAAAGGTGCACCCCGATTTTAAACATTAATAAGGCGCCATTTTTTTCACCAAAAGATTGAGAAAATTTACTTATTTTAATAGGTTTCTATGTAAGCTCCTGCGAGACAACAGACATCTGAGCGATAGTCGACCTTCGTCTGTCTCATGTCCATACACTGCGCGAAAACGTCAGTGTAATCGTGCACTTACATTCAGTCCAAAGGTTGTCAGTCGTTCAAAATCCACACAGTTTATTCACCGTTCGAAGTCCAAAGGTTGGCCGCCGTTCAAAGTTTAATTCTCGCCGTTCGAAGTCCAAAAACTCCCTCACCGTTCAAACGTTGCTTATCAAAGAGACAAGGCCACGACCTCGCCAAAAAAAGTGGTGGTGCCATAACTTTCTTTAGAGCACTTCAATTGAAATTATGCGCAATGGCCCCAATTCTTTTTTAGTCTACACGTCAGAACTAACCGCATGCGTCGGTGTAATCGTGCACTTACACATTCAGTCCAAAGGTTGTCAGCCGTTCAAAATTCACACAGTTTGTTCACCGTTAGAAGTTCAAAGGTTGGACGCCGTTAATAGTCCAAAGGTTGGTCACCGTTCAAAGTTCAATCCTCACCGTTCAAACTCCAAAAACTCCCTCACCGTTCAAACGTTGCTTATCAAAGAGACAAGGCCACGACCTCGCCAAAAAAAGTGGTGGTGCCATAACTTTCTTTAGAGCACTTCAATTGAAATTATGCGCAATGGCCCCAATTCTTTTTTTAGTCTACACGTCAGAACTAACCGCATGCGTCGGTGTAATCGTGCACTTACATTCAGTCCAAAGGTTGTCATCCACACAGTTTGTTCACCGTTCGAAGTCCAAAGGTTGGACGCCGTTCAAAGTCCAAAGGTTGGCCGCCGTTCAAAGTTCAATCCTCACCGTTCAAAGTCCAAAAATTCCCTCACCGTTCAAACGTTGCTTATCAAAGAGACAAGGCCAGGACCTCGCCAAAAAAAGTGGTGGTGCCATTACTTTTTTTTAGAGCACTTCAATTGAAATTATGCGCAATGGCCCCAATTCATTTTTAGTCTACACGTCAGAACTAACCGCATGCGGCGGTGTAATCGTGCACTTACATTCAGTCCAAAGGTTGCCAACCGTTCAAAATTCACACAGTTTGCTCACCGTTCAAAGTCCAAAGGTTGGCCGCCGTTCAAAGTTCAATCCTCACCGTTCAAAGTCCAAAAACTCCCTCGCCGTTCAAACGTCGCTTATCAAAGAGACAAGGCCACTACCTCGCCAAAAAAAGTGGTGGTTGCATAACTTTCTTTAGAGCACTTCAATTGAAATTATGCGCAATGGCCCCAATTCATTTTTAGTCTACACGTCAGAACTAACCGCATGCGTCGGTGTAATCGTGCACTTACATTCAGTCCAAAGGTTGTCAGCCGTTCAAAATCCACGCAGTTTGTTCACCGTTCGAAGTCCAAAGGTTGGACGCCGTTCAAAGTCCAAAGGTTGGCCGCCGTTCAAAGTTCAATCCTCATCGTTCAAAGTCCAAAAACTCCCTCACCGTTCAAAAGTTGCTTATCAAAGAGACAAGGCCACGACCTCGCCAAAAAAAGTGATGGTGCCATAACTTGCTTTAGAGCACTCAATTGAAATTATGCGCAATGGCTCCAATTCATTTTTAGTCTACACGTCAGAACTAACCGCATGTGTCGTGTAATCGTGCACTTACATTTAGTCCAAAGGTTGTCAGCCTTTCAAAATCCACAGTTTGTTCACCGTTCGAAGTCCAAAGGTTGGACGCCGTTCAAAGTCCAAAGGTTGGCCGCCGTTCAAAGTTCAATCCTCATCGTTCAAAGTCCAAAAACTCCCTCACCGTTCAAAAGTTGCTTATCAAAGAGACAAGGCCACGACCTCGCCAAAAAAAGTGATGGTGCCATAACTTGCTTTAGAGCACTCAATTGAAATTATGCGCAATGGCTCCAATTCATTTTTAGTCTACACGTCAGAACTAACCGCATGTGTCGTGTAATCGTGCACTTACATTTAGTCCAAAGGTTGTCAGCCTTTCAAAATCCACAGTTTGTTCACCGTTCGAAGTCCAAAGGTTGGACGCCGTTCAAAGTCCAAAGGTTGGCCGCCGTTCAAAGTTCAATCCTCATCGTTCGAAGTCCAAAACCCCCTCACCGTTCAAACGTTGCTTATCAAAGAGACAAGGCCACGACCTCGCTAAAAAAAGTGGTGGTGCCATAACTTACTTATAAAGTTCAATCCTCACAGTTCAAAGTCCAAAAACTCCCCCACCGTTCTTACTTATAGTTATGCGTTAATAATAATAAATTTTTTTCTAATTGAAATTGTTCTCGTAGCTAACGTGATACGCGAAGAGGGCGCCGACGAAGACGAAACTGGCGATCACTACTTACATCCAAGTTTATTAGCGGCCTCTGTACAGCCGGTAGGTTACACATTTGATACTATTGTCTACGTCGATTGTAACGATAGTTTAGTTTTAGCGATTATTTATAAATTTTTATCAGTGTATTTTAGTGAGTGTTTGTATAGAGCGGGTTCTCGAAATGGTAATAAATATTTCCTCTATAAACGTTGTTTATTTTCTTGTAGTCATGCGTTTACTAATAGTCTTCTCTGTTTACAGGTCCTCTGCCGGTGGCGCGTAAACCCTTTGTGTCAGAACCACGGGGTTACGCTTTTTTTTTGTGTTTTCGAAATTTTGTTCAAGTCAGTTATGTGTTTCTGCAACCTCATGGTTCTGTTGTGCTCAAACGAAAGACCTATCCGCTGATTTCTTAAGTAAAGTTAGTGAATAACAAGAACTTATTGTTTGAACAGGCACCGCCACCTTTGCCCACAGTGCCGTACAAGCCATCCGCAGACTGCAAGTACTCGCAGTTGGTCAATCGCATTCAGGGTACTCAAACCGACTCGTTAACTCCGCCTCCGCAACACCCGCCCCCCGATTTGTCGCAAGGCCAGATGACGTACGACCAGCAGCAGTATTACCAACAGTACTACTACATCGCGCAGTACTACGAGTACTATAAGCAGATGGCGCAACAGTTCCAAGGGCATAACACCGAGGTGTCATCGGACGCGAAGAGTTAGTGTCGATTTCTTAATCGCTCTTTTGCATCATTTCATTGTAGTACCATTGGAAACCCAAAATCAAGTTTTCCCGCCAAATCAAGCAGTTTACTCGCACTATCAGCAACAATCGAGCAATCCCTACGCGCAGATCGTCTCGAACTTATCCCAAAGTAAACCACCCGAAGCCGAGCCGCCCGCTGCTACCCCGACGGATATTGCCAAAGCCCCGATCATCTACAGTCAAGTCGAACCCGCGCCCACGGAAGTCCAACCTCAGATCGTCGCCGCCGCACCCGCCCCGCCGGCGGTCAAGAAGCCGCTACTATCGCTCGCTCAATACGGCTCCGATTCGGAACCGGAAAACCCACCCGAGCCCGAGGACAACGCGAAGAACGTCAAGATTCCGCCGACCGAAACCGAACAAATAATAAACAAAATGGCGAGTTACGTCACGAAGAACGGCAAAGACTTCGAGAACATCGTGCGGTCGAAGGGCGATCCGAGGTTCGAGTTTCTGAACGAATCGCACCAGTTTCATCCGTACTATCGTTTGAAGGTGAAGCATTACTCCGAGGCTCAGAGTAATAAAGGGGCGAGCGAGTCGGAGAACGGTGTGCCGAAATCCAAAGAGAAAAAGAATATCAGTAAGTGTTACACTCTTGCTGAGAGGGTCAAAGGTATCTCTTTTATTTGGCGAGATTGCAAAGTGCAATTTTGTATGCGACACCAACTTCCGGTTTGACCGGAAATCGACGCAACTTTTGTTTTTCAAATGCAACGCCTATGGTAGCGAATACTACCTTTGAGTCGTAGCCGCAGGCTGACTGAGCTCAGAAGGGTGCTGTCTGCCAATAATTTTCAATCAGATAAAACTAAAATTTTAATCGCCAATCTAGCATGCCGTGTGCCATATCACACAGAAAAGACCTTCAAATCGTTCATTGTTTCGTCTTGAAAATTAGTTCAAAAGTTGCCACAATTTATGATTAAAATTTTTCGTATCTCGCCAAATAACGCATTGATTATGATTTGCAGCTCCCGTTAGTTTTTCGATAAAGAAGCCGAAAGACGAAATGCCAAAAGATATCAAAAGTGCCTTGCCAATGGAGGAGAGCGACGAAGAAGAGGTCGTCGACTGCAAAACGCCAGTGGAGACTTCCGCCCATAACACGCCTACTACGACGCCGGTTCGCGTGCATCACAGCGCGAGCTTGACACCGCCCCCGAGAGTAACCGAACCGTCGACCGATGAAACCAAAGACGACAGCAAGTCGTTCGAAGCCGAAGATTTAATATTGGAAATGATCGACTTAACGGACGATCTGGAAGAGCGGCGCGAGACGAAGAGAGGTAGGCACGCCACTGCGCACGCACCATGTATAATTGTCACCTGTTACAGTCGAGGATAGAAAGAAGGACAAGATCGCGTCGGCCGCGCGCGAAAAGTTGGCCCTGCAGCTCGAGCGCAAGAAAAAGGCCGCCGCGTTTTTAAAATTAAAATCCGTCAAGTCTTCGCCGCCGAGGCAAGATCCCGCCGCCAGGCACAAGGCGAAGAGGTCGCGGAACGTCGAGGTCGAAGTGTTGAAAATCGAAGATTCCGAATCGGAGGAGGGCGAAATTAAGCGACACAAAAAATCGGCGAAGCGGAAAAAGTCGCATAAAAGGTAAGCAGGCGCATTGTAAAAGTCCGACTCGTAACTTTGTTGCCTAGGAAACGCTCGAGGAGTAGACACGAGTCGAGAAGTCGGCAGAAGAGCAAAGAGCACAAGAAGGCAAAGAAGCGAAGGAGAAGGTCGCGCTCCGAAAGCAAGTCCTCTAGTTCGTCGCAATAATTAAATTTGTAAATGTGTAATTATAAAGTCGTGTACAGTCACTTATTTATATTAAAACTTTGCATATATTTCATTACCTGAAATAATTGGATCAGGAGTTGTAACTGTCATTGCGTCTATGGCATTACCCTCAAGCCTCATTCTTCCTTTTCCCACATCGTTCTTTTCTCGTTATGAGTACGTTTTAGTTAGACAGGTTAAGCAGAGTCCAGAGGTGAAGTCCATAAGGTTATAATTGCAATTTCCAATTATAATTATTCTGGCGATTGAACCTATATTTTGTGGATCCATAATGTGGTTTGAACGGTTGAGTGTCCTGCTTTCCTTCAGAAGGAAACGTAATTTTTAAGTTGATTACACGTCGACCAATGTCCTTCAGCCACCGAGTCATGTAGTTCGGCTTTCTTTTATTTGTTCTGCTGGCATTAACAAAGCTATTGGTGTTTTTGAAATTTTGTTAAAGGAGAATATGGTGTAGTAGAAGGGGTGCTCCTTTAAATACTGGAATCAAAGTAAAAACGAGGTTTTGCGACGGTTAAAGAGCATGTACACCTTTTTAGGCTAATTTTCTGGCAGCTGGCCTTTTTTGTTTTGTTGAAGACTGCATTTTTCTAATAAACTAGTAGACCCGGCGAACTTCGTACCCCCTTTGGGAAATCGTTTTCTGAGCCGCCTCACCTCGGGCACCCGGTGAACTACATACCGCCTAACAGTCCATGTTTTCTTGGTTGGGGTATAAGCTCGTTTCGTGCTAAAGATTCTTTCCGACGAATTATCTTCGCCTGTTTCATTCTCTAGGAAAAATTATATCAGGAGTAAAGAAATAATAGAACTTGCAACGAAGTTACTTCCTCGCGAATTATGTTTTCCAGAGGCTTATAAAACAGAATTATTTTATCAGGAGTACAGAAATGCGACCTGATAATAGGTCGTAAGCATGCGCTTTCCTACGAATTATATTCGCTGATGGGTAAATGATTGCATCGTGAGCAAAGAAATGCATTCCAGACTTGTTGATGACTTCTGCTCTCCTGCTACCTCTAAAAATAAGAACTTGATGGTAAGTCTTTGGCATAGAGTTCCCTACGAATTATGTTCTCCTGATGATTTTTGCAAAAATAGTTGTAGCAGGAGTACAGATTGTAACTTGTAAGTAGGTGGTTAGCGTAGATTAATGAAAAGTATGTTCTACCTACTACTCTAAAAATAGTTGCACCGTGAGTAAAGGAATACGACTCGAACATAAGTTATTAGCACATACCTTTTCCAGAAATTATGTGGTTGTATTTCTACAAAAATAATTCTACCAGGAGTTGGTACAAAATTCGGCTTGAGCTTAGGGCGATCGCCCCTTAAAACAAGCGTATCCGGAGTAAAATGTGACATGAAAGTGAATCGTTAGCATGGAATGTCGTATGAATTACGTTAGCCTGTTCACAAAATAATGGTATCAGGAGTACAGAAATAAGACGTGGAAGTAACTCGCTGGCTTTCCCGTGAGATATGTTCCACTGCTGCTTCTTACAAAAATAATCAGGAGTACAGAAATGAGGTTTTACATCGTTAGCATTGCATAACTATCAATGAATATGATCTACCACCTCCTCCAAATATTGTATTCTAGCAGGACTTCAGTAACGGAACTTGAAACTAAGTTTTTGGAATAGAATTTCCCACGCAATTTTCTCTTCCTGCTTCCTAAGGAAATATTTGTATCAGGAGTACAGAAATGAGGTTTTACATCGTTAGCATTGCATAACTATGAATGAATATGGTCTACCACCTCCTCCAAAAATTGTATTGTAGCAGGAGTTCATAAATGGAACTTGAAACTAAGTTTTTAGCATAGAATTTCCCATTGTCAGGAGTAGAGAAATGAGGTTTTACATCGTTAGCATTGCATAACTATCAATGAATATGATCTACCACCTCCTCCAAATATTGTATTCTAGCAGGACTTCAGTAACGGAACTTGAAACTAAGTTTTTGGAATAGAATTTCCCACGCAATTTTCTCTTCCTGCTTCCTAAGGAAATATTTGTATCAGGAGTACAGAAATGAGGTTTTACATCGTTAGCATTGCATAACTATGAATGAATATGGTCTACCACCTCCTCCAAAAATTGTATTGTAGCAGGAGTTCATAAATGGAACTTGAAACTAAGTTTTTAGCATAGAATTTCCCATTGTCAGGAGTAGAGAAATGAGGTTTTACATCGTTAGCATTGCATAACTATCAATGAATATGATCTACCACCTCCTCAAAATATTGTATTCTAGCAGGAGTTCAGTAACGGAACTTGAAACTAAGTTTTTGGAATAGAATTTCCCACGCAATTTTCTCTTCCTGCTTCCTACGGAAATATTTATATCAGGAGTACAGAAATGAGGTTTTACATCGTTAGCATTGCATAACTATTAATGAATGTGATCTACAACCTCCTCCAAAAATTGTATTGTAGCAGGAGTTCATAAATGGCTAAGTTTTTGGCGTAGAATTTCCCACGAAATTTTCTCTTCGTGCTTCCTACGGAAATTTGCATCAGGAGTACAGAAATGAGGTTTTACATCGTTAGCATTGCATAACTATCAATGAATATGGTCTATCACCTCCTCCAAAAGTTATATTGTGGCAGGAGTTCATAAATGGAACTTGAAACTAAGTTTTTTTCATAGAATTTGCCACGAAATTTTCTCTTCCTGCTTCCTACAGAAATATTTGTATCAGGAGTACAGAAATGAGGTTTTACATCGTTAGCATTGCATTAACTATCAATGAATATGATCTACCACCTCCTCCAAAAATTGTATTGTAGCAGGAGTTCATAAATAGAACTTGAAACTAAGTTTTTTTCATAGAATTTGCCACGAAATTTTCTCTTCCTGCTTCCTACGGAAATATTTGTATCAGGAGTACAGAAATGAGGTTTTACATCGTTAGCATTGCATAACTATCAATGAATATGGTCTATCACCTCCTCCAAAAGTTATATTGTGGCAGGAGTTCATAAATGGAACTTGAAACTAAGTTTTTTTCATAGAATTTGCCACGAAATTTTCTCTTCCTGCTTCCTACAGAAATATTTGTATCAGGAGTACAGAAATGAGGTTTTACATCGTTAGCATTGCATTAACTATCAATGAATATGATCTACCACCTCCTCCAAAAATTGTATTGTAGCAGGAGTTCATAAATAGAACTTGAAACTAAGTTTTTTTCATAGAATTTGCCACGAAATTTTCTCTTCCTGCTTCCTACGGAAATATTTGTATCAGGAGTACAGAAATGAGGTTTTACATCGTTAGCATTGCATAACTTCCTACGGAAATATTTGTATCAGGAGTACAGAAATGAGGTTTTACATCGTTAGCATTGCATAACTATCAATGAATATGGTCTATCACCTCCTCCAAAAGTTATATTGTGGCAGGAGTTCATAAATGGAACTTGAATCTAAGTTTTTCGCATAGAATTTCCCACGAAATTTTCTCTTCCTGCTTCCTACGGAAATATTTGTGTCAGGAGTAGAGAAATGAGGTTTTACATCGTTAGCATTGCATAACTATCAATGAATATGATCGACCACCTCCTCCAAAAATTGTATTGTAGCAGGAGTTCATAAATGCAACTTGAAACTAAGTCTTTGGCCATAGAATTTGCAACGAAATTTTCTCTTCCTGCTTCCTACGGAAATATTTGTATCAGGAGTACAGAAATGAGGTTTTACATCGTTAGCATTGCATAACTATCAATGAATATGGTCTATCACCTCCTCCAAAAGGTGTATTGTGGCAGGAGTTCATAAATGGAACTTGAAACTAAGTTTTTAGCATAGAATTTCCCACGAAACTTTCTCTTCCTGTTTCCGACCGAAATATTTGCATCAGGAGTATAGGAATACCTATGACTTTCTATCGTGCTACCTGTCAAAATAATTGTATCAGGAGTAAACCGAGTATCGAATAATTATGCTGTCCTGTTGCCTAATCAAAAAATAATGGTATCAAGAGATCAAAGTACCAGGAGTAAGGAAATGCGACTTGAAGGTCTCCGAACGAGGGGCTTGGTACACACTCGAAGGGGGATAATGGGCGTGACTGGAAAAATCAAAACCAAAAGAGAAAATAATTTAATGAAAAAATTGCACAAAATGCGTTTACCCTAACTTTAACTCTTAAATTAAGTCTGTTTGCCCCGACGCGACGAAATCGGCGCGTGAGCGGAGCGTAGTAACGACATCGATTTCGTAGCGTCGCCGCCGAAATTACGAAACTGTGTCGCCTTGTAGCTTGAGCAATTCGAATCGGCGATACTGCGGCCGTCGCCCTCGTCCCTCCTCGACATCTCCGAAAACGGGGACAAACGCTTCGGCTCGTCCTCCTTGCCGCGCGGCTCCCTGAGAAACAACACCATCACGCTCGCGCGCGCGCGGGGATTAATCGACTCACCTTAGGACCTTCTTGTTTTTGACCTCGCGCTCTAAAATATCGGCGGTCGTCAGGTCGGAGCTCTGGATCTGTTGCAGGGAGCTGCTCGTTTCCGATAGCCACGGCTTGATCAGTTTAGACTTGCACAGGCAGATTTCGAGCTTGCAACGTTGGCAACAGGGTTTCGTGAGCTCGCCCGCCAATTCCGTGTCTTCCAAAATTCCCAGCGTGATCTTCTCCAAAACGGAATTGTCGGTTTGGGGTAGCGCGTTCGAGCTTTGATTGAGCAGCAGCTTCGCCAGCGGCGGCGCGAGACCCAGGCCGAGGTTGCGCTCGTGGTACACTTCGGATATGGTCGGCGTAAGTTCTCGATTGATGTGGCGCAGTTGAGTCGCGAGGATCGTATCGTGGAGACTCGACGGGCCGGATTTGGAGTCGGGCGAATTTTTGTCGGGCGAGTTTTCGGTTTCCGCCTTCGTACTCGCGGGTTCGGATATGTCGTCGTTCGGCGAGAAGTAGAGGAGCTGTTCGTGCGTGGTGATCGCTTCTTCGTTCGGTAGAGTGACGAGTTTACGGGACGTTGCCTGGGCGACGGTCTGGACGGGACTCACTTCGGTTCGGACGCTGAGACGGTCGAGCGTCGACATGGGGTTGCGGGGTTTCTTGTAGGTAACTTTGCTGCGTTGGGTAACGTTGTTGAATAGCTTCGCTTCCATCTTTTCCAGTTCGGAATCGGAACTATTCTCGAACATGGCGGTTGCGAGGTTGTTGTATAAGGGGTGGTCTGTAAGAGGCTGTGTTCTGGGTGGAGGTAGTGGGGGGAGTTGCGCTTGCGTTTGCCTCCTCAAGACAGTAGCGTGCCCATTGTCCCAATCGGTCGCCGAGCTTGCAGAGCTGGAGCTATCGGGACGTAAGGGATCCAATTTGTTGTCGTGGGCGTAGAGATTTCGGATACGTGTCTGGTGGGCGAGTGAGAGAGCTACGCTCTGCGATTCAGACTGTAGCACCACAGGCGGACTTGGCGTGAAGGCGGCATCCGATTCGCCGCCGCCAGGGCGCGCCAGTGTGCTACTCTTGCGCGTTTTACTGTCAAGGGTGGCCTTTACGTCGGCCGGATTCGCCGTTCTGCCATCGGGCTCGCCTCGCCTGCGGACATAGCTCGTAAAGGCTCCCCCTAAACGCTTATGGGGTAGGACGGTGCGGGTGAATGGAGGAGGGACGCGAGGTATTGGTTGATTTTGTACGGGCATATTAAGTTCATTATCGGAGTGAGAGAAATCGTTGTCGACGGATGCCAATGATTCCAAACTGCTGGATGAATCGATGCTAAGGCTTTTAGGGGCTTCGTGAGTATCTGCAACGGCAGTAAATTAGTGCTGCATGTGGCAGTAAAAGTTAAGTTTAGCCGAATCACTTTAAAAAAATGCGATACATTGCGTCAAAAAGTGTTCGCTTTATTCCGCTAGAGGTCACCCGAATGTACCATTCTGTTTTTTTTCCTCTCTCTAGATCTTTCCTTAATTTTTGACGTGCGCGTTACTAGCCTTGATAAATACGCAGAATTTGATTTCCAGACCTTTGGAAAAGTATGGTTAAGTGTCGATTACAATTTTCAGTATTCGAGTTGCTCGACGTGCCAAACGTTAGATTTTTCTCGCACTTTATATGCCTCGCTGTTTATACCCCCTCGCTCGATTTTTGTTTGTTGTATCTGATTGCAGATTATTGGCAGACAGCACCCTTCTGAGCTCGGTAAGGCCTCGGCTACGATATTCGCTAGGTTTTTAAATATTGAGTGATCTTGAAAGCCACATAAGTAGTGCATTTGAGAAACTAAAGTTGCATCGATTTGGAAGGGGGAAGAATACGAAGTAGATGAAGATAAAGTAGAAGAGGGGAGTGAAGGAAAATAAGAAAAAGGAAGCAGATACACAAGATCAGGAGATAAGGAAATAAAAGAGTAGAAACAGAAAGAGATAAATAGGAGAGGAAGGTGATGTGAGAAGAAGAAGAAAGAGAAAACGCATGAAACAGAAACGAAGGAGGAAACACAGGACGATAAGGCAACGGAATAATGAGATCCATATGAAGGGAAGAAGACGAAACAAATAGAAGCAAAAGGTCGAGAGAAAGGAAGAAAAGATAAGGAAAAGAAGATAAAGTTAAAAAGTAATCGTAAACGATTTACAAAAAGCGCATTTCCCATTTGTAAGATGCAACTTCTGTTAAAATCGTAAAAATCCGGCCACAAATATTAAAAGATTGCGTTGCAAATGTGCAATCTATTTTTGATGTGCTACTTCAATTTCAGTTTATAAGAAGAATTTCATTTCAATGCTTTTCTAAATAAGAAAGTTGGAACTGTGCATGCGCAAATCTATTTTGAAACTAACGTTAGATTTTCCTTTGTTCTAAGCGCCTATGTATCAAATTTAATTAATTAATTAATTAATGCCGTATTCTGTGATTATTGCTTCCATAAAAAAAAAGTTGACACTGCGCATGCGCAAAAACCAAATTTTGACACTGGCGGTAGATTTTCATTTATTCCAAGTGCCTATCTATCAAATTTCGTTTAAATTCGTCTATAAATAAAAAAGTTGGGCACTGCGCATGCGCAAAACCAAAGAAACTGGCGTTAGATTTTCATTTATTCCAAGTGCCTATGTATAAAATTTCGTTTATTCTTCCATAAATAAAAAAGTTGGCACTGCGCATGCGCAAAACCAAATTTTGAAACTCGCATTAGATTTTCATTTATTCCAAGTGTCTATCTATCAAATTTCGTTTAAATTCTTCCATAAATAAAAAAGTGGCACTGCGCATGCGCAAAACCAAATTTTGAAACTGGCGTTAGATTTTCATTTATTCCAAGTGCCTATCTATCCAATTTCGTTTAAATTCTTCATAAATAAAAAAGTGGGCACTGCGCATGCGCAAAACCAAAAAACTGGCGTTAGATTTTCATTATTCCAAGTGCTATGTATCAAATTTCTTTTATTCTTCCATAAATAAAAAAGTTGGCACTGCGCATGCGCAAAACCAAATTTTGAAACTGGCGTTAGATTTTCATTTATTCCAAGTGCCTATCTATCAAATTTCGTTTAAATTCGTCCATAAATAAAAAAGTTTGGCACTGCGCATGCGCAAAACCAAAGAAACTGGCGTTAGATTTTCATTTATTCCAAGTGCCTATGTATCAAATTTCGTTTATTCTTCCATAAATAAAAAAGTTGGCACTGCGCATGCGCAAAACCAAATTTTGAAACTCGCGTTAGATTTTCATTTATTCCAAGTGTCTATCTATCAAATTTCGTTTAAATTCTTCCATAAATAAAAAAAGTGGGCACTGCGCATGCGCAAAACCAAATTTTGAAACTGGCGTTAGATTTTCATTCATTCCAAGTGGCTATCTATCAAATTTCGTTTAAATTCTTCCATAAATAAAAAAGTTTGGCACTGCGCATGCGCAAAACCAAAGAAACTGGCGTTAGATTTTCATTTATTCCAAGTGCCTATGTATAAAATTTCGTTTATTCTTCCATAAATAAAAAAGTTGGCACTGCGCATGCGCAAAACCAAATTTTGAAACTCGCATTAGATTTTCATTTATTCCAAGTGTCTATCTATCAAATTTCGTTTAAATTCTTCCATAAATAAAAAAAAGTGGGCACTGCGCATGCGCAAAACCAAATTTTGAAACTGGCGTTAGATTTTCATTTATTCCAAGTGCCTATCTATCAAATTTCGTTTAAATTTGTCCATAAATAAAAAAGTTTGGCACTGCGCATGCGCAAAACCAAAGAAACTGGCGTTAGATTTTCATTTATTCCAAGTGCCTATGTATCAAATTTCGTTTATTCTTCCATAAATAAAAAAAGTTGCCACTGCGCATGCGCAAAACCAAATTTTGAAACTCGCGTTAGATTTTCATTCATTCCAAGTGTCTATCTATCAAATTTCGTTTAAATTCGTCTATAAATAAAAAAGTTGGGCACTGCGCATGCGCAAAACCAAAGAAACTGGCGTTAGATTTTCATTTATTCCAAGTGCCTATGTATCAAATTTCTTTTATTCTTCCATAAATAAAAAAGTTGGCACTGCGCATGCGCAAAACCAAATTTTGAAACTGGCGTTAGATTTTCATTTATTCCAAGTGGCTATCTATCAAATTTCTTTTATTCTTCCATAAATAAAAAAGTTGGCACTGCGCATGCGCAAAACCAAATTTTGAAACTGGCGTTAGATTTTCATTTATTCCAAGTGCCTATCTATCAAATTTCGTTTAAATTCGTCCATAAATAAAAAAGTTTGGCACTGCGCATGCGCAAAACCAAAGAAACTGGCGTTAGATTTTCATTTATTCCAAGTGCCTATGTATCAAATTTCATTTAAATACTTTTATAAATAAAAAAGTTTGCAATTCGGTTTATAAATCGTCGACATGCGAAAAGGGCACTGTGAATTTCGAATCGATTCGACTCAACTTTTGGCATTGCGTATTATATGGCTAAAACTATGCCCATATGGAATTTCATGAAATTCAGTTCATAACTAACGGATCGGATCGGACATTTCTAACCAAAGTTATCGTTTACACGGACAGATAGAGGGACAGACAGACAAAGGAACAGTCGGACAGATCAACAGACAGATAGCAATACAAAATTATAAACGATCTCTAGGATAGTTTATAAACGGCAAACTAAGATAGAGAACTAGTAGCGTCTCAACGAACGAGCGGACGGACAGCCGGACGGATGGACAAAGTGGCCACAATAGCGCATTTTTTTAAATTTTTGTAGAAATGCGCTAAAAAGGGCAAAAGGATGAGGTAAAATGCGAGATGTGACGTGGAAGAGGAATGTGAGTTGAAAGGAAGGGAATGGGAAAGAAGACGGGAGAGAAGTAGAAAGGAAAGAGGAACGTAAGGGAGGCGCAAGGTAAGGTGAGACGGGAGTGGCATGGGAAGAAGAGATAAAAGAGCAAGAGAGGCAAGAAGAATGGGGAGGAAATTGGGAGTGAAAAAAACGGGGAAGGAAAAAGCAAGGAAAGGTAGGACGAAAAATGGAGGGAAGAAAAATGGCACGAGAAAAAGAAAAGAAAAGGAAGCGGAACGGAGAATACGAAGAAGAAAAGATGAATGAGGTAAAAAAAAGCTTACAAGGAAAGGGAAGACAACACAATCGGGGAAAAAAAATTGAACAGGTGGAGATAAAAGGGGCTAAGGGGATAGGAATGAGAAGGCTGGGAGAGGATGAAGGTGAAGTGTGAAAGAAGTATGAAAAGAAAGGAGAAAGACAGTGTGGTATTGAGATGAGATCAGGAATTGGAATTAGGAATGGGAAGAAGTAAGAATTTATAAATAAAAAAAGAGAAAGAAGTACATGATCAGGAGTAGAAAGAAGAGAAGGAAGGGGGGAGAAATTGCATCCGATTAAACAGAGCATGATTAAAACAAAACATTATGTTTAATTTATAGTCCGCCGCGCAATAAAACGATGCCATGCGGTAGGGGCGTTGTACATCCCAAACGGGATTCGAAAGAGTCCCAGATTTGGCACGGTAAAGGTGGTAAATTGATGTGAAGATTCGGCGACTGGAATCGCAATTGACGACCAATTACAGTAACATGCGTCGATATTTATACAGTGTAGAAAAAGCGCATAAGATAATATGAGGGCGCACAAAAATTATTAAGTGACCATATATTTGCGCAAAACGTATTAAAGAAACAATGAAGAATAATTACTACCCCAAGACAAAAATAGAGGATCAATTCGTGTGCGCATAATTACCGTCTAATTACTATTACCATGTTACACCACAGTTAATTTTTTAAAAGGCGCATAATTGACGCCTAATTATTGAGACCTACGTCTGTGATTGGGCAAAACATACGAATGGCTAGCACACGCATAATAAGTGCACAAGGCAGATTCTGAGGATGAACTGTCATAATACCTTCACCATATGGGCGCATAATCTGCGCCTAATTATTACTACCTGCATAAAACAGTAAAAGTGAAAAAAACAGTGCATTGTTATAAATATTACACAAATGTTAGAAATAAATTGTTCCAATAACATAACAGTGGGCGCATAATTTTCTAAAAGGCGCATAATAGACGCCTAATTACCGAGTCCCGTGTCTATGCGAAGAACAGCGCATAGTAAGTGCAAAAGGCAGAAGCTGAGGATGAACTATCGTAATCCCTTCAAAATCTGGGCGCATAATCTGCGTCTTATTATTATTACAAGCGTCTATTTTGGCGCAAAAGGTATGAAACTGAAAAAAATCGGAAAAAGAACGCAGAATAGTTATCCCACAAAATAAAAGTTTATGAGCGCATATTTATTTAAGTGACAATACCTTCAGAATGTGGCCGCATAAGTTGCGTCTTTTTGTGCGCGAAAGATGCGCAAGCGTCTATATTCGCACAACATGTACCAGTGTAAAAATATGCGCACAACTAGTAAACAACAAGATTCATGTGGCGTTATCGCAATAACTTACGGATCTGGGCGCATGATTTTTTCGACAGCGTACAATTGGCGCCTAAATATTATGACGCGTCTATAGCAAATATACGTTTATAAAACGGCACAAGGGGGGTAAGTTGCATGTAGTTGAGTAAAAATGTGGGCGCATAATTTTTTCTAAAGCGCACAATGCAAAATTATGACACGAAAAATGTAGAAATGTAAAAAACGGCGCAAAGTTATCGCACAAGACACTACTTAAGAAAGAATTGTTACGAACATTAGCGCATAATTGGTACTGATATCTGTGCCTATGATCGAGCAAAACACGAGTGTGAGGAACACGCATAATAAGTTCATAAGACAAAAGCTGAGTATAAACTGTCCTAATACCTTCAAAATGTGGGCGCATAGTTTGCGCCTAATTATTATTTTTGCGCGAAACATATGAAAGCGAAAAAAAAACGGAGAATTAACCCCAACAAGAAAAAATGTGAGCGCATAATTTTTTAAGAGACGCTCAATTGGCGCATAATTTCCGTGATTGTATTTGCACATGTACCAGTATAAAACACGCACACAACTACTGAATAACAGATTAAGGTAATATCTCGCGGATCTGGGCGCATAATTTTTTTGGCAGCGCACAACTGACGCCTAAATATTATGACAATGGACCACTGGGAAAAACGGCGTATAATTACTGCACAAGACACAAGTTGAGAATTGTCTGTTAGGTGTGCGCACATCGACCGTCGAGTCCTTCATCCGGGGGGGGGGGGGGGGGTCTATATCTGCGCAAAATTTGTGTGAAAAACACGCGCATAATATAAGAGTTGGGGATGAATTGTAATTCTTCTCCATAGCGCATAATTTCCGCGAAACATACACAACAGTGTGTTATTGCTTACAATTGTGAGCGCATAATTATTGTGCCATGCGCTTATACTTGCGCAAAATATGCCAAGACATTAGTTAACAATGAATTATGGTGCTCCTTTCTTGTGCAGAAATGAGTTTTTCAGAGCGTATAATTGGCGCATAAATAATAAATATTTTTTAAAAAGCGAAGGGCGCAAAAGTAACGCGCAAGAGAGTGAATTGTTGTACGCTATGTAAAAATGTGAGCGCATATTTTTGTCTACAGCGCACAATTGATGCCTAAATAACATGAAAATATACCAATGTTTAAAGCGGCGCATAATTACCGTACAAGACACAATTGAAGCCCCATGGTTATTTCATACACTTACCTTCAAGGGAACAGTAAACACATTGGCGCTTATATCTGCGCAAAAAACGGCGTCTAATTATAGTTTAAGATTAATTGTTGGTTCCGATTGCGGGTGCGTTCCAAAAGGAGCGCAATAAACACCTAAATAATGGGACAATCATCTACATTTGCGCAAAAAATACCAGCGCACAATTGGCGCATAAGTCAAAATTTGTACCAAAACAATTACTGTTCATGAATATGGGCGCATCATTGTTCTAAAAAGTGCACTAAACACTAATTGGGTTTGTGCGCAAAATATACAACTGTGAAAAACGGCGCATATTTACCGCAAAACAGCGCCGCATCGCATTATTCAAAAATGGCACGGCTAGGGTCGCGCGCCAACGCAAACTTACCAAACAGCGCCAGTAGCGCTTGCAGAGTGAACTGAATATTTCGCCGGTTCGCCTGTTTACCTGTCCTCAGCGTCACCTTATCCTGCCCGACATCGCAAAGGTCGAAGCCGAGCGAGGCGAGCAGCTCGTGGCAGCCGGGCACGCGCCACAATTTCACGCTGAGCGATATCTCGACGCTGTCGGCGTCCGAGTTCTTCGCCGAGAACTGCGACATGACCGACTGGATCACGCCGATTATGTCGTCGGCGACGTCCGCGTTCGCCGTCAGCTTCGAGAGCGCGTGCAGCGAGGTGCTCGTTAGGCCTGGAAGAGTCGCGAGTTTAGCGGCGGTCGCGCAATAATTCGCTCACCTAGAAGCGCCTGGAGACTGGCCGAACACTGGGTCAGCCGCTCGTCCGGATCGGATTGGGGGAAGAATACGCTGCTCGGAATTCCGTTCGACGCGGGTTCGAAACGGAAGCCGACCGACATCAGCAGCTCCTTCCAGCCCATCACCGTGCCGACCTTATTTTCGATGGACTTCTGCGTCGTGTACATGGCGTTCTTTTGCCCTCGGTGTATGCGCTGCAGACTCTTCTCGACCAAGTGCAACGTGACTCTCAGGGCGTCCCGACACTTGTCTGGCACGCGTAACAGTTCGCAGAGAGCTTGACCCATCAGCGCCACCTAAAAACGCAATACAAGCGTGATGCGTCATTTGCGATAGGATGTCAGGCGAAAATTAATTAACGCACGTGTTTTTATCCGAAATGCAGGTGTGCGCGTAAGTGGGGACGCGTGTACGGAGTACCAAGACTAGAATTTATACGATTCCGGTCACAAAACACAGAGTTCATACCAATGGCGAGCGAGCCGAAGGCGAGATCGGCATAATTCAACCGCTCGTCCGAAAGTCTGTGTCATTATACGGTTCTGGTCACGAAATACCGAATTTAAAACAATGTCGAGTGAAAGGCGAGATCGGCATAAATACATCGCTCGCTCGGAACGCGGAGCCTGTGTACTGTAAGTAATTAAGATTTTTTTTATTTATTTGTTTGTTGACCGCCTGCGTGCGGGGTAATATGTCCAAACAATTTGTAAGCCTTCTTTCAAGCAGGGATTTTGCTTTAATGTTGTTCAATTGTGTTTTGGAATAAATGTTTCAATCAATTAATTGTGCGTGCAACACTTACCTTACTCGATAATCGAATATTCATGCCGACAAGAACGAATCCGGCCCAATTCGCCGGATGGGCGAAGTGTTTCGTGTGCTGAACAGTTTGCATGGCCTCCGCCAGAGCCCTGTAAATCCAAGATGAGAAAAGCGAGCGAATTATACCAATCGGCGAACCTCGCTGCGCGCGTCCCCTGCAACAGGGCAGAGTAGAAGGCCCGTAGCAAGATCTTAGTTGCGGTGTCCGGTACTGGCCACAGCGACACCAAAACCGCCTGGACGCCAGCCGCCAACAGCGCCCTCACCAGCGCAACCAAACCGTCTGAAGTGGCCCAGCCCTGCTGGTCTCTCGTGTGCGACGAACTTATCTGTCGACAAAAAAACTTAACGGCGCGACCACGAGCGAGGGGCAACGTACCACGACTAGTTTCGCAGACATGCGCGTTGACAGCAGGTCGGCGGCGCTCAACAAAAATTCGGAAAGCGGCGGAAGTTCGGCGCTCGTAGATACCTCGCTGCCCTCGTCCTCCTCCGCGTTATCCGACATGTAGAGACGTTTCGATTGGCTCTGCTCGAGCACCTCGGAGGGACTCAGCACGAGCGACGACAACTTCCAAGAAACGTGGGTGGCGAAGTGCACGCATTCGGCCTCCTGTATCTGCGCTAGGATTTGTTCTTTGGTCGCTTGATTGCCGACGAGCGCTTGCGTTTGAAGCAGTTCGGCGACGATATTCGCCTCCTGTTCGGCTTGAGGGATGTCCTTCCAACCCCAGTGTTCGGTGATGCTGTGAGGTAGTTTCGGATTTCCGATCACTAAGCTCTTGACGGTCTGCTCGTTCTCCTGCTTTCGATGGCGGCCCATGCGGAGCGAGGACAAGTTCGGCACGACCAGCAGCGAAAACCGCTCGCACAGGTACTCGGAGTTGTCGTTCGAGGAGCGCAGTACGGGGAACGGTACCAAGTAGAGGTCGCCTTCCAGTACGAGAATCAATTCCCGTCGTGTCCCTTTGTTTACAGCTGGAAGACAGATGTTTGTTTATGATGTGGAAACTCGAAAGTAGAACCGGTCACCTTATCCCCTCCGCACATTTACTACATTTTAATTGAGCCGCGAATTAAATTCAGATTACGCGTAGAAAAATGCTCAAAATTCCATGTTATTTTTTTCGAATTCGTATATTAGTTACCATAAGGAAATTTCCATATGTACCGCTTCATAGCGAACGTGGACGAAAGTGTGTCTGGCGATAACAAGAAACGTATTGCGCAAAGTCACGATCTCTTGGCACCTAAGAGTTTCGTTCCAGACGAGCACGTAACGGAAATGCGGGTTTTCTATTGGCTGTTAGGGCACGCCAGTCGATTTTAAGACTTTTAGACCAACATAACCTCTTGAAAATGTTTCAAGGCCTTTAAAGTATAACGGGTGGTAGAATTAAAAATGTATTTTTTTCGAAATTGTATTTTGGTTAACATAGGGAAATTTCCATATGTACCGCTTCATAGCGAACGTGGACGAAAGTGTGTTCGGCGATAACAAGAAACGTATTGCGCAAAGTCACGATCTCTTGGCACCTAAAAGTTTCGTTCCGTTCTGTTTAAAGACGAGCACGTAACGGAAATGCGGGTTTTCTATTGGTTGTTAGGGCACGCCCGTCGATTTTAAGACTTTTAGACCAATATAACCTCATGAAAATGTTTCAAGGCCTTTAAAGTGTAACGGGTGGTAGAATTAAAAATGTATTTTTTTCGAAATTGTATTTTGGTTAACATAGGGAAATTTCCATATGTACCGCTTCATAGCGAACGTGGACGAAAGTGTGTCTGGCGATAACAAGAAACGTATTGCGCAAAGTCACGATCTCTTGGCACCTAAAAGTTTCGTTCCGTTCTGTTTAAAGAGGAGCACGTAACGGAAATGCGGGTTTTCTATTGGCTGTTCGTCGATTTTAAGACTTTTAGACCAATATAACCTCTTGAAAATGTTTCAAGGCCTTTAAAGTGTAACGTAGAATTAAAAATGTATTTTTTTCGAGTTTTATTTTGGTTAACATAAGAAAATTTCACATGTACCGCTTCATTGCGAACGTGGACGAAAGTGTGTCGGCGATAACAAGAAACGTTTGCGGAAAGCCACGATCTCTTAGCACCTAAAAGTTTCGTTCCATTCTGTTTAAAGAGGAGCACGTAACGGAAATGCGGGTTTTCTATTGGCTGTTAGGGCACACCCGTCGATTTTAAGACTTTTAGACCAATATAACCTCATGAAAATGTTTCAAGGCCTTTAAAGTGTAACAGGAGGTAGAATTAAAAATGTATTTTTTTCGAATTTTAGAAGAATTTGTATTTTGGTTAACATAAGAAAATTTCCATATGTACCGCTTCATAGCGAACGTGGACGAAAGTGTGTTCGGCGATAACAAGAAACGTACTGCGCAAAGTCACGATCTCTTGGCACCTAAAAGTTTCGTTCCGTTCTGTTTAAAGACGAGCACGTAACGGAAATGCGGGTTTTCTATTGGCTGTTAGGGCACGCCAGTCGATGTTATTTTTGGGAGCTGTAAAGCCGTTTGAAGAGTAGTTCAAACTATCTATAAAAGATCGCTTGCCCCGCTGTTGGGAAGGTGAAGGGCGCGTGGTCAATTTCACTTTCAAGGTTACCAAAGGTAGGTACTCATTTCAATCCGGTTAATGCCATCATTTTTGTCACATCTGTTGTTCATTTTCAAGGTCAATGATGCCATTTCTTGTGCGGTTTGGGCTCGCGTTGTGAAGTGCAAACCATTGGCACACACGTACTGCCATTTTTGGGAACGTGATCGCGAGCGACCAACCTTTGGACCGAACGTACCTCTATATTTCACCTTGACCCACCTTCCAAGGTCACCACCGTCAAGTGCCGAATGACCTTTGAACTTACCTTGGGCTATGGGGCACCGCATACAAATGGGGTCGTTTACCTTTGGTAACCTTGGAAGTGAAATGACACGACACATAAAGGTCGTTTGTTTACAAGTGATAAAACTTGCCCGAAGGAACGTTTTCGAGTCGTTGAAATCCGTTGTTTATGTGAACAATTGTTATAATAAGGGGAAAATCCACGCGAGTGATAAAGGGGAGGGGATAAGCTCCTCGTTCTACTCTCGTGACGCGTACCTCCTTTGCACGGTAAAAAATCCTCGAACGGCTGAATCAAAAGTTGATACAAGGCGTGCAAGCAGGCGGGACCCTTCCAACTTTGCCTATTCGACGCGCGCGTCGAGCCCTGCGTGCTGGCACTGGAACGCGTAGATCCCTGTAGAGAGGCGACCGATCCCCCGATGCTTCCCAGCGAGAAAAGGGAGCTCAACGAGTAGTTGCTCGAGTTGAGGAGATGCTGACGGTTAACCATCCGTAAAAATCCTACAAGAATTAGTGAACTGCAACAAATTGAATGGTACTACCTGTCCGCTCGGAGATCGGGTCCTCCGAGTACTGATCCTCGTTGATTGTCGAACAGGGTGACAGCTCCAGGCCCAAACTGTCGCGTACCGCGGTAACGAGCCTCTCCAAAACACCCGCGCCGTTGCAAACCGGATCGCCTCCCTCGTTCAGCTCCGAGTCGGCGGAATCGCTCAGCGTCGCCGAGTGAAACTTGATAATTCCCTTGGTCGGCGCGATTAACCACGCGTACAAGTAACCGGCGGCGACGCTGTAGTAGAGCACCGACGCCCTCTGTCGGTTGACGATCTCGTTAATCTGGTCCAAGTTGTTCGGGACGTAGTCGTCCGAACGGCCCTTGCTTTTACCGCGCGACTCGTTCAGACCCTGCCGTTCGAGGAGTAGGTCGACGAACGCGCGGTTCCGACCGCGCTCCGCGACGACCAGCGCCTCGTCTTGTCGATTCAATCCTGCAAGTCGATAAGTTAGGCAACGGTCCGGGTCGGCCGGAGGCGATTACCGACTAGCACCCTCTGCAAAACCTGGTAGCTGCCGGTTTGGAGTTCGAAGAGCGAGAGCTTGTAGTCGGGCGAGCTTTTCGCTTCGCGCCGGATGTTTTCGAGGAGTCGAGTCGCCGCCTCCAGCTGTTTCTGTGAGCCGTCCAGGTCGCCGTTGGTCCACAGCGCCAGTCCGAGCCTGTTACGGATTTTTGCCTGAAAACGCGATCGGTTGGGGAAAGTTGGCGACGGTGAGCCTTACTCACCTCCTCGTCCCTTCGACCGAGAACTTCGGCGATACAAAGACCTTCCGTTAAGTAGGCGACAGCCTGCTGACGATTGCCCAGCAATTGATGTATGCGGCCGAGTGAACTGTAAGCCAACGTTTTGGCGAGTTGGTCGTTGGTGCTCGCCGCCACTGACAAGTGCTGCTCTTGGTAGCACACGGCCTGTTCGAGATTGCCCAAGGCCTCGTGAACGGAACCTAAGGAAAATTTGATGGGGGGTCTGGGGCAGACAGAGATCCAAATTGTAAATTACCTAAATTTCCATAGGCCCTGCACTGTAAAGGCGCTATCCCCAATTGTTCAGCTATGTCCAGGTCATTCTGATGATACTGCAGAGACGTTGAGTACTCCCCCATCTGTAGATAGACCGAGCCGAGTCCGCTGATTGCGTCCGCTTCCATGATTCGATCGCCTAGAACCCGCGCTGAAAACTCGGCGCAAACGACAAACGGTAAACTTACTCAGTTCGTGCGCGATAGTCTTCTGGTGGTCAAGGCAGGAGATGGCCTGCTCCAGGTTGCCCAAAGACGCGTGCAGCTGACCCAGTTCTCCGTAGGCGGCGGCCTTCGCCTCCGAATTTCCGAGCTCGTGCGCGACGACCAGCCGCTTCTCCAAACAGACGAGCGCCTGCTGAAGATTGCCGAGTGATCTTTGCGACTGGCCCAAGCCGCGGTAGGCCCGCTCCTGGTCGCGCGTGCTCTTCAGTTTTAAGGCGATCGCCAAATACTGCTCGTGACACTTCGTCGCCTCGTCCGGGTCGCCGAGCGCGTCGTAACAGTCGCCGAGATTACCAAAGGCGCGCCCTCTATCCAACTGCGAAGTGGGCGTACTCAACCGTTCCAACGTTGCCAGCTGTTGCTCGAAGTAGCCGATCGCGTCCTCGTAGTGCGCCATATTGAGCCTAACACTCGAGTTACACCGCGCCTTACTTTTTTTTGTTTTGGAACTCACCGAGCAATCCCGAGATTTCCATAGGCCTGCGCCTCGACACCGCAATCTTGCAACTCCTGCGCCCTCTCCAACTGTTCCTGGTAGCACTTGACGGCGTGCGTGTAATTTCCGAGCGCCATGTGAACGGCCCCCAGGTGCCCGTGCGCTCGACACTCGCCCGACAGCTCCAGCATTTCCTGTCGTAACGTCAACTCCTGCGTGTGAAAACCTAGAGCCTTGTCAAATCGCCTCAGCAGCCGATGCGCAATTCCCAACGCGCCACAGGCCGCAGCCTCCATACCCCGATCTCGACTGCCTCTGGCCAACGCCAACTGTCTCTGATACATCTTGACCGACTCCTCCACCTCGCCCATTCTCATGAGAACGTCCCCGATATTGCCGAGGGCCCGAAACTTCCCCGAGTTGTTATTGATCATGTGGGCGATCGCGAGGAAATACTTCTGGCACTCGAGCGACGTCTCCACCTGTCCGAGTGCGAGATGCGCCAACCCAAGATTGCAGTAGGCGCGTCCCATGTTCATCTTATCCTGTAAGTCCTTGGCCAGCGCCAAGTCCTGGTCGTAATACCGCACCGCCTCCCGATAGTTTCCGATGCAGTAGTGAGCGTAGCCTAAAAAATGGCAGGCCTTCGCCTCGCCCTCGACGTCGGCCAACTCCTGCGATAACATCAGGTACTGCTCGTAGTAGGGGATCGCCTCGGAGAACTCGGTGCGCGAGCTGAGGCAGTTGCCTAGGTTGAGTAGCGCGCAGGCTTCGCCCGCGGTGTCCTTCAGTTCGCGCGCGATTCCCAAATGCGCGCGGTAGTGCATTAAGGCCATGTCGTGCGCGCCGAGCGCCTGATAGGCGACGGCCAAATTTCCGTGGGTGCTCGCCTCGGCGCTTCGATCGTGCACCTCCTTACTTATCGTCAGTTCTTGCTTGTGATACTTTATCGCGGATTCGTAGAATCCGGCGGCCGAGTAGGCGTTGCCTATGTTTCCGTACGCGCGGCCCATGCCGGCGCGGTCTTGCAAATTGCGCGCTATCGCGAGGTGGGCCTGGTGTAACTTTAGGGCGGCGTCGTGCTCCCCCAGCAGTTGGTACACGATACCCAGGTTCGAGCAGGCTCGGCCCTCGGCCACTTTATCACGGGTCGCCAGGGCCATGTCGAGCTGCCGCTCGTGCCAGTGTTTCGCCTGCTCGTAGTCGCCCGCACATCTCGCCGCATGCCCCAATCCTGCGTATGCGCGAGCTTCGACCGATCTAAATATTTATCATTGATTAGGGATCGGTTTAAATCTACCTCCCCGCCCCCTGCCCTCCCAAAAAGCAAAAAATGCGCTCAAAAAAGACTACAGTACCAACGCAAGCAGTAACGCATTTAATATACCTAAACAAACGCTAAAAAAATGCTCCAAAAACCGCATGAGATAGGAAATGTCACTTTACTATTCAAAAAACATAAAAAGCGACATTGGTGCAACTGAAAGAGAAAAAATACGCTCAAAAAAAGGCTCAACAGTATCAACGCAAGCAGTAACGTGTAACAAACGCTCAAAAAAGTGACCCAAAAACCGCATGAGATAGGAAATGTCACTTTACTAGTCAAAAAACATAAAAAGCGGCATTGGTGCAACTGAAACAGAAAAAAAAACGCTCAAAAAAAGGCTCAACAGTATCAACGCAAGTAGTAACGCATTTAATATACGTAAGCAAACACTCAAAAAAGTGCCCCAAAAACCGCAAGGGATAGAAAATGTCACTTTACTATTCAAAAAACATAAAAATCGACATTGGTGCAACTGAAAGAGAAAAAATGCGTCCAAAAAAAGACTCAACAGTATCAACGCAAGCAGTAACGTGTAACAAACGCTCAAAAAAGTGACCCAAAAACCGCATGAGATAGGAAATGTCACTTTACTAGTCAAAAAACATAGAAAGCGACATTGGTGCAACTGAAACAGAAAAAATACGCTCAAAAAAAGGCTCAACAATATCAACGCAAGTAGTAACGCTTTTAATATACGTAAGCAAACACTCAATCCCCAAAAACCGCATGGGATAGAGAATGTCACTTTACTATTCAAAAAACATAAAACGCGACATTGGTGCAACTGAAAGAGAAAAAATGCGTCCAAAAAAAAGGCTCAACAGTATCAACGCAAGCAGTAACGTGTAACAAACGCTCAAAAAAGTGACCCAAAAACCGCATGAAATAGGAAATGTCACTTTACTAGTCAAAAAACATAGAAAGCGACATTGGTGCAACTGAAACAGAAAAAATACGCTCAAAAAAAGGCTCAACAGTATCAACGCAAGTAGTAACGCATTTAATATACGTAAGCAAACACTCAAAAAAGTTCCCCAAAAACCACATGGGATAGAGAATGTCACTTTACTATTCAAAAAACATAAAACGCGACATTGGTGCAACTGAAAGAGAAAAAATGCGCCCAAAAAAAGGCTCAACAGTATCAACGCAAGCAGTAACGTGTAACAAACGCTCAAAAAAGTGACCCAAAAACCGCATGAGATAGGAAATGTCACTTTACTAGTCAAAAAACATAAAAAGCGACATTGGTGCAACTGAAACAGAAAAAAAAAACGCTCAAAAGTATCAACGCAAGTAGTAACGCATTTAATATACGTAAGCAAACACTCAAAAAAGTTCCCCAAAAACCGCATGGGATAGAGAATGTCACTTTACTATTCAAAAAACATAAAACGCGACATTGGTGCAACTGAAAGAGAAAAAATGCGCCCAAAAAAAGGCTCAACAGTATCAACGCAAGCAGTAACGTGTAACAAACGCTCAAAAAGTGACCCAAAAACCGCATGAGATAGGAAATGTCACTTTACTATTCAAAAAAACATAAAAAGCGGCATTGGTGCAACTGAAACAGAAAAAAAAAACGCTCAAAAGTATCAACGCAAGTAGTAACGCATTTAATATACGTAAGCAAACACTCAAAAAAGTGCCCCAAAAACCGCATGGGATAGAAAATGTCACTTTACTATTCAAAAAACATAAAAAGCGACATTGGTGCAACTGAAAGAGAAAAAATGCGTCCAAAAAAAGGCTCAACAGTATCAACGCAAGCAGTAACGTGTAAACAAACGCTCAAAAAAGTGCCCCAAAAACCGCATGGGATAGAAAATGTCACTTTACTATTTAAAAAACATAAAAAGCGACATTGGTGCAACTGAAACAGAAAAAAAAACGCTCAAAAGTATCAACGCAAGTAGTAACGCATTTAATATACGTAAGCAAACACTCAAAAAAGTGCCCCAAAAACCGCATGGGATAGAAAATGTCACTTTACTATTCAAAAAACATAAAAAGCGACATTGGTGCAACTGAAAGAGAAAAAATGCGTCCAAAAAAAGGCTCAACAGTATCAACGCAAGCAGTAACGTGTAAACAAACGCTCAAAAAAGTGCCCCAAAAACCGCATGGGATAGAAAATGTCACTTTATTATTTAAAAAACATAAAAAGCGACATTGGTGCAACTGAAAGAGAAAAAATACGCTCAAAAAAAGGGTCAACAGTATCAACGCAAGCAGCAACGCATTTAATATACGGAAACAAACGCTTAAAAACTGCTCCAAAAACCGCACGAGATCGGAAATGTCACTTTATTATTCAAAAAACATAAAAGCGGCATTGGTGCAACTGAAAGAGAAAACATACGCTCAAAAAAAGGGTCAACAGTATCAACACAAGCAGCAACACATTTAATATACGTAAGCAAACGCTCAAAAAAGTGACCCAAAAACCGCATGAGATAGAAAATGTCACTTTACTATTCAAAAAACATAAAAGCGGCATTGGTGCAACTGAATACGCTCAAAAAGAGGCTCAACAGTATCAACACAAGCAGCAACGCATTTAATATACGTAAACAAACGCTCAAAAAAGTGCCCCAAAAACCGCTTGAGATAGAAAATGTCACTTTACTGTTCAAAAAACATAAAAAGCGGCATTGGTGCAACTGAAAGAGAAAAAATACGCTCAAAAAAGGCTCAAGAGTATCAACGCAGTAACGCATTTAAAATACGTAAACACACTCAAAAAAGTGCTCCAAAAACTGCATGAGAGAAAAAAAGGCCCAAAAAACCTCCACGGTACCAACGAAAGCAGTAGCGCATTTAATAATCTTAAAACAACGCTCAAAAAGATGTCCCAAAAACCGTACGGGATACAAAATTCACTTTACTATTCAAAAAACAATAAAAACGCCATTGGCGCCACTAAACGAGAAAAAATGGGCTAAAAAAAGGTTGTACGGTACCAACGCAAGCAGTAGCACATTTAATATTCGAAGGCAACGCTCTAAAAGCTGACCCAAAAATTGTGAGATATTGAATGTTACTCTACTATTCAAAAAACATAAAAAGCGGCATTGGTGCACCTGAAAGAGAAAAAATGCGCCCAAAAAAAAGGCTCTACGGTACCAACGTAAGCAGTAGCGCATTTAATAATCTTAAAGCAACGCTCAAAAAGGTGTCCCAAAAACCGTACGGAATACAAAATGTCACTTTACTATTCAAAAAACATAAACAGCGCGATCTGAACAAATGAAAAATACAAAATTCGCTCAAAAAAGGTACAAAATATCATTGTACCTAAAAATTTAGGTTAGAGGGGGGGGGGGGCTTCATCACACTTACTTATCTCCAATGCCCTGCGCGAGCCTCAGCACTTTCTCGTGATACACGATCGCCTGGGCGAAATTCCTACGATAATGATGACTGGAGCCCAAGTTGCTATAGGCGCGCGCCTCCTCGACCTGCGACGAATGCGAATTAAAACACTCGACTGCCCCTAGGCGACTAACAACCTGATTGCCTAGTCGGCGAGCGATTCGCAAGTGCTGCGTGTGACAGTCGACGGCCGAATCGAAGTCGCCCATCGCGAGATAGACGGCGCCGACGTTGCCGATCTCGCGCGCCTCCTGCAGCTTATCGCCCATCTGCTTGACGAGCTGCACGCACTGCTTGTGGGAGGCGAGCGCGTTCGGGTAGTCGCCGATCGCGGTATAGACGTGACCTAGCGAAGTCAGGGCGGCGGCGGCCGCCTGCGTGTCCTTGCATTTCATCGCGAGCACCAGCTGGTAGCGGTGAGCGGTCAGCGCCTCCTTGTACGACCCCTGGCTGAAGTAGGCGGAGCCTAGATTACCGTGCGCTCGACACTCTCCGGCGGTGTCGCCCAAACTCTTCGCTATCGCCAAGTCTTGCTGCATGTACCTAAAAGACGTTTGTGCACATTCTGATAAAAGAGAGACAGAATACTAACCCGATCGCCTTATCCAATTGATTTAGAGCCCAATGGGCCGAGCTGAGCGCGCTGAACACCGAGCCCCTCAGTTTCAGCGAGCAGGATCCGATGCGCAGGGCCGACTCGAGAACGGTCACCGCCGAATGATACAGTCCGGCGGCGAGCAGTTCCTGCCCGACGACCGATATGAGCACGAAGGGGCTCTGGTCCAATTTCATATTTTCTAGCTGATGGAAGATCGGCTCTAAGTTATGTCGAAGTGGTGACTTGACCGAGGCCTCGATGAGCGCCGATAGCAGCTGCTGCGAGGTGGGATCCTGTGCCAGACCGCCACTGAAGGCGGCGAGTGCCTCGCCGTGTCGTCCCATGCATTGCAAAGCGACCCCTTGCCTAACAAAAGCGGTTTATTAATCCGTAATGTTGGCACCAGGAGTTGCGTACCTGTAGTAGGCCTTCGGCCAAGTTGGGCAAAGATCGCGAGCAGTAACAGCATCTTGAAGCGCCTGCGCGAACAGTCCCTGCTTTAGCTTCGCAGCCGAACGGTTCGAGTACAGAATGTGATTGGTCGGATCGAGCTGGAGCGCGTCGGTGTAGAGGGCGACGGCCGTCGCAAAGTCGCCACTCTGACAGGCGGCGTTCGATTGGTGAACCTAAAGGACCAACGAGATCTTTAAGGTCTTGTAAAGGCTCCAGAAAAGCATTCTTCAAGGCAAGTCTTTTAATCTCTTTTGGAGGTTTTTTTAAACCCAAAAATCACAAATTCCTTGGCGAATGAAAACTCGAATTACAACCAAAGAGAATTTTTCAAAAAAATGCTTGTGGGTACACATTGGGCCTAAATTCCAAAAGAAAGATTCTCGAGTTTCGCGAAGATATCAATTGTTTTGGAGGTTTTTTAACTAAAAAAAACCCAAAAATCACAGATTCCTTCGCGAATGAAAACTCGAATTACAACCAAAGAGAATTTTTCAAAAAAATGCTTGTGGGTACACATTGGGCCTAAATTCCAAAAGAAAGATTCTCGAGTTTCGCGAAGATATCAATTGTTTTGGAGGTTTTTTAACTAAAAAAAACCCAAAAATCACAGATTCCTTCGCGAATGAAAACTCGAATTACAACCAAAGAGAATTTTTCAAAAAAATGCTTGTGGGTACACATTGGGCCTAAATTCCAAAAGAAAGATTCTCGAGTTTCGCGAAGATATCAATTGTTTTGGAGGTTTTTTAACTAAAAAAAACCCAAAAATCACAGATTCCTTCGCGAATGAAAACTCGAATTACAACCAAAGAGAATTTTTCAAAAAAATGCTTGTGGGTACACATTGGGCCTAAATTCCAAAAGAAAGATTCTCGAGTTTCGCGAAGATATCAATTGTTTTGGAGGTTTTTTAACTAAAAAAAACCCAAAAATCACAGATTCCTTGGCGAATGAAAACTCGAATTACAACAAAAGAGAATTTTTCAAAAAAATGCTTGTGGGTACACATTGGGCTTAAATTCCAAAAGAAAGATTCTCGAGTTTCGCGAAGATATCATTTGTTTTGGAGGTTTTTTAACTAAAAAAAACCCAAAAATCACAGATTCCTTGGCGAATGAAAACTCGAATTACAACAAAAGAGAATTTTTCCAAAAAATGCTTGTGGGTACACATTGGGCATAAATTCCAAAAGCAAGATTCTCGAGTTTCGCGAAGATATTTGTTTTGAGTTTTTTAACTAAAAAAAAAACCCAAAAATCACAGATTCCTTGGCGAATGAAAACTCGAATTACAACAAAAGAGAATTTTGCCAAAAAATGCTTGTGGGTACACATTGGGCCTAAATTCCAAAAGCAAGATTCTCGAGTTTCGCGAAGATATCTTTGTTTTGGAGGTTTTTTAACTAAAAAAAACTCAAAAATCACAGGTTCCTTGGCGAATGAAAACTCGAATTACAACAAAAGAGAATTTTTCCAAAAAATGCTTGTGGGTACACATTGGGTCTAAATTGCAAAAGCAAGATTCTCGAGTTTCGCGAAGATATCAATTGTTTTGGAGGTTTTTCAACTAAAAAAAAAACCAAAAATCACAGATTCCTTCGCGAATGAAAACTTGAATTACAACAAGAGAATTTTTCCAAAAAATGCTTGTGGGTACATAATGGGCCTAATTCCAAAAGCAAGATTCTCGAGTTTCGCGAAGATATCAATTGTTTTGGAGGTTTTTTAACTAAAAAAAAACCAAAAATCACAGATTCCTTCGCGAATGAAAACTTGAATTACAACAAGAGAATTTTTCCAAAAAATGCTTGTGGGTACATAATGGGCCTAATTCCAAAAGCAAGATTCTCGAGTTTCGCGAAGATATCAATTGTTTTGGAGGTTTTTTAACTAAAAAAAAACCAAAAATCACAGATTCCTTCGCGAATGAAAACTTGAATTACAACAAGAGAATTTTTCCAAAAAATGCTTGTGGGTACATAATGGGCCTAATTCCAAAAGCAAGATTCTCGAGTTTCGCGAAGATATCAATTGTTTTGGAGGTTTTTTAACTAAAAAAAAAACAAAAATCACAGATTCCTTCGCGAATGAAAACTCGCATTACAACAAAAGAGAATTTTTCCAAAAAATGCTTGTGGGTACACATTGAGCCTAAATTCCAAAACCAAGATTTTCGAGTTTCGCGAAGATATCATTTGTTTTGGAGGTTTTTTAACTAAAAAAACCCAAAAATCACAGATTCCTTGGCGAATGAAAACTTGCATTACAACAAAAGAGAATTTTTCCAAAAAATGCTTGTGGGTACACATTGGACCTAAATTACAAAAGCAAGATTCTCGAGTTTCACGAAGATATCAGTTGTTTTGGAGGTTTTTTAACTAAAAAAACCCAAAAATCACAGATTCCTTCGCGAATGAAAACTCGAATTACAACAAAAAAGAATTTTTCCAAAAAATGCTTGTGGGTACACATTGGGCCCAAATTCTAAACGCAAGTTTCGGGGAGGTTTCACTTGTTTTGGAGGTTTTTAAAAAAAATCACAGATTGATTCCATAATAAATGAAAACTCGAATTAAACCAAAAGAGAATTTTCAAAAAAATTTGTTGTAGGCACAAATTGGGCCAAAATTCTAAACGCAAAATTCCCGAGCTTCGCGCAGGTTTCATTAGCATGGGCGTTTTTTAAATTAAAAAGCCCAAAAATCATAGATTCCTTAATGAATAAAAACGCAAAAGAAAATTCATCAAAAAAATGTGTGTGGGTGCAAATTGAGCCCAAATTCTGAACGCAGCGTGCTCGAATTTCGTGGAGGTTTTATTTGTTTTGACTTTTTTTAACTTAAAAAATCACAGATTTCTTTATGAATGAAAACTCGAATTGCAATAAACAAAAAAATTTTCAAAAATATATTTGTGCGGGCCTAATTTCTAAACGCACGATTCTCGAGTTTCGCGGAGGTTTGATTTCTTTTGGTGCTTTTTTTTAAATTAGAAACTTCAAAAATCACACATTGCTTCATGAAAAATCCGATTACAACAAAAATTCCCAAAAAATGTTTGCGGGGACAAATTGGGCCCAAATTCCTAGAACAAGTTTCTAGAGTTTCGTGCCGGTTTCATTTGTTTTGGCGTTTTTTAAATTAACAATTCCAAAATTTGCACATTGCAAAATGAGTGAAAATACTATTTTCAACAGAAAAAAAATGTTTTAGGAAAAAAGCGTTTTTGGACCCAAACTCAAAACACAAGATTCTCGGGTTTCGCGGAGGGTTTATTGGTTTTGGGGGTTTTTAATTAAAAAACTCAAAAATCATAGATTGCTTAATGAATGAAAATCCAAATTACAACAAAAAAAATTCAAAAAAGGAGGGGGGGGGGGGAAATTGGGTCTAAATTCAAAAAACAATTTTTTTGAGTTTCTCTGACCTTTCATTTCACCAAACTTTGTGTGTTAAATTTGAGCTGCTAATTTAAAATTTTGTGCTAATCCCCTTAATGAGTAGGTAACATTTTCTTTTCCTATAATTTTATGCTCATTTTAACACAAAATTATTAAATAAGAAATTTAAATTGTAATTAGCACAAAATTTTAAATTAGTAGCACAAATTAGCACAAAATTATGATACTCTTAAAAATCAATTCCTTTGAAATCGACATTCCAACTTCACTGATCCAGATCCAGAATTAAAAGCGACGATCCCACATAGTCTGGTTCCAAGTTCAAGTCCGGGATTAACCTCATCAGTAGTTCGATGCTTACCTTCTCGACGAATAGGGCTCGGTTTGCTGCCGGAAGTTCGGTGGTTCCTTCGGGCTCAACCTACAAAAACAGATAAATTAATTAGGACCGTAACGGTCGAGGGGGTTGCAGAAACCCGTGGTACCTTCAGGTTTCTGTTCTGTTCCAGCATTAAAATCGCCTCGCATTCTACAAACTAAGAACCTACTCCAAGATAGAGAAATGCATACTTCCGTAAAATCCCTGTGCGACATCCCAACGTTTTTTAAACCACATCCTCATCCAATTAGTGTTTTTTTGTGACACTTCAACATTGTTCACATTTGAGAAAACGCACACGTTCGCCACGCACTCACTTTAAGTCATCTTGTTTCGGGTAATTCGAGAAGATTTGCGAGATTATTTCGATTTAAAGGTAAAATAAATGCGCGTAGAGGCCGTCATCTAAACAGTTATTTACTCGCATTCCTTTTCGACGCCATCTTGGAATGCAGGTAAGTAACAGGTGCGCTGTAATCTCCACCGCGGTTGCGTTAAGGTCGAGGGGAAATCGCCCCAACTTTCGATTATTCGGAGAGATTTCGTGGAGAAATGCTCTCTGCGGTTTACTTGGGGCGCGCATGTCGAATAACAAGGGAGAAAATTTGGCCGGAGGCGATGGCGACCACCAGCAATTACCATTGCCAAATGCCAATTACAATTAATTGGGATTTAATCGTTTGCAGGGGTCGTTTGGTAGTGGTACATTTTGTGGGAAATGTATCGCAATTGAAAATAAAAGTAAATTTACTGAAGGTCATGAAGATGACCACGACTGGCCGTCTGCAATTCCACCATGGCGGATGGATAAGAAACCAGTACCTATATCTCGCCTCTTTTCGTTAATCTTCGTTCTTGCGCCCCGCCTTCTTCCAATGGTTTTTGAGACGCATGCCTTGATGTTTCGTGTTATTAGCAGGACAGGAGAAGAGAAGAAAGGAGAGAGTATGGGAATGACAGCACACAGGACGAACGCGAATATAGAAAAAAGCGGCGAATGAAAGTCGATGACAGGAGATACAGAAGAAGTCACGAAGAGAAGGCAGCGGAGCATAGATGCATAGAAAAGGGAAAAGACAGCAAGAGATGAGATACCAATGCGAGAAAGCAGGAGATTAAACAAACGGATAAGGGAAAGACAACAGATGGCAGTGGAGCGCTACCTAGGGAACAGAAGTAGACGGAAGAGCATAGGCGGACAAGGCAAGAGAGAACAAATAAATAGGCGCAGAAGGAAGAGGCAAGAGAAATCAGGTAGATGGTAGGAGAGTGCCAAAAGAAAGTTGGCGAGGACAGGAGAGATTATACAGGGGAAAGTCCAAGGGATTTCAAGAATGGGAAAAACATTAAAGGATGAGATGGATCAAAACGGGGGAGGACGGGAAAAGACATTGGGCAGGAGAAGTTAGGAAATGACAGGAGAAAGTAAAGAAAGTGCACAGAGGATACGCAACAGTAGGCAAGAGATGACAAAAATATGCAAAATAGTGGAGTGGGTAAAGAGAGTAACAAAAAAGATAAGAGAGAATCTGAGTGGAAAAGACACTGCAGGAGCAATCAAGTAGGTAAGAGCGAACAGCTGAGAACAGGAGATGATAGAAGAGAGTAGAAAAAAGCAGGAAAAGTAGGAGATGAAAAAAGGAAGCAGGAAAACGTAGAAGACAAGAATGGCGGTTAAATTCTAATAGTTTGCTAAAGACGAATACAGGGTGCACTGAAATATAATTTACTGTCCTTTAGGATGAACGGAACATCCAAGGGATTTCAGCACATTTTTGTGTGGCAGATCAGTACTTTTATTAGCTAGTTTTGACTCCACAATCAATAAGATCTTGTCGAGGGCTACCACATTCCCTTTGTCGGTACCCACTTCTGCTGCCCCCACAGACGCCGGATGTATACAAAGTTTGAATCAAAACACTTGTACCACGTTGTTAAGTGCCTCAATATGAATGGCGACTGAGTTGAAAAATAGCCTAAGAGTGTAGCTTCCAAATGTATATAATAAAAGTTTCTTACACTTTCTTAATTTTTTATTTCAAAACGTCTGTTACTTTCTGGATGGCCCTTGTAGAAGAAAGTTACAGCGGTAGGAAAAGGCTGCAAATTTAAACTAATAATAATAATACTTTATTTGTAATCTATACACTATAGTCTGTATTAGTGTGACTAGCATTTGTACGCAATCATTTCTACGACTTGTGCCCCATGCCATAGCTAAATTTGACGCGAGAATTGAAAACATTATGAATAAATGTATTTCTATTCTTCGTTGAGTGAAAGACTTAGTAGTGCAGTGCTTTTAAAATTTCGTGTAAAGTTTCGCTCAAAAATGTACAGTGTTCTATTAATTAGAGCTCAATGGTAAGTGATAAGGCGCCAAAACCTGATCAGACCACCGCTTCGAAAAATACCTAGGTACGCCACTGAGGAGGACAAGAGAAAACAGTACAGTGAAGGGGTGAAGTGTTTACAGATTACAGCAAGGTCAGGAGAAAACAAAAGAGGAGCGGAGTAGAAAGTACATCAGGAGAGCAGAAAAGGGCAGGAGAAAATTTAGAAGTGTCAATAGAGGGCAATGGATTACAGTCGTTGGCAGGAAAGCATAATGCGAGAAGCCTAGAGCAAACAGGAAATGAAAGGAAAACAAAAGTGCACATTTGATGAGTGTACTGGATCGAGTAGAAGTGTAAGAGATCAAGAAGTGAGAGCAGTGGGAAGGATAGTGCGTAACAGAGAGAACGGGGAAGAGCACAAAAGTAGATAAGAGAGGACATTGGGAAGTGCAATAAAATACTACTAATTAAACCCTCACAGATGGCGTCACTTGCGTAAAAAGAAATGAAAGTGTATTGGCAGTCTGGCAACGCTGTCAAACCGAAACCTTAAACTAACCTAAAATTTGACTGTTTCTCAACAAAATAAAAATAGGTCAGTTTTTAGTTATTTATTGAAAAGACATCGAACGGCCAGCTTCAAAATGAAAGCGTGCCGCACCTGCTTAAAAGTGCTATATGACGAAACCGAATGTTTTGCTGTAGACACCGAAGAAGAGTCCGGCACAAGTTTACCATCCCTTAGAAGCAAACTAATCAGTTGCGTACCTGAAATGGTAAATCCCTCGCTCTTCGCATTTCCACCCTAAACCTTTCACCTAATTTCAGGCGTTAGACGTAATACAATCGGCCGTCATATGCTGTAACTGCTTCCAAGCGTTAAACGCCGCGTACAATTTTAAGAACACGTGCCTACAGACCGAGGAGAGAATTATTAATTACACACAGTGCAACGGCACAAGTTCGATAGATATCATAGACATTGTGCGGGAAGACGAAGGATCTGACTATCTCACCATTGAGGATGTTAAACCGATGTTTAATGAATCGTCACTACTCCAACCGCAAGTCTCACTCGAGGAGGGGTCAAATTACCTGCACAAATCGCAGAACTTACCTTACAGTCCCGAATTTGACGTCGAAGTTAAACAGTACACTCCAACACAAAGTATCGATCCCTTTGGCGGTAAGCAAGCGATTCTTTTTATCCTTCAAACGAACCGCCCTCTTTCAGATATCAATTCACCGCTACTAGTCTACAGGGAGATAAAGCCGTACAAGTGCACGGAGTGTCCGAAGTGCTTCGTGCGCAAAGACAAACTGATGCTGCACATGCGAATACACACCGGCGAGAAACCGTTCACGTGCACGTTTTGCGGCCGCTCGTTCAGCCGCAAGGACAAAATGAACAATCACGAGCGGATACACACGGGCGAGAAGCCGTTCCAGTGCATATTCTGTCTCAAGTCGTTCTCGAGGAAGGACAGGATGAACGCGCACATGCGATCTCAGCACGCGCAGGCCGTCGCCAATTTGGAGATCACGGTCGTGAAGAAGGAGTCGGATCACGAGCCGCCCCAGCTTCAGGAGGCAGCGTAATGACTAAAAGTGCTACCGTGGGGGGCATTTATTCGAGGAATCATCCGGCTGCAGATTACTTAACCATTTTATTGTATTTATTAAATCGATGTAGATCTATTTTGATGATTGTTAATTGTAAAGCAAAATAAAAAGCAGATATTTTTGGAACAGATGAGTACAAAATGAGCCATTTCTTCTGCTGACCGTTTATTTAAGTACCATGTTCCCTGTTTAGTACTTGGTCATTGGTGGGGGCACAGATACACATACACAGATTGCTAACCTTATGCATTTTTTGAGAAACAAATTTAGGTATACTTAAAAGCGCCCTCTATTGCGGAGCAGTACAAACATGTACATTTGTTTCCCAAAAAATGCATCTGTGTATGCTTAGATCTGTGGACTTCTCAATTTATTTATTTATTTTATTTTATTATCCCTCTCTTGTTTTGGGCCCTCAACAGGCATACGCCCAATTACAGAGTGACCCGCATAATGCTATTTAGAGGTGCCTCTGCAGAAGGTCTTAAGATGGTCTATACTACTCCGGTATTTACCTTACGAATTAGGAAAACTGCAGGAAAACCTAATTCAGAGTAGCCGGTAGAATGCTCGGAACTGGCCTAAGGTAATTTCCATCTCCGCCACAGATGAAAAATTCACCTCAACCCAGGTTCGAACACCCGACCTTCGGATTTATAACCCAATGCTCTTACCACTGAGCCATAAATCCGATCTTTCATATTAAACCGTTACGTTATCTCAATTGTGCACTTGCACGAGTTTTTCCCGGGAAACATCGGACTACAATCAAAAGTTATAGACTAGAAATCAATTTCGAAAGAAAATTCAAAGGGCTGTAACTTTGGAAGTAATAGCGCAAAATTGGAACTGTTTGAAATGATGGATTCTACAGGCCACATTCTATAAGAAAATTTTTTTCCGGGTCGATCTGAGACAATTTTTTTTTTGGGCCTCAAAAAAGACAGTGTATAACCTTCCTTTTTTACCAAAAATTGACTACACCAAAAGACCTCGGGAAAACACGTTTTCTTATTAATTTTGGTGCGTAGAATCTAAAACAATTCGTACTTTTTCGATTAGACTTCTCAATCAAAAGTTATAGACTAAAAACCAATTTCGAAAAAAAATTCAAAGGGCTGTAACTTTTGAACTAGTAGCCCAATCTTGGAACTGTTTGAAATTATGGATTCTACAGGACACATTCTATAAGAACATTTTTTTCCCGGATCGATCAGACAATTTTTTTTTCGGGGCTCAAAAAAAACAATGTATAACCTTCCTTTTTTACCAAAAATCGACTACACCAAAATTTCTCGGGAAAACACTTTTTCTTATTAATGTTGGTGCGTAGAATCCAAAACAATTCGTACTTTTTCGATCAGACTTCTCAATCAAAAGTTATAGACTAGAAACCAATTTCGAAAAAAAATTCAAAGGGCTGTAACTTTTGAATTAGTAGCCCAATCTTGGAACTGTTTGAAATTATGGATTCTACAGGCCACATTCTATAAGAAAATTTTTTTTCCGGATCGATCTGAGACAATTTTTTTTCGGGGCTCAAAAAAAGGCAGTGTATCGCCTTCCTTTTTTACCAAAAATCAACTGCACCAAAATTTCTCGAGAAAACACTTTTTCTTATTAATTTTGGTGCGTAGAATCCAAAACAATTCGTACTTTTTCGATTAGACTTCTCACAGATCTACACATACACGAATTGCTAATAACCTTATGCATTTTTTGAGAAACTAATTTAGGTATACTTAAAAGCGCCCTCTATTGCGGAGCAGTACAAACATGTACCCTTTAAAACTGTAATATGACGCTTATGGATAAGGTTAGCAATCTGTGTATGCTTAGATCTGTGGTGGGGGACTAAAGAAAGACAGTACCAGGTTGCAAGATTGATTTAAGGTGGCATATCACCCCTTAGGAGGGGAAATGTAACAAGAGACACTTTAAAACAGTGGGTAGAACAAATGGCATTATTCTATTTTATTTCATAAGGCGAGTCCGACAACATAGCACTTTCGCCACAGAACATGCGATTGGGCTCAGTTTTAAGAAGGCTCACATTTGCCAAGAGGCCCTGGACTGTCCGAGTCTGGTTGCTTGTTGCCATTGAGCCTGGAGTTACAGACCACCCAGTCTTTCCTAGCCCTAATAACGGAGGGAGCAATTCGTAGGGTAGACTAGGTCTCGACGAAGACCCCACCCTACCTTCACGAGCAACAGGAAGAAGAGGAAGTCGTCACCATCTCCGCTAAACCCAGCCCTAGTCGTGAGAGGTTCCACCCTGTATATACAACTTACGACGATACATCATTTTTGAGAGTTGGCAACCATGCAATTTCTAGGTGGGAAAAAGCTGCTTGTGCCATCTAAAAAGCACGAACGGGGTTACGTTTGGCATCTTGTCTTGAATGGCGGTCGTGAACGCGTCGCTCCTAAACTGTTTGTTGTTATTTTGTGTTGTTAAATGCAGGTAGTAATTTTTATATTTCTTTATATCGTATTTGTGTTTTGTATACCACATTTTATATTTTTTGTGTGTTTGAATCTTTGTTTTTGAAATTTACTTTGTTTAACCGCAATTCATAATCACGTATGTGATACCGTTATACTATTGTTTGTAATTGTTTACGTTTTTGGTGTAATGCTTGCTTAATTTTATAGCAAAACAAATAAAAATAAACTTAATTTCAAATCAATTAGAAATCTGTTTTAGATAAATGTTAATGTCTTTTCACCTCAACAGATGGCGCTACTAGTATTTATAATAACAATATTTATCAGTAATTTCAAATTCAAATATGTTCCTACATGTGGTCATTTTATCTCATTTCCTGATGTCCTTGGTATTTGCAAATTTGATGTACATTCTAGAATATGGCGAGCATGGTCCAACTTAGTGAACTTAATTGTATTTATTAAGAGATCTTGTGGAGTTCGACTTTATATTTAGGTAAGTCCATAGTACTTTGTAAATTAGGCTCGTACTTAAATTAAGTGATGTGTTCATCTAAGGCATGTACCTACTGATATTCGACTTTATATTTAGAATACTACCCAAAATAAGACAATTCCCGATTACGACAAAAAACACCCGATTTCTGACAAGCAATAAACCGACTACGACCAGTGCGTCTTTTTTATATTCCCGCATTCGACTCCGGCGACCCGTTCAAATAACCTCTTGAAGGGAGCTATTCCGGTTTAATTTATGTTTATTGATGTTGATTACTTGGTCTTGTCCCTGAAGTAACATTCATATAAGTTTTGATCATTTTATTTTAATATGTGGAAAATACCGATTCGTTTGATGTATGTACTGACTTTTTTGTAACTAACAATTTTCTCCGTAAATGAAGCAGTCACGGGGGTGGTAAAAACTGTAGTCAAAATTGAGCTACGACACCTAATTCCGTGATTGTCTTCCGACATTCAACTGTAGGCTCGAAAACCCGAAACCAGAGGCGGGTTACCTATCTTGCAGGAGCAGGATTACGCTAATCAAAGCTCTTCAGTTTAGAATCTATGTGCGATAAATGAGTGGCAATTCGATAATTTCCACATATCTTGTTTTTAGTTACATTTGCCTAAAGGCCATGTAATTGCTTTGATATCCAAACATTTGTATCAGGAACACAGTAACAAAGGGAATAGATCCTCCGCATTTTGCTTTTGTCTGGTACCACAACACAATCGTATCAGGAGCGCCCAAGTCGAACAATCCAATCCAACGCCTGATCAATTTCAATACTTTTGAATGTATCAGGAGACCAGACCACTAAATATTAAAAGAATCTACTCCATCACAATCTTTCAAAGAAGTGCTAATCGTGTCAGGAGAGTAGATGTGCAATCTAACTTACGATCGCTTTCCAACCTTAAGACTTTCGATTGTACCAGGAGAAAATAAATGCAAGTTCTGGTCCCAACTCTTTCCAAGCTAGTGAAATACTACATGCAACTATATGCAGTGGATACGTTTCGAAGAATTGAAGTTATATTGGAAACTTGTACTAATCCCCGTTCCTATCAGGAGCACAGAGGGAAAAGAATAATTTAACTGAATGGTCCGCGCATTGAGGTAACGTATCAATCTCAAAACCCTTGATTGTGTTAGGAGAGATGTACTGTGGACAGCTTGCACCCATTCTGTTTAAATATAGAAGGATGTCAACTGCGATGTTACTATTTTCTCCAATTGGTAAAATAGTATCTGGAATGAAGAAGTGAGGTAATCCAATCAACCGTCCGATCGCGTCCCAATTTTAAGACTTTTAATAGTATCAGGAGAGCATAACACGATGCGGGGACAAGCTTCCCTTCAGACTTTAGAAATACGAAAAAATGCATTTCGAGGTTTCGAATTTGTATCAAACACCTGGTCGCCTTGAAATCTACACGTTATCGTTGTTGTATCAGGAGCACACCGAGAAGGGAACTAGGACTCTCTACCAGTGCATACTGCCACATTTTAGTACCAAAGCCCTTTTTAAAAGGTAATAAACGCGTTAGGAGCGTAGACGTGCAAAAATCCAATCAGGAGCACAGAAAGATCGGAAATAAATGGATCTGGCGGAATCTACATAATCTATTTTTTGCAGTATCACAAACTTTTGAAGGATAGTAAGCGTATCACGAGCGTGGAAGTGCAAAATTCAATCTAAATCCTGATCGCCTTAAAATCTCCGCATAACCGTTCCTATCAGGAGCACAGAGAGAAGGGAATCAATTAACTTTACTAACTACAGATTGTTTTCTTGCGATGTTACTATATTTTTTCCAGTTGGTGTAACAGTATCTGGAGTGAAGAAGTGCGGCAATCCAATCAACCGTCCGAACGCGTTCCAATTTTAAGACTTGTAATAGTATCAGGAGAGCATAATACGATGCGGGGACAAGCTTCCCTTCAGACCTTAGAATTACGAAAAAATGCATTTCGAGGTTTCGAATTTGTATAAAAAAACTGGTCGCCTTGAAATCTACACGTTATTGTTGTTGTATCAGGAGCACAGGGAGAAGGGAACTAGGACCTTCTACCCGTGCTGTCACATTTTGGTACCAAAGCCCTTGTTAAAAGGTAATAAACGCGTTAGGAGCGTAGACGTGCAGAAATCCAATCAGGAGCACAGAAAGATCGGAAATAAATGGATCTGGCGGAATCTTCATAATCTATTTTTTGCAGTATCACACACTTTTGATCGCATCCCAACTTTAAGATGAACTTTCACAGGACCACAGAAGGGAGCCGCGACGTACAAAATTGCACAAATTTCAAAAAAGGGGTAATTGTATCAGAAGTGCAAGCGTCTAAATTTTAATACTGGACTGTATCAGGAGAGAATAATCGAGACAGTTAAGTGTCAGGTAGTTTACAGGGAACAGAAACACTGAAAAAAATGTCAATCACTTGCGGCGGATGACCCTGCGAGGGCTCATTTAATGCTTAACATGCGAGTTGTTGTATCAGGAGCTCAGAAGGAAATGAACTGAACCTGTACTTCACGGTTTGTTTTTATCTGTTACTAAAACCATCTTCAAAGCGTAGTACAGGAATATAACCCGGCATATGCTTAAGGCACAATTTGATCTAATAGTTCTATCAGGAGAGAAAAATCTCCGAGTCTTCCCCAAGGAGTTGCTCCTTCCGTTGTCACGGGTGATCACTCAATTTCAGACTCAGTGGCAATAAGCAACCTGAATCAGGCAGTCTAGGGAATTTTTAACACCGGGCATGTGGTCTATCACGGTGACGCCTGGATCGGACATCAGCTCCTTGGCACAGCTGGGTTGAGCGTTCTAAAAAAACCGCTTGAGCGACGAGCGCTCTAAGTTGTTTTGCAAAGCGAAACCGCTTGAGAGTTCCGAGCACTCCTAAAAGTGCTCGAGCGGTTTATAGCGAGCGCTCGGGAGCGGAAAAAATGCCCGCGGGCTGCGCTTAATCCTACAGCGCTTGAGGGCGGTTAAAAGCGCTCACGAGCAAAAAAAAACACTCAGGAGCGGAAAGAGCTCCCTCGCAAGCGCTTTTTTTCGCTTGGAGCGCTCTTTTTCGAGCGAAACGCGAGAGAGAGAGAGAGCGAGAGAGAGAGAGAGAGAGAGAGAGAGAGAGAGAGAGAGAGAGGAGGAGAGAGAGAGAGAGAGAGAGAGAGAGAGAGAGAGAGAGAGAGAGAGAGAGAGCATGGAAAATTTATTTGGTACTTCAGTAATCTTCAAGTGTATAGAAAGCTGAAGGGTCTTCTGAGCATTGGTTATGAATGACTCTGAACGCTCTGAAGCCTTAGAAAATTCTGGAGGTTCCCGAAGGCTCTGAAGGCATAGTGACTAAATCCTCGAAGGTCTTTGGAGCATTTCAAATTTTGAAGATCTCGAAAATTCCGCATAAACTTCGAACACTTTCGAAGTCTTCAGGTGTTCAGAAGGCCATTACAGAGATTCAGCAATTTCTACAGATGCTAAAAATGTCAAAACTGATTCATACTCCATGGTTGAGGTGCCTAGTCTCAGTTATATATTCCAGACAGACCCTCCACGTACGGACAAAGTAAAACCTTCTGAACATCCCACCCCGTGTTTTTTTCTAATAGCCACCGGTATAATATTGTACTCGAATGGTGTGACGTCATAAATAATGCGGGAAATTCGAATCTCCGAAGTTCCGAACTGATTGCAATTAGTAATTGAAGGCCACATTCCATACCCTACGCGCATATCCCGTGACTTAGTGAACTTTGCACTTGGACGCATACAAAAAAAGGTGTTGTCTTCTGCTATCCTTGGGTGGGCGCGTGTTGTGATCAGAGTGCAATTCGCCGAATTTATCAAAACTTAATGGAGAACGACGAAGAGGAATTGTACTGTGACAGCGTTTGCATCGAAATGCTTACGGGGGAGAAGCAGGACTGTTCGCATAGCTTCTGCAAGGATTTAATCGAGAAGTGGCGTGGGCACAAAGATGATTGTGCGATTTGCGTGCCCGAGCACCAAGACGATGCCGTACCGGGTCCCTCAGGCCTCGCCAACAACGCGAATGTCGGCGATGGTTCCTCACCAAGCGCATCAGATGACGAAAGCAGTTCTTCGGAAGAAGAGCTAAGGTGGACTCGTCATTTCAGCGTTTACTCAGAAGACATCGATGATTCTGGCGCGAGTCACACTGCCACAATTGGCGAAGGCTGCTCCGTTTACTCCGATACAATACATAAGGGTAGATGCGAGTCTGCTGCAAGCCTTGATGATTATGAAGAAGGCCATCTGAAGATGTACCCCTGCCCGCTGCCGCCCCACCTACGCCAACCAGTTGAGTCCGATACTGATGCAGGTTTTGCTTCCGATAGTTCCAGTTCAGGAAGACCCAGCCCTCAAGCTCCACTTCTGTTACTTGTGCTTGATGTCCATGAACGTCGCAATCGGCGAAATGAATCCCGTGAGCAGTACAAGCGTGCGGACGATGAAAATTTTTCCATCCCCGAAAGATACGAGAGATATGCGGAGAAGTATAAATTTCGAAAATATGATTCATTTTAAAATATACTTAATTTCTTCTATCTGATTCTTCTTTTCAGGTAGTATTGTTAAATTTTCATTATTTGCATGAAGCTACTTTTGATATTAGCAAAACAATGTCCATTTTTGCTTGTATTTTGTGCAGTTTTAATAAAATTATCAAAGCAAAGTAAGTAGGCTAACTAAATAACTTCTTCAGTGTGAAGAAATGGGTACCAGGAACGGGCTAAAGCTTTGAGGTTCCTGATAATTCCCGTTTTTTAGGTAACTGTGCCTACGTTCGCAATATGTCTACGCCCGTCTGGAATTTGAAAAATCCGTACAATCGGAAATCGAAGAAATTGAAGAATCCGAAAAATTTGATGGATCTGAAGAATGGGAAGAATCCAAGGAATCGCGAGAATCTGAAGAATACCAAAGGATCCAGAGAACAGAATTTGAAGAAACTGATGAGCCTATTTCAAGAACTTGAAGAATTCGAAAAATGTGGAAAAAGCAACAAACATTTTGGAAAAACCGAAGAATAAAAAAATCGGAAAAATTCAAAGTATTCGAGTCATACGTAGCTTCCCATTACATGCACAAATCGGAAACATCAGAAGAATCTTGAAGAAGTTTGAAGAATCCAAAGTGCGAAAAAAAGCAAAAATTGAAGATCTTAATAATCAGATGAATTAACAATTTTTGAAGAAATGGATTTTGATATTTGATTTTGTGACAATGGAAACTTTCCCTAAACATTTCTAAATATAATATAAATATAAAATATTTGAATAACTTAAAAGTACTGCCTTTTTTTTTGGCCGGAAAAAAAAATTGCCTGAGATCGACCGGGAAAAACCATTTTCCTATAGAATTTGGCCCGTAGAATCCATAATTGCAAACAGTTTGAAGATTGGGCTACTAGATACTAGATCAAAAGTTACAGCCCTTTGAATTTTTTTTCGAAATTTGTTTTTTGTCCATAACTTTTTATTGAGAGGTCTAATTGAAAACGTACGAATTGATTTGGATTCTACGCACCAAAATTAACAAAAAAAAGTGTTTTCCCGAGAAATTTTGGTGTAGTCGATTTTTGGTGAAAAAGGAAGGTTATACACTGCCTTTTTTTGAGGCTCTCAAAAAAAATTGTCTCAGATCGACCCGGAAAAAAAACTTTCTGGTAGAATGTGGCCTGTAGAATCCATAATTTCAAACAGTTCCAAGATTGGGCTACTAGTTCAAAAGTTACAGCCCTTTGAATTTTTTTTTGAAATTGGTTTCTAGTCTATAACTTTTGATTGAGAAGTCTGATCGAAAAAGTACGAATTGTTTTGGATTCTACGCACCAAAATTAATAAGAAAAAGTGTTTTCCCGAGAAATTTTGGTGCAGTCGATTTTTGGTAAAAAAGGAAGGTTACACTGCCTTTTTTTGAGGCCCGAAAAAAAAATTGTCTCAGATCGACCCGGAAAAAAAATTTTCTTATAGAATGTAGCCTGTAGAATCCATAATTTCAAACAGTTCCAAGATTCGGCTACTAGTTCAAAAGTTACAGCCCTTTGAATTTTCTTTCGAAATTGGTTTCTAGTCTATAACTTTTGATTGAGAAGTCTGATCGAAAAAGTACGAATTGTTTTGGATTCTACGCACCAAAATTAATAAGAAAAAGTGTTTTCCCGAGAAATTTTGGTGCAGTCAATTTTTGGTAAAAAAGGAAGGTTATACACTGCCTTTTTTTGAGCCCCGAAAAAAAAATTGTCTCAGATCGACCCGCAAAAAAATTTTCTTATAGAATGTGGCCTGTAGAATCCATAATTTCAAACAGTTCCAAGATTGGGCTACTAGTTCAAAAGTTACAGCCCTTTGAATTTTCTTTCGAAATTGGTTTCTAGTCTATAACTTTTGATTGAGAAGTCTGATCGAAAAAGTACGAATTGTTTTGGATTCTACGCACCAAAATTAATAAGAAAAAGTGTTTTCCCGAGAAATTTTGGTGCAGTCGATTTTTGGTGAAAAAGGAAGGTTATACACTGCCTTTTTTTTTGCTCTCAAAAAAAATTGTCTCAGATCGACCCGGAAAAAAAACTTTCTGGTAGAATGTGGCCTGTAGAATCCATAATTTCAAACAGTTCCAAGATTGGGCTACTAGTTCAAAAGTTACAGCCCTTTGAATTTTCTTTCGAAATTGGTTTTCTAGTCTATAACTTTTGATTGAGAAGTCTGATCGAAAAAGTACGAATTGTTTTGGATTCTACGCACCAAAATTAATAGGAAAAAGTGTTTTCCCGAGAAATTTTGGTGCAGTCAATTTTTGGTAAAAAAGGAAGGTTATACACTGCCTTTTTTTGAGGCCCGAAAAAAAAATTGTCTCAGATCGACCCGGAAAAAAATTTTCTTATAGAATGTGGCCTGTAGAATCCATAATTTCAAACAGTTCCAAGATTGGGCTACTAGTTCAAAAGTTACAGCCCTTTGAATTTTCTTTCGAAATTGGTTTCTAGTCTATAACTTTTGATTGAGAAGTCTGATCGAAAAAGTACGAATTGTTTTGGAGTAGTCGATTTTTGGTATTCAAATACTATGCGAAGTATTCGAATACTAAATATTTGTGAAAGTATTTGAGTTACAAATACAAATACTGCTTCCATAAAAGTTCCATAAGTATTTGAATACTTTAAAGGATTTGAATACTAAAAAGTATTTACAAAATCGAATACTGCCCAGCTCTGCTCCTGGGGAGTATGCCGGTATACGCGTTGGTTAGAGTAGGTAGGAATGGCAGCACACCATACAAGTGCACCGTACTGTATATTATTGGCCTTATCACTATACAGTGTAAAGCCAATATACCAGTCGAGGGTTCAAACCCTATGTACGACACCCTGTACATTAATAAACATCACAGGCCATATCTATGGAACCGTTAATTGCACAGCTTGGGGAAAAAAACTTTGTTAACAAAAGAGGCGAAGAGGAATCGCTGGAAATTATTTTGAAGTGTCTAGGTTTGCCGCTAGAGAGCGTACAATTCAAGGTTAAGTAGAAAAACGATTTTTTTCCTAAATTACACCCAACAAACATGCAAAAAAATGCATTGCATTCTTGTATGAATTTTGCATCATTTTCATATAGCACATATTGCGCTAGCTCATAACATATGAGGGGTGGGGGGAAGGGGAAAATCTCTTTAAGGAGTTAAATGTAACTTTTCCGTTTAGATTAACCGATTTTGGTCTTGTTGGAAAGAGCTCTCTTTGTGTAATCATAATCATATTTTACAGAAATAGAGTCTTTTAGTATACCTGATGAGTGGTAGAGGGCGCGGTTTGACATTAACATAAACTTTGCAGGTTTTCTTAAAAATTACGAATGCAACAATAGCTTGGGTTCTTTGCTTGAGTAACCCTTTGTCTAAGTGTTCTTAGCATCCTAGAAAAGGCTCCGGAAAACACTTCTGGGAAGTAATTCGAATTCTTATCAGACACCTATGGATTTTTAGCCTTTGTTGCAGAGAAAGAGAAAGAAATTGTAAAGGTTACGAAACAATAATGCAAAAGAATTTCGCGAGATTATGAAGAAAACTATGAAGAGGTGGTGGAAATGACGAGATACCAAAAAGACTGAAGAAATTATGAAACTTCCAGCTAAAAAGCAAGGACGGAGGTTACGTTGAGCATCTTGTCTCGAATGGCAGTCGTGAACGCGTTGCTCCATTAATGTTTGTTATTTTGTGTAATTTAATGCAGGTAGTAATTTTTGCATTTCTTTATATCGTATTTGTGTTTCGTATGCCACATTTTATATTTTTTGTGTGCTTGAATCTTTGTTTTTGAAATTTACTTGGTTTAACCGCAATGCAGAATCACGTATGTGATACCGTTATGCTATTGTTTGTAATTGTTTACGTTTTTGGTGTAATGCTCGCTTAAATTATGTTTATTGGTGTTGATTAGGTACTTGGTCTTGTCCCTGAAGTAACATTCATATAAGTTTTGATCATTTTATTTTAATATGTGGAAATTAACGATTCGTTTGATGTATGTACTGACTTGTTGTTTGTAAGAGCCTGCTAGATTTCTCTAGAAGGTCCATTGTTAGCTATTCAAGCAAATTCAAGTGTTTTTAGTCTTAAATTTTATATAAATAAATCACATTTTAATTTATGCTACAAGATTTATTCGTACAAAAATAGATAATTTATATTACAACATATACAACAATACTACAATCTCCTCCTGAACGGGCACCCGTTGGCCCAATGACCCCTCTGTCCGCACTTATAGCACGACCCGTACCCCCCATAGTAGTGACCAGGTATGCCATTATAATAGTGATCAAAGTACTCAAACATGTACACATCATATTGAGATTCACCATCAGTCTCCTCATCTTCGTCCTCGTCTTCGCTACCAGAGCTCGAACTAATTTCTATAGGGTCGGGTACGGTTCGCCGCCGCTTGCTCGGATTCGAAGTGGACGGTCCCGGTACTGCGCTCGGCTGCGGCTCCCGTTCCGCGATGACCATCTTGCGGTGATTCTTATACTCCTCGCTTCGTTTCTCCACGATTTTCTCGATGTAGTTATCGAGGACGATGGTCGGGAATTGGTTTTGAATTTGGGCACGGCAAATGGGACAAATGGTCTGGTTTTTTCTCCACTCGTCGATGCACTTCTTGCAGAACGTGTGCGAGCATGATAAGGTGACCGCCTTAATGAAGAGCTCGGTGCAGATGCTGCACTGAAATTCATCGTCAACGCTGTCCTCCTCGTCATCGTCGTTTGCCGCGGCGGTTTGCGGTTGGGATTTGGGCAGAGATCCGCTTTGAGAGTTGCGAGTCGCCTCCAAGACCGTGTCGGCGATTTCGTTTAGCACCTCGTCGGTTATTTGTTCGGGTGTCGGCTCCGCGCAGATCAGATATTCGTAAGCGATCTGAGTGCTAAGGCCTACGATGTCGTGATCGTTTAGCTTTCGCGTGGCGTTTTGGATCAGGTCACCGTTAATCGTCGTCCCGTTGGAGCTCTACAAATTGCTTAGTGGAAGGGAGCGAGCCACGCGTGTTGGGCTTACCGTGTCGGTGAGATACCAGCTTCCATCCTTCTCCTCGAAGTAGCAATGCGAGCGTGAGATGCTCACGTCCTCGATTACGGTGGTGTTGTGGAGGGCACGGCCGATGAGATGCTAGTAAAATGAAAACGGTTACTTGCAGCTTTACCGGTGTGCACTCGAATACCTTTCCGGTTAAAGTGATTTTGGTGGAGGCAGCAGTTGAGTTCCTTGTAGGCACCAGAACCCCGTTAGGCATTGTTTTTAACACGCAAACCTTGAGAATTTCATTTAAACGCAACTGTCACAATTCATTTATTTTCGTTGGTCAAATGAACTACAAACGAAGCTGGAACTACTTGGTTACCTTTCAAGTTCTTTTGCGCATTTCAACCTCTTGTATAAGGGTGGATCACTTTTCCAACATTTTTAGATCGATTGATCAATTTCCTTCGCAAAATTACGCTGGACACAAATAACAGAATTACATATGCACATTTCAAGACTAATGCTTGACAAACGTGTGCATCGTTGCCAGATTTATTTCCTGTAGTGTAATTTGCGTTTAGGCTCTCCAGAACCCTCTAGCGGATTTCAGAGTACCTATCTTAAGTGTGGTACAAAGACGGTTTCCAGACCTATACAAGGTCAGAATCCTCGGGAAAACGCCTCAAAAAAAACCCTATTACGCAGTGTAAAGAACCTTTGAAGCTCTTGGGAAGACATTAGAATGATTAAGTCTGGCGCATTCATTTCTGATGCTATGCAACTATTACACTCTCTAAGCAAAATAAAAAGAAACGTAAAAATGATACATTTACTGTCCGTATGAAAATTAAAAAAATAACAGAAAACACTTACAATAATAAATCATCAACAAAGCTATGCGGTAAGAAGTCGTGTATGGAATTATCGATGAACTCATTGCCGATTATATGCATTTCGGTGTGCTCCTGCATTTCGCTTGGATTCTCAGTTTCGAAGGGGCACTCGAGGCACTTGAGCACCGGATCGACTTCCGCCTCGTGCGACTGCATGTGCTTGTTCAAGTTCTCCTCCTTCAACGTGCGATAAGTGCACATGGTGCACCTCATGGTCTTCTGCCCGGTATGGGTCCGCTTGTGCTTCAGCATGTTGCTGGAGTAGACCGTGCGGAAATCGCAATCGTCGCACGTGAAAATCTTACCGCTTGCGTGCGTCCGCATGTGCCTCTTAAAGGTCGCCGTACTCGCGGTGCTAAAGTCGCACTGGTCGCATTGTTTGACGGTCTGATCGTCGTCCGCATGCTGTGCACGATGCCGTTTCAGTCGGTATTTGGACTTGAACGTCAGCTTGCATTTGGAGCAGGTGAAGACGCCACTACCGGTGCTGATATTTTCGATGATTTGTTCAATTTCGGCGACGGTAACGAGGAATGAGTTTAAATCGTCCGATTGCTCATTAATTTCCATGGGGTTTTCGCCGTTCAATATGGACTCGAGGTCCGAAACCGACATGTGAAATTGATCCTTGGTCTGTCCGTTTGTGATTGCAGTCGTCGTTCCATGGTGTCGTTTCATGTGTTTACGTAGATAAGACGCCTTGAGTGCCGTATATGAGCAGTGTGTACACGAGAAGGACTTACCGCTGGCAGAGTGCCCTCGGCCGTGCTCCGTAAGCGCTTCCTCATCCGTAGCAACAAAACTGCACAGTTTACACTTCAGCTGGTTTTCATCGCGGTGTGTCTTTAAGTGCCGCCGCAGGCTGTACGCGCGTATCGATTTAAACGGGCATAGAGTACACGTGTGGTACTTCGGGGTGAAATGCTGATCACAGTGCTCAGAGTACGCCTTTTGGTCAGTGGTCGTAAAATCGCATTTGTCACATTTTAAATTTACATTATGGGAGCGCATATGACTTGCCATGCTCTGCTTCGATTTCGCCTGAAACTGGCACGTAGTGCACTTCATCGTCTCGTCCACGTGCGAATTAATGTGCTCCTTGATCTGCTCGATTGTCTCAAACGACTTCTGACAAACCGAGCATTTAATACTGTTATTCGGCAAGAGACAGTTGGGAATGTGAGTTTCATCGTTGGCGACGATAGTCACCTCGTCCTCGCTGGCATTTCCATTAGTTAAATCCGTGACGAAGCTAACTAAATCCACACGTTCCACGGCTTTTGCGTTCATATACTCGCACAGACGCCTTTCGTTGTCGACACATTTCAACTTAAAGATATAGGCCGCATTCAGTGCACCTACGCAGCCCTGACAAATTGCTGAATCGGCGACTCTGTTTAAAACCTGAAACGTAGAAATGTACTTGGGTTCCAGCTTTTGGGAGAGGGAGGAAACTTACCACTTCGGGAACGCAAGTTTCCAGTTTTTTTATAAGTTTCTGATCCGATTGTTGGTTATTTTCAAGGAAAATTAGTTGAGATTCATTGTCGAATAGTTTAAGACACGTCCTGCAGACCTTTTGCGGCATTTTTCGATGATTTTATTACGCTTTCATGTCAGCCGAATAAAACATAACCAGCAATAATTTGAACTACTATCCAAGCGTCAGGTACTGCGCTTTTGAACTACTTTATCGAAGGCGTTATACAAGGTGAATGCAAAACATTAGCCAAATACATGACTTACCGAAAACATTCAGTAGACCCAGAGACATGGAGAGAGGAGATAGCGCATGAAACTGCGCGAAGTGACAAAACAAGGGGGCTGCCATTTTGACACCCATTGAAGCGCGAAATTTGAACAGGACTATAAAGGTTTACTGACGCAACCCAGAGACATCTAACGCAATCTTCATACACTACACTCTATTCGGCAGCAGCTCCGTAGGAAGAAACTAATATCTCAATCCAAATGAACAAAAGAAAATGCCAGTGACGTTGACGTTACAAAATAAACACTTAAACCTCGAAAAAAGCTCTCCTAAACACGAACACATCTAAAATAACACCACTATAAACACAACATGACACAACGGGTGTAAAAATGGCAGCGCCCATGAGGTCGCACCCTTTCTTGGATGCGCACTCGTCGATCAGCGATCTCCTCTCTCCCATGTCTCTGAGTAGACCCTTAGCTATTATGCGCATTTTCGTCTTCCGACGGATTGGATAATTTTTACAATCGTGTGAAATTTTAAAGAAAAAGCCAAGCGCCATTCCTTTCAGAAGTACAGGAGTTTTGATCCATTGATATTTCTTTATTCGTTAATCTTTTGCGAGACATGACAGTAAAACCTTCCGCACTCTAGGTGCCAATTCGGGGATTTTCACTACTGTTAATAAGGTAATATTTTTTTCTAATTTTTGTATTTAACCAATTGCCGTTTCGTCACCGTTAAGCATTGAGGATACATGGGACTGTATCGCGCAATAAAATTGTAAATTTTCTCTATAGCGTGATTGTTTAAGTTACCATACGCAAAAAGCACCGGTACCGCTTTTAAAAAGGGGGACACGGGGTGGTTTGAGGGTAGTGAAATTTGCACTGTTTAGAGAAATAGGTGTAGATTAGTGGGTTAAACTTTATTCATAAATTAAAAACATTGCAAAATTAAAAAAATACTCTTTAAAAGCGCATTCACTAAGGAATGTTAGCCATAAATGCATGGCTGTTATTTTGCAGAGTGATTTTGTAATCACTCGAAGCAACTTTAACAAAACAACATAACGAGACTCCCGATTAGTTACCAAGCACTGTTAGGCGAGGCAGCAGATCCGAGAAGCAAGGGAACATCTATGTGCATATTCCTGTGAGGAAAAGGTAGACAGACCTCGCCCTATAAATGAAGACGCATAAAATTTTAATCGGCGCACGCACCCACAGACCTTTATCTTCCAAAAGATCTTCATGTAATTACAGTTGGGCATATTGCCGATGAACGTATCCGCCGGGATCCTCAGCTCGAGATTCCAAAACCTCTCGTCTCGAGGTTTGACGACGCTATCGATCACCGCGAATTCTTGCGTCTCCGTCTGTATCGTCTCGGTCGTCCTTTCGTTCACCTCGAACGTAAAGCCCTGCATGATCTTGAAGCGCACCTCGTTCACAGTCGTACCGGAATTGTTACGAACGGTCGCAATGAATGGGACCATTTGATTGGGCGCGTAGCAATTGTTTGATAAGTTCACGGTGAGTCTTATTGGTCCTTCGGCGCCTAGCGAAAGAGGAATTTTCTCTTTCACGCTCTCGATGGGAGACTAAAATGGGCTGCTTAAGTTCTAAAGCGACTCGTTAAAAATCACGCAATTACGCTAATCATCGAGCCGAGGTAATAGCAGCTGTAGACGGTGAAGACCTTCTCACAGGTATCGTCTATGCACCATTCCTTGTCGATCTTCGCGTGCGCCTTGTACTTCACGCTTCCGTGGAGCACCTCAATTGAAGATGGAAGGTTGCCCGGCAAGTTAAACGTGAACGGGTAGACGTAGTATCCTGGTGTGAAGCTTGTTTCACCTGCAAGAGAAGGCGAATTCGCACAATCATCCAAGGGAGCCGCTACCGATTGGCAAACAGAATCCGAAATATTCTACCCCTTTCTTGAGTGTCTCAAAAACAGACAGACAAACTAGAAGAGGAGGAGAAAAGCTACAAGTGTCTCAATGGCCCAGCTGCTTTCAAACTAACCTCCATCCAGAGGAAGGCTCCGCTGGGCGAACAGAAAAGCAAATCAGCAAACCACCCCACTTAAACACAATTGAGGAAACTTGAATAAGGGTGAATTTCATCCCACAAAACGTCTAAAAATAAGATCTCGAGGGAGGATTTCGCTCCATTAAAAACACCAGTATTTAAAACCTTTTTTTAGGGTGTCAAATAAAATTTCTTGTATCCAAGGGTAGATTTCGCCCCTTTAAACATGTTTTAAAAGAAACTGAAACCATTTATTTGTCAAATGAATTTTTTTACATCTCAAGGGCGGATTTGTCACTTTTAAATCACCTTTCAAAAAGAATTGGCATTTAAAACAATTTTTAGGGTGTCAAATGGATTTTCTTGACTTCAAAGGCGGATTTCGCCCCTTTTAAAAAAATCAGAAATTTAAACCTTTTTGTGCGGGTGTTAAATGAATTTTTTAGACCTCAAAGGCAGATTTCTCCCTTTAAAACACCTTTCAAAAAGAATTAGAACTTTAAACCTTTTTTTTGGGTGTCAAATCAATTTTCCAGACTTCCAGGGCGGACTTTACCCCTTTAAACATATTATAAAAGAAATTACACTTTTAAATCACCTTTCAAAAAGAATTGGCATCTAAAACAATTTTTAGGGTGTCAAATCGATTTTTTTGACTTCAAAGGCAGATTTCGCCCCTTTAAACATCTTTTAAAAGAAACTAGACATTGAAACCTTTTTTGTGCGGGTGTTAAATGAATTTTTTTAGACCTCAAGGGCAGATTTCATCCCTTTAAAACACCTTCCAAAAAGAATTAGCCTTAAAACCTTTTTTTAGGGTGTCAAATCGATTTTTTTGACTTCAAAGGCAGATTTCGCCCCTTTAAACATCTTTTAAAAGAAACTAGACATTGAAACCTTTTTTGTGCGGGTGTTAAATGAATTTTTTTAGACCTCAAGGGCAGATTTCATCCCTTTAAAACACCTTCCAAAAAGAATTAGCATTTAAAACCTTTTTTTAGAGTGTCAAATCGATTTTTTTTACTTCAAAGGCAGATTTCGCCCCTTTAAACATCTTTTAAAAGAAACTAGACATTGAAACCTTTTTTGTGCGGGTGTTAAATGAATTTTTTTAGACCTCAAGGGCAGATTTCATTCCTTTAAAACACCTTCCAAAAAGAATTAGCATTTAAAACCTTTTTTTGGGTGTCAAATCAATTTTCCAGACTTCCAGGGCGGACTTTACCCCTTTAAATATATTATAAAAGATATTAGACATTGAAACCATTTTTTGTGCGGGTGTTAAATGAATTTTTTTAGACCTCAAGGGCAGATTTCATCCCTTTAAAATACATTCCAAAAAGAATTAGCCTTTAAAACCTTTTTTTAGGGTGTCAAATCGATTTTTTTGACTTTAAAGGCAGATTTCGCCCCTTTAAAGATCTTTTAAAAGAAACTAGACATTGAAACCTTTTTTTGTGCGGGTGTTAAATGAATTTTTTTTAGACCTCAAGGTCAGATTTCATCCCTTTAAAACACCTTCCAAAAAGAATTAGCATTTAAAACCTTTTTTTAAGGTGTCAAATCGATTTTTTTGACTTCAAAGGCAGATTTCGCCCCTTTAAACATCTTTTAAAAGAAACTAGACATTGAAACCTTTTTTGTGCGGGTGTTAAATGAATTTTTTTAGACCTCAAGGGCAGATTTCATCCCTTTAAAACACCTTCCAAAAAGAATTAGCATTTAAAACCTTTTTTTAGGGTGTCAAATCGATTTTTTTGACTTCAAAGGCAGATTTCGCCCCTTTAAACATCTTTTAAAAGAAACTAGACATTGAAACCTTTTTTGTGCGGGTGTTAAATGAATTTTTTTAGACCTCAAGGGCAGATTTCATCCCTTTAAAACACCTTCCAAAAAGAATTAGCCTTTAAAACCTTTTTTTAGGGTGTCAAATCGATTTTTTTGACTTCAAAGGCAGATTTCGCCCCTTTAAACATCTTTTAAAAGAAACTAGACATTGAAACCTTTTTTGTGCGGGTGTTAAATGAATTTTTTTAGACCTCAAGGGCAGATTTCATCCCTTTAAAACACCTTCCAAAAAGAATTAGCATTTAAAACCTTTTTTTAGGGTGTCAAATCGATTTTTTTGACTTCAAAGGCAGATTTCGCCCCTTTAAACATCTTTTAAAAGAAACTAGACATTGAAATTGAAACCTTTTTTGTGCGGGTGTTAAATGAATTTTTTTAGACCTCAAGGGCAGATTTCATCCCTTTAAAACACCTTCCAAAAAGAATTAGCATTTAAAACCTTTTTTTAGGGTGTCAAATCGATTTTTTTTACTTCAAAGGCAGATTTCGCCCCTTTAAACATCTTTTAAAAGAAACTAGACATTGAAACCTTTTTTGTGCGGGTGTTAAATGAATTTTTTTAGACCTCAAGGGCAGATTTCATCCCTTTAAAACACCTTCCAAAAAGAATTAGCATTTAAAACCTTTTTTTAGGGTGTCAAATCGATTTTTTTGACTTCGAGGGCGGATTTCGCCCCTTTAAACATCTTTTAAGAGAAATCAGAAATTGAAACTTCCAGCTCCAATCAGAAGTTTAAAAATTGAGTTTGATGTTGGGACTTTAAGACAATTTTGGAGCCAAGTACGTGAAGGAGCTTGAAAAAGTTTGGACTTTAAGTCAACGTTTAATTTGGGGCTTGAATTTCAAAAGTAGGAGACTGCATAATCCGAGGTTGTCACGGAGAAGCCACCACCAATGTTGTGGTAGTCGGCATTTGCCGGTATCCTGGAGAAACCAGATGACATCCACATGCCCATGAAGGCGATTTAGTGTGTTTACAGACAGACAAACATAATAAAATTAACAAATTTTCAGTTCATGTAATTCATACATTAACAACAAAATAAATAAATATCTTTTTTCGATATTCCACATCCGTACATACTTACACAACAGTAGACCGGATTCCATTTCGAAAAGAGGCTCTCGTTTATATACAGTCGTTTTGCCCACCTTCCACGACACTTTTATCCGTCCGGAAAAAGTAATTTTTATGTCTGAAACAAGATCGACCTTTATAATAGAACCACTCCGGATCGGATTACCTCGAACTTTGCAGTCGGCAGCGAATGTACAGTGAACCTTTCCGTTGACAACCTCCCCCGGACGGTATATTTGCTTTTCGAACACGATTCCGCAGGAACCTGGCATTGTACGTGATCTGGTAGGTGTAGCACCGATTTATCTATTCCCCATTTGCCAAATTTCACTTACAAGGGGCCTTTAGCTCCCCAATCTCAAACCTAACCACAATACGTGATAGTGTAGTGACGTCATGATAACTTAGAGAATGTGGCTCACACACCGTCTCTACATACAGGATGATTATCCAATGAAACAAACTCATTTGCATAGACTTCCCTTCCATGATTTTTGTTAGTTCATAAGAGCTTTTAAAGGTTTTTAAAGGTAAAACATATCGCAGTATGTTTCCAAGTGAATTTCAAGGCCTTTAAGTGTTACTAGCTGTTTATGCGCATTTTTGTCTTCCGACGGATTGGATAATTTGTGCAATTGTGTGAAATTTTCAAGAAAAAGCAAAGCGGCATTCCTTTCAAAAGTACAGGAGTTTTTGATATTTCTTTATTCGTTAATCTTTTGCGAGACATGACAGTAAAACCTTCCGTATTATTTTTTTCTAATTTTGTATTTAACCAGTTGCCGTTTCGTCACCGTTAAGCATAGAGGATACATGGGACTGTATCGCGCAATTGTAAATTTGTTTCTATAGCGTGATTGTTTAAGATACCATACGCAAAAAGCATCGGTACCACTCTTAAAAAGGGAGGGGCGGGGTGGTTTGAAGGTAGTGAAATTTGTATTGTTTAGAGAAATGTGTATTTTAGTGAGTTAAAACTTTATTCATAAACTACAACATTGTAAAATTAGAAAAATACTCTTTAAAGGCGCATTCACTAAGGAATGTTAGCCATAAATGCATAGCTGTTATTTTGTAATTACTCAAAGCAACTTTAACAAACAACATAACGAGACTCATTATAGTACCGATTAGTTACAAGGCACTGTTAGGCGAGGCAGCAGATCCGAGAAGTAAGGGAACATCTATGTGCATATTCCTGTGAGGAAAAGGCAGATACACTTCGCCCTATAAATGAAGACGCATACAAATTTTAATCGGCGCACGCATCCACAGACCTTTATCTTCCAAAAGATCTTCATGCAATCACAGTTGGGCATATTGCCAATGAACGTATCCGCCGGGATCCTCAGCTCGAGATTCCAAAACCTCTCGTCTCGAGGGTTGACGACGCTATCGATCACCGCCAATTCTTGCGTCTCCGTCTGTATCGTCTCGGTCGTCCTTTCTTTCACCTCGAACGTAAAGCCCTGCACGAACTTGAAGCGCACCTCGTTCACCGTCGTACCGGAATTGTTACGAACGGTCGCGATGAATGGGATCATCTGATTGGGCGCGTAGCAATTGTTTGATAATTTCACGGTGAGCCTTATCGATCCCGCGCCGCCTAGCGAAAGAGGAATTTTCTCTTTCACGCTCTCGATGGGAGACTAAAATGGGGTGTTTAAGTTCTAAAGCGACTCGTTAAAAATCACGCAATTACGCTACTCATCGAGCCGAGGTAACAGCAGCTGTAGACGTTGAAGACCTTCACACAGGTATCGTTTATGCACCATTTCTTGTCGATCTTCGCGCGCGCCTTGTACTTCACGCTTCCGTAGAGTACCTCAATTGAAGATGGAAGGTTGTCCGGCAAGTTAAACGTGAACGGGTAGACGTAGTATCCTGGTGTGAAGCTTGTTTCATCTGAAAGAGAAGGTGAATTCACACAATCGTCCAAGGGATCCGCTACTAGATGGGCAACTCCGAAATCTTCTACCCCTTCTTGAGTGATAACACTCAAGATAGACAAAATAGAAGAGGAGGAGAAAAGCTGAGGAGAAAGTGCCTCATTGGCCCAGCTGCTTTCAAACTAACCTCCATCCAGAGGAAGGCTCCCAAAGGCTCCGTTGGCCGAACAGAAAAGCAAATCAGCAAGCCACGCCACTTAAACACAATCATAGAGTTATAATATATATATTCTATGACACAATTGAGGAAACTTGAATAAGGGTGAATTTCACCCCACCAAACGTCTAAAAAATTAGAATTGTTTTGTGCGAACCACCAATAAATTTGTAAGACCGCAAGGGCGGATTTCGACACTTTAAACATCTTTCAACAGAAATTAGAAACCTTTTTTGTGCGGGCGCTAAATAATTTTGTTAGACCTGAAGGGTGGATATCGGCCCTTTAAAGCACCTTCCAACAAGAATGAGGATTTGAAACCTTTTTTAGGGTGTCAAATCGACTTTCTTGACTTCAAGGGCGCATTTCGCCCCTTTAAACTTCCTTTAAAAGAAAACAGAAATTGAAACCTTTTTTGTGCGGGTGTTAAATGAATTTTATATATCTCAAAGGCGGATTTCGCCCCGTTAAGACGCCTTCCAAAAAAGAACTATCATTTAAAACCCTTTTTCTGCGGATGTTAAATACCTTTTTTTAGACCTCAAGGGCGGATTTCGTCCCTTTAAAACCCCTTCCAAATGAAGTAGCATTTAAAACCTTTTTTAGGGTGTCAAATTATCGATTTTTTTGACTTCAAGGGCGGATTTTGCCCCTTTAAACATCTTTTGAAAAGAATGAGATCCTAAACCTTTTTTTTAGGGTGTCAAATCCAGACTTCAAAGGCAGATTTCGCTCCTTTAAGACACTTTCCAAAAAGAACTATCCTTTGAAACTTTTTTTGTGCGGGTATTAAATGAACTTTGTCAGACCTCAAGGGCAGATTTCATCCCTTTAAAACACCTTCCAACAAGAATGAGCATTTAAAACCTTTTTTAGGGTGTCAAATCGATTTTCTTGACTTCAAGGGCGGATTTCGGAGGAGCCGCCTTCAATGTTGTGGTAGTCAGCATTTGCCTGCATCCTGGAGGAACCAGACGACACCCACACGCCCATAAAGGCTGTTTAGTGTGTTTACAGACAGACAAACATAATAAAATTAACATCAATTTTCAGGTCATGTAATTCATACATTAACAATAAAATAAATAAGTATCTTTTTGCAATATTCCACTTCCCATACTTACACAGCAGTAGACTGGATTCCATTTTGAAAAGGGGCTCTAGTTTATATATTGTCGCTCTGCCCGCCTTCCACGCGACTTTTATCCGCCCGGAAAAAGTAATTTTTATGTCTGAAACATGATCGACCTTTATAATAGAACCACTACGGACCGAGTTACTTCGAACTTTGCAGTCGGCAGCAAATGTACAGTGAACCTTTCCGTTGACAACCTCCCCTGGAAGGTATATTTGCTTTTCGAACTCGATTCCGCAGGAACCTGGCATTGTGCGTGATCTGGTAGGTGTAGCACCGATTTATCTATTCCCCATTTGCCAACTATTCACTTACAAGGGGCCGTTAGCACTCCATTCTCCACGGTAACCACAACACGTGATAATGATGTAATCCATAAATAAATCAATCCCTTTATTTATTTATAATAGTTATTTATGGACGTTATCATAACACATAGAATGTGGCTAACACACCGTCTCTACATACACGATGAAACAATGCGGGAAGATAAATTGACGTCACAGGTACTGTTGGTACCTACTGCTTGCGTGTTATAATTCCGTTTAATAATGTCACATTATTAGCAATATTTAATAAGATTTTCTCAACAATAAAGTTGGGGTGAGAGTCCACCCTAGTCCTTTTTATTGAAATATTCTCTTCGACACCTCTAAAATTGCAAAAATACTCTCAAAAATGCACCTATACCAATTAAGCACCTAAAGATCACATCGTCAGCCAATCCTGGAGTTGAAATCAGACCTAACCAAAATCTCATTTAACTTTAAAGTCAATACGTAGTTCACATATACAAAAGTACGTAAATTGGAATCATAAAGATACCAACACCGACAAACAAGAACAGGGCCTGGATGGCACAGCAAACAGAAAAATACTGTTGTATATACGCCACGCGGACGTTTTATTTGGTTTCGGCACTCACAGATGGGACACCCTGTATGAATTTTGTTTAAACAAACGCCTTGTTTATTTTGTTGCAACGTTATTTTGTGTTAGTAAGATAAGGAACATCTGGAATAATTGCGTAAGACTTTTGTAAAAGTTTATCTCAGGTCGTAGATAAGAAGCTTTCTTATCGCTGTTGGTTAATTGGTTACAAGATAAGCACAGGTGCAGATTATTGAGAGACGACGCAGTAGCGAAAGGTGGAAAGGGGTATATTTTCCCGTTTACAAAGAAGTGCTGCGGTTATCGTGCGTTTGTCGCTGAAAAAACGCTTTTCTGTAAGGTGGTAATTAGTAAGTGGTAGCGATACAGAGCCGTACCTAGACCAGTTCAAGGTCGCTCTCCACCTGGCCGTGATCTTGGAATGTAGCCTGTAGGTCAATGACGCTTACCACGTGACTTCAAGATCAACAAAAGTCAATGACATTACAAATGGTCAAATAATTCGTTCTCAAGGTCATCAAAGGTCGATAATTTTTGTTTCATTTCTTTATCAAGGTCGTCAAAGGCGAATGATCGCATGTTTTGTACGTTTTATTTTCAAGGTCATCAAACAATGCCACTTTGACACCACAAAAATGAGACCGTTGGCCTTTTGATGGTTATAAACTTTTAGAGGTTATGGACCTTCATTCTCCTAATATTTTGTAGGTCCCAGCTATATTGATTCGTGTTATTATCGGATCTTGTTCACAGCTTGACAGTTCACGTTCACTGTTGACCTCATTACGTGAACGCGGATCGAACCCAAACGTCCACGCGAAGCGGATCCAGATTAGCCATCACGTTGGATCCGCGTTCGTGGCCACGCTGGGGTTAGCGTCTCCGCTAAAAATAGGCTTATTGATCGACAGATCTTTCAGCTTTACCTTGACCTACTTTCCAAGGTCACTATCAGCGGAGAGGGAGTGTCCTATGAATTTCACTTTCACCTCGTTTTCAAGGTTACCGCCACACTAGTCTTGAAAATGAACCACACAAATGGGGTCATTGAACTGTGATGACCTTGAAAATGAAATGACGCTATAAAAGAGGGGTAATTGGGGACGGGAGCGTTATTTTGGCCTACTTTCCAAGGTCACTATCAGCGGAGAGAGTGTCCTATGAATTTCACCTTCACCTCGTTTCCAAGGTCACCACCACACTAGCCTTGAAAATGAAATATCAACCACACAAATGGGGTCATTAAACTGTGATGACCTTGACAATGAAATGACGCTATAAAAAAGGGGTAATTGGGGACGGGAGCGTTACATTCGCCTACTTTCCAAGGTCATTACCTGAGAAGAAGGGAGGCGAGCACCCTTTAGTTTGACCTTGAGCTAATCTCCGGTCACCGCCACGCGACCTTCACCTTGACCTACTTCCAAGGTCACCAGTACATCGTAGAGGTCAACGTAAAAGTTCATACAAACGAGTTACCTGTCAGGTCCTTTGCTTACATTATGTTCGAATGGTCCTTCAAGCCGGATAGCTACGAAAACTATTTGAATAAAGATTTATTAGTCACACATTGGCGATTTGGACGCCTCCCCGGACACATATTCTAATGCTAAGTATATACAAACGTCTGGTCCTCGTTAGACAAGTGCGTAATTGTGTTCGGACTCTATCACTCCGCACCTCTGGGAATGTCCGAGTATGTGCGTAATCAATCGTGTACGGAATTTGAACTTTGCATTGCACAGTTTGCACTCGAATGGCGGCGTGATGAAGTGCCCCAGGTAATGCGACTCCAACTGCATTTGAAAGTACGTGACGTACTCGCACAACAAGCAACGCAGCAGCGAGCGATTGTGATCGAACTCGCGATATATGCTATTGTGCTCCTGGAGGTGGCGAAAGAGTCTCTTTTCGTACATCGACGAATACTTACACCACGGGCAACTGTAACTTCGCGTTTCCTTCAGGTCGTTCGCCGCCGGTTTGCTCTCAATCTGATTTCGTTTACGTCTCCGCCTCTTTTTAACCTGTCTCTTCGGCGAACCCGCCGCCGACGGTTTCGCCGAGTACCGCTGGATGAGATCTTGCGACAACGGGTTCAAGGCGACCCGACACTCGGGCAGTTTGACCAGACCTTTGGAGTAGAACTCGTCGATGGAGTAGCTGGCGAACTGTTTCTCGATTTCGCAGAGTCTCTGATAGTTCGGATCCTCCTCTTCGTCCTCCCCATTAAAAATAACCTTAAAATCCTCGTCGTCTGTCAGTTCGTGTTTATGAATCTCGAGCAGGTCGTCATCGGAATCGATTGCCGACTCGGTTTCACTGTCGACTAGGTCGATGTGATCGACGACCGCGGGGGCCCGGAGCCATTGCACCACGTTGTCAATGTCGATCGACTTGGTGTCTTTGCAGGACGAGTTTAACAAGTAATTGTAAATCTTCTCCTCGGTTTCCTGGCACATTTGCTTGTACTGGTACGCGTTGGAAAGCGCCTCGATGCATGCTCGACACAGAATATAGTCCTTAACAAGATCTAAGGTCTGCAAGACACCAGCAATGAAAGGGGTTGGGCAAATACGGCCCCCATACTTACAACGAATGGGATGCAACTTTCTATTTTCTCCTTAAGATTGGTGAGGTTATCCGAATGGGTTTCGCTTACATCAAAACTCTGAAGGCAAGTCCTGCAGGTGCGTGTTCCACTCATTATTTATTGTAAAATCACAACAAATTCCAGGTACATGTAAACAAGCGCAACTTGGCAACGTCGCCTCGCCAAGGTTGCCACTAACCTGAACAATTCGTCTTAACCTCACTTTTAATTTATTTTTGTAGTGGAATACAAGCGGTAATTACCACGCCAATTGTGCAAATGAATCTTTCTCGTTTTTTAGATGTGGGCAGTTTGGGCGTTTCGGGGGCTTCGAACGTACGCCCCCTACATTACCTTGCCTTTCGCAGCGATAGTCGGGTACGTCGGTTACAATTTCGAGGGGTTCATCTCCGATAGGTACACCCCCTTTAACGGTAAGCCGCGAATTCGGCGGTTTCGCTCGGTTTTCAATCGTGATTTATTTAGAGTCGATAAAAGAGACGAGGAGCGAGAGACTTTTGAGCGACGATCAGTTGGACTCGGCGGCGAGCGTCGAACGGCTCAAGTATAGCGCCAACGTTTTAGGAAGAAATGTGTCGCCGTCACTGAAGCAATGAGGCTTCGTGCGTGCTTCCGTTGTAAAATAAAGTAGGATAATTCTGTTAACGTTATTCGCAGTATATTGTGCAGTTTTATTTGTCGACTTTCATTGATATTTGTTATGTGAAACAAGTCAGTTTTGTATATTGGGGGCGTCCCAAGGTACTATAATGGGGACCATCACGTGATCGTTCCTTACTGTTCATTACTAGACCCACACATATAGAACCAGATGAATTGCCTACATTCCCTCAATGGGATAGGATTTGATGCTCAGTTTTGTTTGTTCGACACTATCCCCTCCTCTGGAAAAGGCGTGGCTTAAAGATATAGTGGGAGGAGTTTTGCACGAAGAAGACTATGTGATGTGTCGAATCAATGATAGGTCTCTTCTGTCCAGTAGCCAAAGTAATACTTAGTAGGTTTTAAAGTGAAACTGAGTTTATCATAGCCTTTTTTAAGACTTGAAGATATATCCCCTTAATCCCAACCCAGCTTGAGGCTATTTTGAATGACCTTGAACACTAATCAACATCCTCATATGTGGCATGTTTTAAGGTGTGCCACTTTAAGCTATCCTTATCGTGCGAACCTGCAACTCTGCCTGCTTATTCCCCTATCCTTCCTCTGTGACTATAGGGTACTAAGAGGGGTTAGGTCAAGGGTTAGGTACCAGTTGAAGCCTTCCAGAATTCTTATAAAACTCGCTGGAACTAGTCTGTAGCTGCCTAAGGGGAGTAGTACTTTGAAGGGGATCATATTTATGTAGCTTAAGTATCTAATATTCGCTTTTTTTTACAAGCAGTCTCATTATTTAATTGTCAGACCTCGTACACTGATCACAAGTCAAATTTTTGAGAAGGTTGTGTTAAAAGGCCGTCTTGCGATGCTATGGCTGCGGCAAACCGGGAGTCCTACTTCGGGAATACAAGGATTGCAACAGCAGGTTACCGTATCCATGATCTTCAGATACCGTTCGGACCGGAGAAGGTCCAGCTAATTAACAATATGTATTTCATGTACTTTATGCAAGAGACTTCGGAATGTTATTGTTCACAAATGTAAAAGGAGTGGAGTTGAAATCTATTTCAGCCGGACATTCTTTGGCTTATCAAATCTCGTGTCAGATTTAAATTAGTCAAATTCAAGAATTACGTTTTCCACAGTTACTTTATTAGTTCTCTTGCTCCATATTTTCCCTCTATATTCTTTTGTCCGATGAGTTTTAGGGGAACATATGGCATTTCTTTGGCTTTAAATGCATTCTGTCTAAATGTGTAGGAACTCCTTCGCCGTTTTGATTCATTTTACACACTTTTGATCTATTATACAATAAACTTTGTAATGGTCCTAGGGGTCTATCAAGCGGACACTGAAAACGTTGACTTACCCTATACTTACCGTTGGAAACTCTGGGAAAAAACTACGAGCAGAGTCACCTACCTTTCAAGTCGAAACGATGGACATTTCGAGGCACTTTTGAATTTGGATGGCAGTCCGCTCGATGTGGGTGGCACGAATGGACTCCTACGTTGCGTAATCGGTTCTTTGTATGTGTTGGGACGTGAGACATAATCGGGAAGGGAATTAAATAAAAGACAGAACTTTTGTGCGTAAGAAATGACAAGAACAGATAAATATATTACGCACACAACAAGACCATGCGAAGGAAACCTTCTACGGGACAAAAACCGCGGTATAGGCCACACAAATACATGAAATAAATCACCTACAGCAATAAAATGCAAGAGAAAATACACATAAATAAAACATCTCAAATTTTATGATAAAAATCAGATAATCAAATCAAATGCTATTAAACAAAGTTCATAAAAACAAAATACACAAGACATCATAAATACCGTGGAAAACATGATAAATCAATTCAGTACAAAAACACATCAAAATACCTGTACGATCAATTGAGATAACACAACTCATAAAATACATAGGAAACATCAAAATGGTGTGCCTCTACTCCAGCCTTCATTTAACATAAATTAATTGAACACGAAAAAAGTACATGTGAGAATGCCAATACCAAGTACTCATGTGAAAATCGATTATCGCTCAAGCAGAACATATTTTAAATAGAGGAAATGTTAGTGAGAGGGCCCCTACTTGCATTGCTAAGATGCTAAGAACTGCAATCCGCATGAGACGAGTAGGCAACAGATACAGCAAAAGATCGAACTGTATTAGGTACCTACTCCACCGAGACAGAATTAACCACTCGCACACACAAACATCGAAACATCAAATAAGAGAGCCCCCCCCCCCCCTTCGTATAGCTAACGCACAAGAACTGCAGCGCGCCACGAATCAGAATTTCGGAGATTGTCGATGCAGTTAGCAATTATTCGTTGATATAGTTTAGCCACTGCGGGTTTAGAAAAATATTTCCGCACAGGTCGGTATACTAACTGAATTTTACACTTGTTTTGTGTAGGAATTCAGAAATTAATGCAGAAAGAGAAATTTCTTTATTGTCAAATTCCTAATTGAATATCTTTTTACATAACTTAATACCTATATGGACCTTTCTCCGTCTTCGTAAACTGCAGCCCTCTCCAAGAAAATTCGGCGCTGGATAATTAATAAATAATAAAACGAATAAAAATTGCCATTGCGCACAAATTTAAAACAAAAAAGTTGTTAGTAGAATCCGACCCCCTAGGAAGGTATGTTGACCCTCGTGCCGAATATCCGTTACAATCACTTCCAGGAAAGTCTGTAGATATGCAATCCCTGAAATCTTTAGCACTAGGCTCTTTTTACAACTAACTGAACCCGCAAAGTGGGTATCTACTCAATATGGCGCCCAATGTAGCTGGCACAACAGCCATAAACTTGAACCGTTCGCCCATCTTGTCCGCATCCACCAACATACCGTAGCTATAATCTAAGCTGGCAATTTCCTGGCCGTTCGCGTTGCACCTCAACTTTTCCAATCGATACTCGATTCCCATGTTCAGCAGAAACCGCCTCTGACTCACCGGTCCATACACCAAGACCTCACTCTTATCGACCATCACCTAAAAACGCGAGACTGAGATAAATTCCATCGAGCCGCTCACCACCTTTCTTATCGCCTCAAAATCGACATCGGCCGTCAGATCGGCGCTACCCGGCTCGACTAACGGATCGTGCAGCTTGTGCCGCTTGAACGCCCGAAACGTGTCGGCGCTCTTCCCCCCGTGCCCGTAGTCGACGATCAGACCGAGACCGCCGTGACTCTCGATGCGTTTCGCCAACTTGTCGGCCAAGATCAGACCCTCCGGGCACACTTCAACAAAGTCGCGCGTCTCGTCCGCCGAAACGAAACACTTGCCCACGGCCGTCTCGCCTGGGGCGAGCACGAAACGGAACTTCTCCGGGCCGTCCGCGTCGATCAGGATCTCGCGATAGCCCCGCTCGGTCTTCTTAAATTGGTGTATGGGCAGGACGTCGAAGAACTCGTGCGCCAAGTAGAAGCCGAACTGGTCGGGCACGTCGTCGAGGTGTTTGTGCCACGTGATCGGGACGTCGAAGGGCGACAACAAATCGGACTGTAGTTTCGTGAGATGCGGGCTCACTTCGACTAGATGTACGGTTGTCTGATCCGGCCGAAGGATGAAAAATGAAGTCACGAGATCAAAAGAGCAAGATCACTAATTTCGCTCTTTAAAAGACAAGTTTAAAACATACCAACCCTGGTTCCAACAGTCGAAAACGTTCGAAGATTCGCAGGATATCGTAGCAGAGCGTGCCTCGGCCGGGACCCAGCTCGACGATCTGCACCGGTTTCGGCAGGCCGACTTTCGACCACTCGTTCACGAACCATATCGCCAGCAGTTCGCCGAACATCTGACTCAGTTCCGGCGACGTTACGAAATCGCCCTTTTCACCGAGGACGTCACGATGCATGTAGTAGCCGGCTTGGGGGTTCAGTAGAACGTGCTTCATGTAGTCCGCGACTGTAATGGGGCCCCCCACCTTTATTTTGGTGATTAATTGTTGCGCAATGGAGAAGCTCGACGGTTCGGGGGTCGCTTTGGTGCTCAGGCTGCGTTTTAAAGTGCGCCATAGCAGTCGCTTAAAAAGGAGACGCGTAGAAATCAACATTTCCGTTATTATGGCGAAGTGGGGGCCACCGTGTCTTTAAAAATGTAAAAATACCAGCAGTTTATATTGAAAACTTATAACATAACCTTACTTTCTCAAATTAAAAGATGTGGCAGTGGCTCACATCCCATTACAATATACACGGTGTGCTGCCAGTTCTGAATGGTTTCGTGTCGCCATAAGCCCTACAATCACCATTTTGAAATGGCGCAGAAAACCATATCAAAATCCATTCCTTTGATAAATTAGAATAAATCTGGAGACCCCTGTTAGGTGCCTTTTGGAATTTTGGGGTTTTACTCCACTCCACAACCTTTTTTCACAGCTTTCCAGTTCATTTCTATACCTCCATAAGCACCAAAGAAAGTTTTGAGATTTTAAATAGACATTTAACTTTTCTAAGGTGCATAAAGGAGCCCCTTGTGTCGTTTTCGGAGCTAGGAACCTATAACGCTCTGGCAAGTATTTACATTAACTTTGGAAACTTCTGGTAAGGGCCAAAAATCCTATGGAACAGGTTGCACACGCCCTTGACGGGCAATTAGAAGATTTTGGGATGAAATTATACAGCTATATAGTAAACTCACGAGAACCACCGACTGCTATAGGACATGTTCCAGGAACTTTTAGCACTTTCCCCGTCATTCAAAATGCTTCTTAATAAACACGCTAAGCCTCTTTTGAAAGCAAGGTAAGTTTGAAAATCTGTAGGGCACATCGAAAAGTCATGAAAAGTGCCTGCACCGTGGGGTATCTGAAAGAGCTTACAACGCTCGAGCTTTCTAGAAATGTCATAAACTACATTCTGAACAGCCTAAAAAATATTTAAAGGCATTAAAATCCTTTTCAGAGGCCCTTCAAGTGCTCCAATGCTCTTCTAGAGTTTTTCAAAGTATTCTACTAGAGTCTTTAGTAGCACTTAGTGATCCATATGTGGATACCAAAGAGGAGGAGTCTTCTTGAAACCTTGGAGTCATTACAAGCTCTTAAAGGTCTTTTTTAAACAGCGTTTCGGGTTTTTAAGATTAATCGGAAGTGATCCAATATTCTAGGTCTTTAAATAGCGCCTTTAACTTTCTAATGACGTTTGGAGCGTCTAAAAAGCGTTAGACTTAGAGCAGGTATTTGAAAGCCTTTAGCAACCCTTCTAGATTTTTCGAGTGTATTTTACTGCTAGAGACTCTTATTACTTATTAGGCCTTTAAACTAGTTCAAAAACACTCAAGAGTGTTCAATAGCCTTTTAAGTACGTCCAAGGGCCTTCTTCTGGATTTGCAGTTCTTAAAACCTTCAAGAGATTCCAAGACCTACCAGAAGAACTTAAAAAAAGACATTTTAGGTTTTTTTGACACCTTAGAGCTTTAATAAGCTCTTAAGCCAGGGAGAAACAAGTACCATTTTTGGTGTACACCAAATTAATTTACATTAATTTTCAAATTAATTCACCTTAATTCAAATTAATTCACGTTATAATTCACGTTAATTCAAAATAATTCACGTTAATTCAAATTAATTTTCGTTAATTCAAATTAATTCACGTTAATTCAAATTAATTCACGTTAATTCAAGTTAATTCAAACTAATTCATGTTAATTCAAATTAATTCACGTTAATTCACGTCAATTCAAATTAATTCACATTAATTTACTTTAATTCAAATTAATTCACGTTATTTCAAATTAATCGAGCGATCGGACGATTGGGAGAAAGCATAACTGTCTCGTTTAAAATTCGACGCTAATATAAAAGTGTAAAAGTTTGTTCCAAAAGGTGTAAATTCAACAACTTGACCGAGATATTTATGAGTTACACCAATCCTTAGAGTTTGGTCAATAATCGGTTCATATTTACGAAAGTTAGTGTTCTTGGAAGTGATATAGGCAAACAAATTCAAATTAATGTAGGTCAATTCAGAATAATTCGCGTTAATTCAAATTAATTCACGTTAATTCAAATTAATTCACGTGAATTCAAATTAATTCACGTGAATTCAAATTAATTCACGTTAGTTCACATTAATTCACGTTAATTCACATTAATTCACGTTAATTCAAATTAATTCACGTTAATTCACGTTAATTCAAATTAATTTGCATTAATTCACGTTAATTCAAATTAATTCACATTAATTCACGTTAATTCAAATGAATTCACGTTAATTCAAATTAATTCACGTTAATTCAAATTCATTCAAAAGGGTGTACCCCAAAAATTCAAAGTTGTTTCCCCCTAGCTCTTAAGGTCCCTTGCGCGTTTTACGAGTGTTTAATAAAACCTTTACTTTTAGGTACTGTGCAGTAAACAGGTGCCATTGAAGGCGAGTACGGCATAAAACATGGCCTGTTTCTTTAATTTCAAATGCGAATGCCCGACTTCAGCATACATTGTGCCGAAATTACTCAACAGCATTATGGGACCTCTAAAAGACTCAGAGAGCCTTCTAGGCGCTTTGAGAACTTCTAAAGTTTTGCAACACAAGCCGGGTATTTAAGGATCTTTAACAGTCATAAATTGTCGCAAGCATTTTCAAGGAAATTCAATAAGGCCATAAGAGCCCCAAGCAGAGTCCTTAAGGTTCTCTCGTTTTCTCAAGATCCACGCATTGAAAAGCATTTTTGAGTTTCAGAAATTCTTTAACAGCTTTTGAAGGTAAGAACCATCTATACGTCGTCTAGTATAAGAACAGTCGCAGGTAGCCGCCCACTGCAAAACTTATGTCTTTTTCTCCGCATAGGCTAGATAAAGATGAAAAAATACAAGCATTAGTTAACAGGCGACCAGTTTTGCAGTGGGCGGCTACCTGTGACGATTGACGTGACTGTTTTTATACTAGAAGAACAATAGATCGTTTTAGAGCATTCATAAATCAAAATGGCGCTACAGTTCTAAAACCTGTTCCTGTTCCACGCCACCTTTTCATTTAATTTGTAATGTTTACTTCACTTTCCACAAAAACATTGCCGAGCGACTGGCAGGTGGCTTTTTGGATCATTGAAAAGCGCACATCTTTCATGAGGGTTTTGAACATTGTGGGAGGAAAACGTAGTACCGCTGGTGTGGAGGGGTATGGAGTATTCCCTAAGGAAGGAAGATTTGGTGGTGTTTCGTTCCAAAAAAAAAAAAGAATATAAAGACCATGAGGACGCATTTTGGGGAAACAATTGTAGCAATGTGGTATAGAATAACTCCCAGGAAAAGAAGATGTGGTGGCTTCTGTTTCCAAAAATCCCCTTTTTTCGACATTGTCGTATTGCTCGTTCACGGCCTACTCGACTTCCACGCTTTCTCCTACTCTCTTGTTTTTTTCAATTGTTTCCCAAGCTGACTTGTTTTCACTGTTTTACTATTTTCTTCTTCTTCTGCGTCATTTTTTGCTACTCGGAATCTTCGACTACGTTGGTTACTTTGGATTCTTTAATGATCTGATGGATTAATCAGTTTCTTCTACATGTCTTCAGCTTTTTCTCAATCGGCTTCGAAACTGTGACTTTTCAAACTTTGGCGACCTGCTGTAAGGTATGGTGATTTTTGCCTCATAGCAACTGGATACTCCATGCCAAAATTAGAAGAAGAGTCTGAGTAAAAATAGATTTTGCACCTTGTTTACAACCACCCACTCACAAGAGGAATCTTAATTACCCAAATTAAGAGCATCTCAATGCTAAATTAGCAGAAACGTGGGCACCTACATACACCTCAATCCTTGACTTCTTCAATAATTTAATTTGGTAATTGCCGCTTAACGACATAATGACTTTTATTCATCCCAACAATTTCTATTGCAACTGACACATATTTCAAATACTCGCACAAAAATGGTGTTAGGTCTAATAGTGCCACTTCTGAGCATCTCACTGCTTCCCCCAGGTACGTACACCATTCAATCTTCTTTTTACCTCAACCCTGCTCAACTCGACAGCGTTGAGCGACGTGTGCACGACGGTCGCCTGCCGCAAGGCGTCCAGCGACGTCCTCAGCTTCATCGACCCTTCAATTGACCCATGCCGAGATTTCTACAAGTTCACCTGCGGCAGCCTGTTCAAGAAGACCTTCGACACGAAACTGGTCTCCTTGGAGGCGCTCGTCGGCAAAGAGGTGGAGGACCAGACGAAGAAGATGCTGCAGAAATCCGTCGACCCAAACGAACCGAAGGCCTTCCAAGCCTTGAAGAAGTTTTTCAGAGCGTGCATGGATGAGGTTACGATCGAACGCGACGCCACGCAAACGCTCAAAGACGTTTTGGGGAATTTGGGCGGATTGCCCCTGTTGGAAAGCAAATGGGACGAGAGGAAATTCAACCTGGAGAACCTCATGATTAAGTTACGCGAATACGGGTACGAGTACATGCAGCTGTTTTACTTCGGCACGACCGTAGGCGAGGACGATAAAACTTTATTGGTGCGTGTGCCAGTTTTTTTTTCTTTGGGTGGGTAATGGCCGCATTTTTAGATTGGCGAACCTATAATCAAGAACGTTGAACCGGATTACGTCGACTCGTACTATGAGTTTTTGCGGAAGGTCTCGGAGTTGGTCGGGGTGAAAACGTCAACTGCCGAACCAGAATTGAAAGATCTGTTGAACTTTAAGCTCGAACTACTGCAGGTGAGTACCGAGTAGTGATGTTCTCGTCCTCGTCTCCTGCTACATGACGCAAATAAATTCTTGCATCTCTGCGCTCCTGGTGCCATTATTACCTTTGAAAGAGTTGCGGTTTCAAAAGAAAGAAGAACGCGTGCACTTATTTTCTTTCTTTCTGTACTCCTAATAGATCATCAAGCAAGGTTAGTTACCAGGGCAACTCGACTTTCAGGAATTTAGGCGTTACAGCTAGCGTCAAACCTCTTAATATCATTCTTTGATGCAATTAAAGGTTTTTGGATTCGATCCTGATACAACTACTACCTACCCTTTGACTGCACCTAAAGAAAGCCAAGTGAATGGGTGCTAGCTCATTTATTTTCTTTTGTTCTGTGACCCTAATATAACAATCACGGCAAGTTAGCATAGTAGCCTTCGCCAAATTTTTGGTTTACCAATTCTTCCAAATTCACATTCGTATAATTGCTCCTGATACAATCGAAAATTTCTGAAAGTGAGACACAAACGGACGTCGGATTGGGTTATTGTACTTTTATCCTCCTGATACATTTTACTACCTTTTGAAAGAAGAAATTTAGTTCCTATTCTGCTGCGCTCCTGATAGACAACTGGTAAGTTATGAATGTTTGCGGTTCTACGATCTTAATAAAATTACTACACCTTAAAAGGGTTGTGATTGTAGAAGAAACCAAAACATACAGTTAAGGTGATTAATTTCAACCTGTGCTCCTGATAAACCAACTGCTAATTCTGATGTAACACTAGCCTTGTGGCAGCAAATCCCGAAGCGAACCTGTAGACTAATTTGTTGATTTATTTTTTTTCTGTGCTCCCGATACAATAATTGAAAATGACAGCAATCATGACGGTCATTGTCCTAGATTTCCGATATAACAAGGGGTGCCAACCGCAAGCAGTTGACATCAGCAGCCTGGACAGAAACAGGCCCAAGCTTATGCATTGATTTTCTGCTGATACAATTATGTCTTAAAATTGGGACGGAATTACGATCTATTTATGGATCCACTTCTTCTGTACTCCCGATACAATAATTGGTAATGGCAGTAATTAAACCGGTCATTGTCCTAGGTTTCCGATATAACAAGAGGCACCCACCGCAGTCAGTCCACATCCTCAGTAGTCTGATAGAAAACAGGTTCCAGCTTATTCTATCCTGATACAATTAAAAGTCTTGAAATTGGCACGGAAACATATGTCGGATTAGAATCTGATTCCTTTACGTTCCTGATACCTTGCGGTAGCAACTCACGAGGGTAACGTGTGGACCAGTTTATTTATTTACTTTCCTGTGCTCCCAATACAGTAATTGGTAATGACAGCAATCAAGGCGGTCATTGTCCTAGGTTTCCGATTGAACGAAAGGTACCCACCGCAGTCTGTCTACATCTTTCAGTGTGCCAGTTGTCTGGACCAAAGCTGGCGCAAGCACATTCTCTCCTGCTACAATTATGTCTTGAATTTGGGACGGAAACATACGTGTAGTACATATCGTATAATTCTACATTCCGAATGTTTTATTATTTTTCGAAGAGCTTGTGCTAGTGAAAGAGCGGAGATGACTGTCTCAGTTATTACCTTTATTCTTTTGCTCCTGATATAAGTGAACCAAAAGCGAGTTTTTTTCTCTCCTGGTAGAATTATTAGTCAAATTGAGTCTTAAGCATATACCGGGTTAGACTCCTGTACTGCTACTACACTTTGAAGGGGTTCCAGACAAAAACAAACCGTGAAGTACACGTTCAGTTCATTTCCTTCTGGGCTCCTGGTACAACAACTGACATGTTGATCTTTAAATGAGCCCTTGCAGGATCCATTTATTTCCGATCTTTCTGTGCTCCTGATTGCCTACGCCCCTAACGCGTTTATTGCCTTTTAAAAAGGGCTTTGGTACTAAAATGTGGCAGCATGTACAGGTAGAAAGTCCTAGTTTCCTTCTCGATGTGCTCATGATACAACAACGATAACGTGTACGGCTCAAGGCGATCAAGTTTTTGATACAAATTCTAATCCTCGAAATGCATGTTTTTGTATTTCAAAGGTCTGAACGGAAACTTGTCCCCGCATCGTGTTATGCTCTCCTGATGCTATCAAAAGTCTTAAACTTGGGACGCGATCGGTCGGTTGATTGGATTGCCGCACTTCGTCACTCCAGATACTATTACCTACACAAATTTGAAAAAATAGTGGCATCGCAAGAAAACACTCTGTAGTTAGTAAAGTTAATCTCTTCTCTCTGTGCTCCTGATAGCAACGGGGATTTTAAGGCAACCTTGATACAAGCTTCAATTCTTCGAAACGTATCCACTGCACAGAGTTGCGTGTAGCTATTTCACTCGCTTGGAAACAGCTGGGACCAGAGCTTGCATTTATTTTCTCCTGGTACAATCGAAAGTCTTGAGGTTGGAAAGCGATCAGAAGTACGTTTGCCCATCTACTCTCCTGACACGATTAGCACTTCTTTGAATGATTGTGATGGAGTAGATTCTTTTCGTATTTAGTGGTCTGGTCTCCTGATACAATCAAAAGTATGGACATTGATTAGGGGTTGGATTGAATTGTTCGAGCTCCTGATATGTTTATGTTGTGGTACCAGACGAAAGCAAAGCGCGGAGGATCTATTCCCTTTGTTACTGTGCTCCTGATAGAAATGTTTGGTTAGCAAAGCAACCTTCGTCTCAAGGGTCCGTCCCAAGTGACCTGGAGCACCACTTTCAGAATTTTTTAATGTTAGCTCATGGTTTCAGATCGTGGAGAAATCCGGTCCATTCCAGAAGACCACAATAAGAAACATCCAAAAAGAATTCCCTTTGCTCAACTGGTCTAGATTGATTAATAAGATCATTCATCCGAATAAAGAACAGTCGGACGACCAAGAGATGTACTTTCCATCGGTGGAGTACCTGAAGGAGCTCGGGGTCCTTCTCAAAAACACAGCAAATCGGCAAGTATAGCATTTTGTGTGGCAATCGAGCGGATAACCGCCACATTTCAGGACGCTTGCCAATTACATCATGTGGCAAACGATTGAGTCGGCAATACCGTATTTGCCGCACGAGTTCAGCCATCTCAAGGAGAAGTATCCGCGAGCGTTCTACGACACCAACCACGACGCATCTACGAAGACGAGGTTGTCGTACTGCAAGAACGAAGCCAAACGAATGTAAGCCCGAATAACGACGAATCACTTTACTGGACTTAATCGTAGATTTCCGCCGGTATTCGAACTCATGTACATCACCGAGTACTTCCCGCGCGAAAGGAGACAGAGCATAAAGGACCTGGTGTCGATTATTCACATGGAGTTGATGAATCTGTTAAACGAGACCGAGTTGTACGATGAGAGCACGAGAAAGATCATGCTTGAGAAGGCGAAAGCGATAACGTACCACTTCGGTGCGCCCGAAAGGCTTTTCGAGGATGGACTGGCTTCGAGGTTGTTCACCAAGGACGAGGTAACCAAATCTTCCGAAGGCACTAACCACCCTCGACCATTTCAGAACGTAGAGACCAACAACTTCCTAACCTTGGCGTCAATTCTACTGAGGCAGAGGGCTAACTTCAGGTACAATCTGCAGAACGGGGTCAACCGCTACGACAACTACTACGAGGAGACCACGCTAGTCCACAGCTTCTACGAGCCTTACCGCAACGCGTTCGGTAACCGTCGACTCCCAACACGAACACATGCTAATCACTACCCCTTCCAGTCATACCAGCGGCGAGCCTCCAGGGCCTGTACTTCAACGAGAATCGGCCCCAATACTTAAACTTCGGAACGATCGGCACCATCGCCGGCATCGAGCTGATACGCGGCTTCACCGAGTCCGGCAGCAAGTTCGACAAGGACGGCAATCGCGCCGAGACCTGGACGAAGAACACCGACCAAGTGTTCAGCAAAAAGACCGACTGTCTGGTGCGCGAGGCGAGCTTCTTCGAAATAGAAGACTCGATCCTGCGGGTAAGTGTCGACGAGCCCGTCCGAGACCCAACCGCCTCTTTGTTAAAGATGGACGGACGGCTAATTCTGGAGAAGACCACCTGCGATTACACCGGCGTAGAGATTGCCTACCGCGCCTACAACACCTGGGTCAAAATTTACGGGAAGGAGGCGCAGCTGCCCGGTCTGAATTACAATCCGAGGCAGCTGTTTTGGATTTCGTCGGCGAGCACGTTTTGCGATACGATCTCGTTGGACAATTTGAAACAGTTCATCGTGGAGGATCACCAGGTGCATCCGACGTTTCGCGTTTTTGGCTCGATGACCAATAACGAACATTTTGGCAAGGATTTTAATTGTACGATCGAGTCACCGATGAACCCGGCCATTAAGTGCAAGGTGTTCTAGTACCGCCCCCGTATGTTAACTTCTGTATTTATTTAACTGTAAATAAAGGTCGTAATGTATTTTTGGTTACTTTTATTGCATTCGATTCCATTAAATACGCGTCACTGCTTATATAGAGAACGGAAGGTTTCTAGAAAAAATCACATATCCATAATCGACCTGATGGCGTATGCTGGCGCCCCGATGTCAGGGATACTTGCTGCAAGATTTTGTTCAGGTGCTTTTATAGCAGGTTGTGCCTTTCAGTGTGTCTTCTGTATTTAAATCGCTAATTATCACAATATTTAACAAAGAAGTACCTTCGGCCTAACTTAGAACTCAAAAAATCCTCACCTGTAAAGCACAAAAAGTCTTCTAAAGTGCCTCAAAAATCATAATATATTTTTAACGAAAAAAGTTTAACAATTATTTAAAAAATAAGTCGCCGTTATCAGTTTCATTAACAAAGTAAACAGAGTCGTCCCCTTGGTCGACAAATTCCTCAGTCCCGCAAATCCCGCGGGATCCCGCTCCATTTATGTGCGGGATTAATCTCGCAAGAATGCAAGAATCTCGGTATTGCATTCCCTACACATCATCAATAATCGACCTGATGGCGTCTGCTGGCGCCTCGATGTCTGGGATACTTGCTACAAGATTTTGTGTAGGTACTTTTATTGCACGTTGTACCTTTCAATGTGTCTTTTAGTATCTTCTAGTTGTTGTTTTAAATGCTATCCAATATCCTTCGTTAATTAATTTCGCATCTATTAGTATCTTTTATGGATGTCCCGCAAATTAATAATCTACTTTTATTGCATTCGATTCCATTAAATACGCGTCACTTTGCTTATATAGAAAACGGAAGGTTTCTAGAAAAATCACATCATCAATAATCGACCTGATGGCGTCTGCTGGCGCCCCGATGTCTGGGATACTTGCTACAAGATTTTGTGTAGGTACTTTTATTGCACTTTCTGCCTTTCAATGTGTCTTTTAGTTTCTTCTAGTTGTTGTTTTAACTGCTATCCAATCTCCTTCCTTAATTGATTACGTGTCTATGAGTGTCTTTTATGGATGTCCCCCAAATTATTAATTTACTTTTATTGCATTCGATTCCATTACGCGTCACTTTGCTTATATAGAGAACGGAAGGTTTCTAGAAAAATCATATCATCAATAATCGACCTGATGGCGTCTGCTGGCGCCTCGATGTCTGGGATACTTGCTACAAGATTTTGTGTAGGTACTTTTATTGCACGTTGTACCTTTCAATGTGTCTTTTAGTATCTTCTAGTTGTTGTTTTAAATGCTATCCAATCTCCTTCGTTAATTAATTTCGTATCTATTAGTATCTTTTATGGATGTCCCCCAAATTAATAATCTACTTTTATTGCATTCGATTCCATTAAATACGCGTCACTTTGCTTATATAGAAAACGGAAGGTTTTTAGAAAAATCACATCATCCATAATCGACCTGATGGCGTCTGCTGGCGCCTCGATGTCGGGGATACTTGCTACAAGATTTTGTTCAGATACTTTTATTGCACTTTGTGCCTTTCAATGTGTCTTTTAGTATCTTCTAGTTGTTGTTTGAAATGCTATCCAGTCTCCTGTCTTAATTAATTTCGTATCTATTAGTATCTTTTATGGATGTCCCCCAAATTATTAATTTACTTTTATTGCATTCGATTCCATTAAATACGCGTCACTTTGCTTATATAGAGAACGGAAAGTTTCTAGAAAAAATCACATCATCCATAATCGACCTGATGGCGTCTGCTGGCGCCCCGATGTCTGGGATACTTGCTGCAAGATTTTGTTCAGATACTTTTATTGCACGTTGTGCCTTTCAATGTGTCTTTTAGTATCTTCTAGTTGTTGTTTTAAATGGTATCCAGTCTCCTGCCTTAATTAATTTCGTATCTATTAGTATCTTTTATGGATGTCCCCCAAATTATTAATTTACTTTTATTGCATTCGATTCCATTAAATACGCGTCACTTTGCTTATATAGAAAACGGAAGGTTTCTAGAAAAAATCACATCATCCATAATCGACCTGATGGCGCCTGCTGACGCCCCGATGTCTGGGATACTTGCTGCAAGATTTTGTTCAGGTACTTTTATTGCACGTTGTGCCTTTCAATGTGTCTTTTAGTATCTTCTAGTTGTTGTTTTAAATGCTATCCAGTCTCCTGCCTTAATTAATTTCGTATCTATTAGTATCTTTTATGGATGTCCCCCAAATTATTAATTTACTTTTATTGCATTCGATTCCATTAAATACGCGTCACTTTGCTTATATAGAGAACGGAAGGTTTCTAGAAAAAATCACATCATCCATAATCGACCTGATGGCGCCTGCTGGCGCCCCGATGTCTGGGATACTTACTGCAAGATTTTGTTCAGGTACTTTTATTGCACGTTGTGCCTTTCAATGTGCCTTTTAGTATCTTCTAGTTGTTGTTTTAAATGCTATCCAGTCTCCTGTCTTAATTAATTTCGTATCTATTAGTATCTTTTATGGATGTCCCCCAAATTATTAATTTACTTCTATTGCATTCGATTCCATTAAATACGCGTCACTTTGCTTATATAGAGAACGGAAAGTTTCTAGAAAAAATCACAGCATCCATAATCGGCCTGATGGCGTCTGCTGGCGCCCCGATGTCTGGGATACTTACTGCAAGATTTTGTTCAGGTACTTTTATTGCACGTTGTGCCTTTCAATGTGCCTTTTAGTATCTTCTAGTTGTTGTTTTAAATGGTATCCAGTCTCCTGCCTTAATTAATTTCGTATCTATTAGTATCTTTTATAGATGTCCCCCAAATTATTAATTTACTTTTATTGTATTCGATTCCATTAAATACGCGTCACTTTGCTTATATAGAGAACGGAAAGTTTCTAGAAAAAATCACAGCATCCATAATCGGCCTGATGGCGTCTGCTGGCGCCCCGATGTCTGGGATACTTACTGCAAGATTTTGTTCAGGTACTTTTATTGCACGTTGTGCCTTTCAATGTGCCTTTTAGTATCTTCTAGTAGTTGTTTTAAATGCTATCCAGTCTCCTGCCTTAATTAATTTCGTATCTATTAGTATCTTTTATGGATGTCCCCCAAATTATTAATTTACTTTTATTGCATTCGATTCCATTAAATACGCGTCACTTTGCTTATATAGAGAACGGAAAGTTTCTAGAAAAAATCACATCTTCCATAATCGACCTGATGGCGTCTGCTGGCGCCCCGATGTCTGGGATACTTGCTGCAAAATTTTGTTCAGGTACTTTTATTGCAAGTTGTGCCTTTCAATGTGTCTTTTAGTATCTTCTAGTTGTTGTTTTAAATGCTATCCAATCTCCTTCCTTAATTAATTTTTGTATCTATTAGTATCTTTTATGTATGTTCCCCAAATTATTAATTTAGCTCCATATTAGGACTTTTCTTTGTAGCAGATGCCGGAAGTGTACGAAATTTTAGCTGAACATGTGTTTTGTAGGTTGTGTAGTTGACCGCATATCATTGCACAGTGCAATAAATAAAATAACTTTACTTTATAGGAAAAAGCGCCCTTTTACAGATGATTTCGGTACTAAACAGTTTTGGGATGGTTACTCCTGGCTGATATAACACTTCGTGAAGCGATAGGGTTGCGCGGGCTGTCAAATGAATCTTTCCGACGGATGTGGTTTCTTCTACGAATTTTTCAGGGTGTCGTTGCCTTGGCTAAACCCGAAGGAAATTATTTTACGACAAATAAACTGCATACGTGGTCAATTTTTTGATATTTCCCGTCTCTTCTAAACTTCCCGGCATTAACTACCCGCAAAAATGATCAAGATCTCTTCGTTCGACTCGTAAAGCCAACATTATTGAGTGGAACCACACAGTATGTGCACGAGTGGTCTACAGCTAATGCGAAATTTTTACTATGGACTACACACTACTCGCATCGCTGGACCAAACGCCAGGTCCTTCCAAATCTTCCGAAATAACCGCCACTTAAGTCCTCCCTAATTAACTAACGCGTACAAAATGACTTTTTATTGAAAACCGGCCATCTTTAATGATTCGGGTTTTCGTTCTTTTGCTACGAATTAGGGCGAGAAATCCCTTCCACGTACAAATCACATATGCCACCAATTAAGAAAACCATTTTTAGCTTTCTTTACCTAGACATTCTAGAGCCAGAAGCTATTAAGAGGACAATGCGCTATAGAAATCAAAACACGCAGAAAGGACGATTACTTGCTTTCAGATTCTTATTCCGCGTTATACAATTTATTGGAAAATTCAACTCAAAAGCTGCTTGGTGGTATCAAAACGAACACCTCCCCAAGATCAAAGTTCCTCGTGTGTCTCCCGTTCCCAGTCCTCCCTGATCATAGCCGCCCCCTTCTCCCCGATCATGGTAACAGCCGCGTTCACGTTGCAACTAATTATTCTCGGCATTACCGACGCATCGACAACCCTCAAGCCTTGCGTGCCGTGCACTCGCAACCTCGAATCGACGACCGCGTCGGGATCACGTTCCGATCCCATTTTGCACGTTCCTACCAGATGGTGCGTCGTGGTCGCGAAGTTCCGCACCAAACACTTCCAGTACTCGTCGCCGTCCGGCTCGAATCGCTCGCACTGCGGCAGCGATACGAACAGCGGCTCGGGCGCCTGCGCGGAGAACGCCGCGGTTCGGGTCAAGTTTTGGCAGAGGCGTATACCATCGAGCAGCGTTTGGACGTCGTCCTCGTCGCCGAGGTGGTTGGTGAAGATTTTCGGAGGACCGAACGGATCGGAACCGTCCAGCAAGACTTTGCCAGTCGAAGCCGGGTAGGTGAGGGCGGGAACTAAGAGGATGACGTGTGACTTTTGGCTGCTCGCTTTTAGCTGTTGAACCGCTCCCTCGGGAAGGTTCCATGCGATCTTCAGAAAAGGTAACGCGCCATATATATCGTCCTTGTAAATGATAATGTGGTAGACTTCTAGACTGGGACGGTTAGGTTGGCGCTTGGTGTTGGCGAAGAGAATCAAGCTTTCCGCCGGAGATTTACTTAAGGGACCGCTTCTGTGCATGAAGTACTGGTACAGTTCGTCGATGACATCACCGCGGTTCTTTGGCAGAAGAGCGCTTTCCGCAACGTTGTAAGCCAGCCCGGTGAAGGCCAGGTGATCTTGCAGGTTTCGACCCACCTTCAGGTTTTTGACCGCCCGAATTCCTACCCGCTCCAGGTGTTCGCGCGGACCAATCCCCGAGTTCATCAAAATCTGGGGGGAGTTAACAGCACCAGCCGATAGTACAACCTCTCCCTTGGAGGTGATCTTCAGGAGTTTACCGTTGATGCGCACTTTGACACCGGTCACCTTAAGAGATTCGTCCACCAGCAGTTTTTCTACATGAGAGTGTAGGGCCAGATGGAGATTCTTCCGTGGTTCCGCCGTGGACAAAAAGGCTTTAGCTGTGCTAAACCTTCTACCCTCCCATATATTGTTATAAGCATACGTGTGACCAATACCGTTTTCCTCCGTGAATTTCCCGAACCCCAACTCCTCAAAGGAATCAATCAAAACCTGTCGTAGGGGCTGAAGACTTTTCTCCCAAATAACCTTCAGCTCCCCTCCCTTGCCGAAACGTTCATCTTCAACTCCCCGAAGATCCTCAAATCTCCTGTAATACTCCACGACCGAGTCATAATCCCAACCCTCTTCCTCCCAGCTGTCGAAATCCTCACGATTGCCGTGCAAATAAATCATGCCGTTAATGGCACCGCTTCCACCCAACGCCTTACCCCTCGGACAGCACATCGTCCGATTTTCCACACCTGGAGACGGTTCGGAATCGTAACCCCAATCCTCCGCGCCCTTTACTGCGGCCACACACATCATGGGAATCTGAGAGCAGTTTTGCAAAATTAAACCCGCACGGCTCGGAGGACGTTACCTCGCTTTCCGCCGATGGATAACCGCCCGCCTCCAACAAAAGAACCTTCCAGTTCCGATTTTCCGACAACCTGCTGGCGACAACTGAACCCGCAGTCCCCCCACCGACGACGATGAAATCAAATTGGTCGCCATCTTGCAATTTCGGTCCGTAATCGGATGGGAAGAGGTCCACTGGTGACAGTAGACACTGAGACGTTAGCAGTGTGTTAATAAGAGTGGCGAAAATTGGTGTCGTGGGACAGGGACTCGTGAAGTTCATACTTCGACGGATGTTATCACAACACTAGCTGGTATCAGTAATAACAAATTCCGTTATCGTCATGTTTTTATACACTTTTATCACTTTGGTTACACGTGCATTAGTTGAATGACGTCTTTATCAAGACAGTGAGGTAAGGCGGCGCAGCCCTATTAACAATAAGGGGTAGAAAGACATAGTAGGGTTATCACTCCACAATTATTCTCTGTAAGTATCGATTTCTCAATTAAGTACAACTACGGAAAAGTCTGCACTCCTGATACCATTAATTATTATTATTAATTAAAACAATATGGAACAATTAATGAGGTCTCATGTTCTCCTGATATCAAAAACATATTCAATGGTAATTATTTGTGTTAGAGGTTCAGAACTGGTAAGAGATATGCTTATATTCCCCTGATGTCTACTTTTTTATATCAGGAGTACTTGTACTAGCCACAAAAGTTCAATTCTATAGTAAATGGATAGAAATATAATAACAAAATTTGCCTCATTCCAACGATGGGACTTGTATTGATCCCAATAAAAAGTTGTTTTAGTATCAGGAGAATATTAAAATACAGCTGGTAGATTCTGCGATCCTGATTCAAACTGTTATTGGTACTTGAAGTTCATGAAACATTATTATTGCCACTTCTGCACTCCTACTAGCACACTGATTATTGAAGCAGCGCTGGTAACAGGAGAAAATTAAATATCCTTTTTCCACAGACTTTGTAATGAACCCGATAAAAATAGTTTTGGTATAAGGAGAATATGAACATAAAATTGTCGCTTTGCATTCCTAATAAAAAACACATCCTGACACCACCAACCTCTTAGTACTACTGTACCTTGGGGGTTCATTGTTAGCGTCAATGTATTTTTGATGACCGTTCTATCGCCTAGAAAAAGTTAGCGCAAGTCTGACGGGCGATAACAAAATCTTAATGTCATTTAAGTGACCAAAATGGCCGAAACAAAATTGCTCATAGAAGTGCGAACTCGCCGCTTTTGAATTTCGCGAGTCTTGATAAATGATCCTTATACAAGCGTGATTGGTCTAAGTAGGCTAATGATAAAATATGGCTGCGTTAACTTATTAGCACCATTCAGGTCAGTCAGGGTCCAGGGGTATGAAATACTCCCCAAAGAAAAGAGAACAAACTTGCTTGCAACTTCCATACGCCCTTCATATGTTGGGGGTACTCCATAGAGCCCCCCCCTCCCCCGCTTAGTCCTGTCTTCATCTTTAACACTATGACTTTTGGAAATAAATAGTCGTGAGGGCTAATCGTTTTGAGTTTGAACGTATCACCGGAGGGCCTGGGGGGGGGGGGAGGTATAAAGAGAACAAATTTCCCTTCCCCTAAGTCCTTCGTACTGGGAGGCTTTCCACACCCCTCACACCCCCCGGTTGGGTATTCTTCATCTTTAACCCCATCATTTTTGGAAATAGGCTAGAAAAGAGTCCTGAGGGTTGATAGTTTTGAAGCAGAACGTATCACCGGAAGGACGGAGAAGACCTTCGTGTAGTGGGGGGATATTTATATTCCCCAGACCACCCGGTTTCGTATTCTTCATCCTTAACACCATGACTTTTGTAAATAGTCGAGAAAAGAGTACTGAGGGCTGATCGTTTTGAGACAGAAGATGCCACCGGGGAGTCCTCAGGAAGAAGAGAACAAATTTCCATATCCCCCCCAGGAAATAAGAGCACAAACCCCAGACCTCCCGGTTTGGTATTCTTCATGATTTTTGGGACAAAATCGAGGAAAGGGTTCCTGCAGCTGAATGTTTTGGAGCAACGCGTATCACGGGGGGGAGGTGTCTGGAGAGTATGGGACCCCCCCTTCTTTTGAAAATGTTATCAAGGTCGCAGAAACCGAAGGAGATAGCGGGGTTTATTAGAAGGTATCCTGATGCAAATTATGTTCTCGTCGTGGGGCCTTCAGTATTCGAAGGGATGGAGAAGGTAAGTTGATTCGTAAAGGATTTGACGAAGAGGTTCTTTTCGCCCAAAATACCAAGGTAAATCACAAACAGATTTTCATCACGGATAAGCAGGGGGGCCAGGCGGCGCAGTACAATTTCTTTGATTTCTGGTCTGTCATGAGACGAAGCAGTGCAGTCGCCAATGCCGAGGCCACGTTACTCGTCTCCTGATACAAATCTATCAAATTTCACAATTTATTAGAATATTTCGCATTGTATCAGGATCGCAGAAACGCAAGCTTTTGTTCTCTTAAAGCAAATCACTTTTTATAGTTATTGTACCAAGGTCACAGAAACGCAAGCTTTGTTGTTCTCATGGGTCACACTGACACACATTTTTCTTCTGCAAATTGTTTCAGGAGAAAATATCAGGGTTACAGAATCGCTTAGGGTCACAGTGATACCAGCTTCTGTTCTCCTAATACGAATACTACCCTTTAAAGATTGTTTCCCCAAGTTCCTCGTGTTCTCGTGATTCAAATAAATTGATTTTCACAAACTACAGCATTAATATTGTATCAGGATCACAAAAACAGACTTGTACAGAATATACATACTGTATCAAGAGAACCTTACAAGCGAGAGGGTGTAAAAAGCAACGTTTTTTTTCGATTGTACACCTCTTTATAGAACCCTGGCTATATAATACCGTGGCTTTCATTCCACCCTTAAAAAACTACCAGTGTGTTGGGGAATGCTACATCAGAAGCTGTTAGCCACTTTTTTTCTGTTATGGCTATCTGCGCATCTGATACAACAGCCTTTGGAGGAAAAATTAGTACGAGGACAATACAATAAAGGAAACCTTAAAATCAGTTACACGCTATAACGTTCCTGCGACCCTGATACAAGTTTGTAGGTAGAGAGTCTCAATCTACTAGGTTTTTAATAGCCAAACTTTCCTATTTAACAGTATATGCAATATTATTGACAATACAATGAAAAAACTCTGAAATCAATTACACGCTGTAACATTCCTGTGACCCTGATACAAGTTTGTAGAGAGTCTTAATCAAGAAGGTTTTTAATAACCAATTTTTCATATTTAACATTGTATGCAATATTATTAGACAAGACAATTAAAAAACTCTAAAATCAGTTACTGCCTATAACATTCCTGTGACCCTGATACAAGTTTGTCAAGAGTCTTAATCTAGAAAGTTTTTATTAACCAATTTTTCCTATTTAACCTTGTATGCAATATTATAGATAATACAATAAAAAACTCTAAAATCAGTTACACGCTATAACATTCCTGTGACCTTGATACAAGTTTGTAGAGAGACTTAATCTAGAAAGATTTAATAACCAATTTTTCCTATTTAACATTATATGCAATATTATAGACAATACAATAAAAAAAACGCTAAAATCAGTTACAAGCTATAACATTTCTGTGACCCTGATACAAGTTTGTAGAGTCTTAATCTAGCAAGTTTTTAATAACCAATTTTTCCTATTTAACATTATATGCAATATTATAGACAATACAATAAAAAAAACTCTAAAAACGTTTACGCGCTATAATATTCCTGGGACCCTGATACAAGTTTGTAGAGAGTCTTAATCTAGAAAGTTTTTAATAACCATTTTCTCCTATTTAACATTATATGCAATATTATAGACAATACAATAAAAAACTCTAAAATCAGTTACACGCTATTACATTCCTGTGACCCTGTTACAAGTTTGTAGGCAGTCTTAACCTAGAATCTTTTTAATAACCAATTTTTCTTATTTAGCATTATATGCAATATTATAGACAATACAATAAAAAAACTCTATAATCAGTTACACGCTATAACATTCCTGTGACCCTGATACAAGTTTGTAGAGAGTCTTAATCCAGAACGTTTTTAATAACCAATTTTTCCTATTTAACATTATATGCAATATTATAGACAATACAATAAAAAAAACTCTATAATCAGTTACACGCTATAACATTCCTGTGACCCTGATACAAGTTTGTAGAGAGTCTTAATCCAGAACGTTTTTAATAACCAATTTTTCCTATTTAACATTATATGCAATATTATAGACAATACAATAAAAAAAACTCTATAATCAGTTACACGCTATAACATTCCTGTGACCCTGATACAAGTTTGTAGAGAGTCTTAATCCAGAACGTTTTTAATAACCAATTTTTCCTATTTAACATTATATGCAATATTATAGACAATACAATAAAAAAAACTCTATAATCAGTTACACGCTATAACATTCCTGTGACCCTGATACAAGTTTGTAGAGAGTCTTAATATAGAAAGTGTTTAATAACCAATTTTTCTTATTTAACATTATATGCAATATTATAGACGATACAATAAAAAAAACTCTAAAATCAGTTACACGCTATAATATTCTTGTGACCCTGATACAAGTTTGTAGAGAGTCTTAATCTAGAATGTGTTTAATAACAAATTTTTCCTATTTAACATTAAATGCAGTATTATAGACATTACAATAATAAACTCTAAAATCAGTTACACGCTATAACATTCCTGTGACCCTGATACAAGTTTTTAGAGAGTTTTAATCTGGAAAGTTTTTATTAACCAATTTTTCCTATTTAACATTATATGCAATATTAGTGACAATACAATTTAAAAACTCTAAAATCAGTTACACGCCATGACATTTCTGTGACCCTGATACAAGTTTGTAGAGTCTTAATTTAGAAAGTTTTTAATAACCAATTTTTCCTATTTAACATTGTATGCAATATTATAGACAATAAAAAAACTCTAAAATCAGTTACATGCTATAACATTCCTGTGACCCTGATACAAGTTTGTAGAGAGTCTTAATCTAGAAAGTTTTTAATAACCAATTTTTCCTATTTAACATTATATGCAATATTATAGACAATACAACAAAAAAACTCTAAAATCAGTTACACGCTATAATATTCTTGTGACCCTGATACAAGTTTGTAGAGAGTCTTAATCTAGAAAGTGTTTAATAACAAATTTTTCCTATTTAACATTAAATGCAGTATTATAGACAATACAATAATAAACTCTAAAATCAGTTACACGCTATAACATTCCTGTGACCCTGATACAAGTTTTTAGAGAGTTTTAATCTGGAAAGTTTTTATTAACCAATTTTTCCTATTTAACATTATATGCAATATTAGTGACAATACAACTAAAATCTAAAATCAGTTACACGCCATGACATTTCTGTGACCCTGATACAAGTTTGTAGAGTCTTAATTTAGAAAGTTTTTAATAACCAATTTTTCCTATTTAACATTGTATGCAATATTATAGACAATAAAAAAACTCTAAAATCAGTTACATGCTATAACATTCCTGTGACCCTGATACAAGTTTGTAGAGAGTCTTAATCTAGAAAGTTTTTAATAACCAATTTTTCCTATTTAACATTATATGCAATATTATAGACAATACAACAAAAAAACTCTAAAATCAGTTACATGCTATAAAATTCCTGTGACCCTGATACAAGTTTGTAGAGAGTCTTAATCTAGAAAGTTTTTAATAACCAATTTCTCCTATTTAACATTATATGCAATATTATAGACAATGTAATAAAAAAAACTCTAAAATCAGTTATACGCTATAACATTCCTGTGACCCTGATACAAGTTTGTAGAGAGTCTCAATCTACAAAGTTTCTAATAACCAATTTTTCCTATTTAACAATATATGCAATATCATAAATAATACAATAAAAAAACTCTAAAATCAGTTACACACTATAACATTCCTGTGACCCTGTTACAAATTTGTAGGCATTCTCAACCTAGAATCTTTTTAATAACCAATTTTTCCTATTTAACATTGTATGCAATATACAGACAATACAATAGAAAAAAACTCTAAAATCAGTTACACGCTATAACATTCCTGTGACCCTGATACAAGTTTGTAGGCAGTCTCAACCTAGAATCTTTTTAATAACCAATTTTTCTTATTTAACATTATATGCAATATTATAGACGATACAATAAAAAAACTCTAAAATCAGTTACACGCTATAATATTCTTGTGACCCTGATACAAGTTTGTAGAGAGTCTTAATCTAGAATGTGTTTAATAACAAATTTTTCCTATTTAACATTAAATGCAGTATTATAGACATTACAATAATAAACTCTAAAATCAGTTACACGCTATAACATTCCTGTGACCCTGATACAAGTTTGTAGAGAGTCTTAATCTAGAACGTTTTTAATAATCAATTTTTCCTATTTAACGTTATATGCAATATTATAGACAATACAACAAAAAAAAGCTCTAAAATCAGTTACACGCTATAACATTCCAGTGACCCTGATACAAGTTTGTAGAGAGCCTTGATCTAGAAAGTTTTTAATAACGCATTTTTCCTATTTAACATCATATGCAATATTATAGACAATACAATAAAAAAACTCTAAAATCAGTTAAACGCTATAACATTCCTGTGACCCTGATACAAGTTTGTAGAGAGTCTTAATATAGAAAGTGTTTAATAACCAATTTTTCTTATTTAACATTATATGCAATATTATAGACGATACAATTAACATTATATGCAATATTATAGACGATACAATAAAAAAAACTCTAAAATCAGTTACACGCTATAATATTCTTGTGACCCTGATACAAGTTTGTAGAGAGTCTTAATCTAGAATGTGTTTAATAACAAATTTTTCCTATTTAACATTAAATGCAGTATTATAGACATTACAATAATAAACTCTAAAATCAGTTACACGCTATAACATTCCTGTGACCCTGATACAAGTTTTTAGAGAGTTTTAATCTGGAAAGTTTTTATTAACCAATTTTTCCTATTTAACATTATATGCAATATTAGTGACAATACAATTTAAAAACTCTAAAATCAGTTACACGCCATGACATTTCTGTGACCCTGATACAAGTTTGTAGAGTCTTAATTTAGAAAGTTTTTAATAACCAATTTTTCCTATTTAACATTGTATGCAATATTATAGACAATAAAAAAACTCTAAAATCAGTTACATGCTATAACATTCCTGTGACCCTGATACAAGTTTGTAGAGAGTCTTAATCTAGAAAGTTTTTAATAACCAATTTTTCCTATTTAACATTATATGCAATATTATAGACAATACAACAAAAAAACTCTAAAATCAGTTACACGCTATAATATTCTTGTGACCCTGATACAAGTTTGTAGAGAGTCTTAATCTAGAAAGTGTTTAATAACAAATTTTTCCTATTTAACATTAAATGCAGTATTATAGACAATACAATAATAAACTCTAAAATCAGTTACACGCTATAACATTCCTGTGACCCTGATACAAGTTTTTAGAGAGTTTTAATCTGGAAAGTTTTTATTAACCAATTTTTCCTATTTAACATTATATGCAATATTAGTGACAATACAACTAAAATCTAAAATCAGTTACACGCCATGACATTTCTGTGACCCTGATACAAGTTTGTAGAGTCTTAATTTAGAAAGTTTTTAATAACCAATTTTTCCTATTTAACATTGTATGCAATATTATAGACAATAAAAAAACTCTAAAATCAGTTACATGCTATAACATTCCTGTGACCCTGATACAAGTTTGTAGAGAGTCTTAATCTAGAAAGTTTTTAATAACCAATTTTTCCTATTTAACATTATATGCAATATTATAGACAATACAACAAAAAAACTCTAAAATCAGTTACATGCTATAAAATTCCTGTGACCCTGATACAAGTTTGTAGAGAGTCTTAATCTAGAAAGTTTTTAATAACCAATTTCTCCTATTTAACATTATATGCAATATTATAGACAATGTAATAAAAAAAACTCTAAAATCAGTTATACGCTATAACATTCCTGTGACCCTGATACAAGTTTGTAGAGAGTCTCAATCTACAAAGTTTCTAATAACCAATTTTTCCTATTTAACAATATATGCAATATCATAAATAATACAATAAAAAAACTCTAAAATCAGTTACACACTATAACATTCCTGTGACCCTGTTACAAATTTGTAGGCATTCTCAACCTAGAATCTTTTTAATAACCAATTTTTCCTATTTAACATTGTATGCAATATACAGACAATACAATAGAAAAAAACTCTAAAATCAGTTACACGCTATAACATTCCTGTGACCCTGATACAAGTTTGTAGGCAGTCTCAACCTAGAATCTTTTTAATAACCAATTTTTCTTATTTAACATTATATGCAATATTATAGACAATACAATAAAAAAACTCTATAATCAGTTACACGCTATAACATTCCTGTGACCCTGATACAAGTTTGTAGAGAGTCTTAATCTAGAACGCTTTTAATAACCAATTTTTCCTATTTAACATTATATGCAATATATAGACAATACAATAAAAAAAAACTCTAAAATCAGTTACACGCTATAACATTCCTGTGACCCTGATACAAGTTTGTAGAGGGTCTTAATCTAGCAAGTTTTTAATAACCAATTTTTCCTATTTAACATTATATGCAATATACAGACAATACAATAAAAAAAAACTCTAAAATCAGTTACACGCTATAACATTCCTGTGGCCCTGATACAAGTTTGTAGGCAGTCTCAACCTAGAATCTTTTTAATAACCAATTTTTCCTATTTAACATTATATGCAATATTATAGACAATACAATAAAAACAATAAAATCAGTTTACACGCTATAACGTTCCTGTGACCCTGATACAAGCTTGTAGAGAGTCTTTTAATAACCAATTTTTTCTATTTAACATTATATTGAGTTCTAGTCATCCTAATGCAATAATCTTTGTGAGAAAGATCAGGAAAGCATAACAGTAGAATGTACATGGTACATGAAACGAACAAAGGATTTGTATGAGGAGGGCAATGTTTGAACCTTCATTATTGGTCATTCCGTATTCATTGAACCTTGGACCCCCATTTTAACTCTTAAACCTTGGTTTTAATTTGTGGGTATTGACTTTCATTAGTTGCATTGTGCCTGCTGAGCTTTGCACGTTAAATTATTGCAGTTAGGAGGATTTTGAACCTTCTATATTCAGTAAAAGACTAAGGTTATGGTTTCTTTGAGAACCTTGGGAATATTGTATTGTAGAACATCTGGTATAATGGCGCCATGGTCTCTATTGCGGTTTTACCTTGACTTTACTTGAGCACCATCTTCAGTACAAGAAATAGGATCCCCACTAGTATTAAGAACACAACGGCTACAAGGCAAATGATGTCCAAAAGGTAGTACTGATACGCGGGGATGTCCAGGTAGGGGCTTCTGAAGTGCTTGGCCCCCTTGTGACGCAACACGTATTCCGTCCACCAAACCGCGCGTTCCAATCCTGTCATTGGTTGATCCGAGGCCAACTCTGCCAACTCGGCAATTCTCCTCTTGTACCTGCAAGTGCATGTACCGTGGGTTCAATACGACCAGTTGCTCACCTGGGGTTAGTTATCACTTCCTCTATGGCGGACTTGAGCTCCTCCTTCCGCAAGTGGTTGTAATCGAGCTTCAATCCGAAACCTCTCTCGAGCATCCTTTCCGCGTTGGAGAATTGGTCCGCGTAGAAAGGGATGGCGATTATCGGGACGTGGGCGTAAATCGCTTCTTCCGTCGACTGTACCCCTCCCTGCGTTATAAATAATTTCACGTTGGGATGCTCTGGAAGAGGTTTCAATGGTGGTTGATGAGTGGACCGGCGCAAAACTTACTTAAGACGTTTGGCTGCGGGAACCATTTGGCCACGTGGACGTTTTTGGGCGCGTCGGGCATGTGGTCGGAATCAAACTTCCACAGGACAGTGTAGGGAAGCTCGGCGAAAGTTGACAGGATCTGCTTCCTGGTGTCGTTTGGTAAATCCTCGCATTTGACGTTCGTTCCCAAGCTGAAGTAGATGGCGCCTTCCGATGCGGAGTCTAGCACGTCTCGTAGGTCCTAAAAATGATTGAGTTGGAGTACGCAGTGAGTTTGGGTACATACAGTGGGCAGGGGGCCGGATGGGATCCGGTAGGATCCGCCGCCTATCTGGATGACGTTTGGAAGAAGCGGTTTCGCTTTGTAGAAGATTGGATCGGAGTTGATGAAGAAGAGGCTGACATTTTGGGCAATCTCCGTCAACGATGGGTAATTGGGCCCAAAGTAGGTTTCGACGAGCGTTTCCTGGGTGGCGAAAAAGTGGTGATTGAATAATACCTCGGTAAACAGCGAAAATGCGACGCTAGTGAAACGTTTAAGTAGCGTCGAGTGATCCGTAAAATGTAGCAAGAATTCCGGATGAATCACGGGATGAATAGGGTTCCCGATTGTCTTCAATGTATGATGCAAGGCATCCATGGAGGTGACGCCAATGTGTGGGCACTTGAACCTTGCCGCAAAGCCGAACATGCTCGGCAGCAGGTATTCCACGATCACCAGGTCGAAAGAGGCGTCGCTCCGTATCAAGCCCTGCACGCGCGGATGGGCCAGCTGCACCCTGGAAAACTCCTGCATCGCCCTCGTAATCCCCGTGACCGACTTAATTAAATCTGTGTTAACATCCTCGATTACCTCCCCCAAAACTGACCGCCATGCGTCGTAGGAGAAATGGAGATTGATTTCGGTCAGATTGGTCAGTTGGGGGTCGTTTATTAGATCGGCCGTGAGGGTAGTTACTTGATGCCCGCGTAGCGATAGCTCTCTCCATAGTGGCTGGAAGACCACCTGGTGGCTGTAGGACGGAAAAGAGATAATTCCCAATATCTTGGCGGAATTTCCGCACGAAATCGCCCAGAGTATCACAAACAGCGCAATCATCGCCGTACAACACCCAGACTGAACGATTGTATAAGCGATTGTTGTTTATCTACGTTTCTCACATAAAGCAATTTAGAATACATGAAGAATCACTTAGGCTTAATTTAAAATACAATTGTACACGTTGTTACCATAGGAAAGCCGAAATTTATGTGCTCAGCCGCTTGGAAACTAACAATTAGCAATTTCAATAGTTCCTTAGCCGGCTTCCAGCTGTACCAGAAGCTTGGCCAAGTGTTAATCAGAAAGAGGCGGTTCTTCAAATTCTTTTTCTTCTTCTTCCTATTTTCTTAGGCGTAGTTTAGAACTGGTTTCGTTGTTCTTCTTGAGAGATGGATTGCCAGCTGTCCTTCCATCTTTTCGGTGGTCTTCCTATAGGACAGTTTTTTCTAATTTGCTCTTCATCCATTTTTATCCTCTTCTTTCCTCTTCCTGCTTTCCTTTGTTTTTTCTACTTCTGTTTCCTCGTGAGTTCTCGATTCCTCCTTTCGATCCCTGCTCATAGTATTTCTAATTTTCTGTCACCAATTCACTTTCTCTTTCCTTCCCTACTTCAAATCTTCCCGCTTTGTGTCCCTCCAGTTCATCCCATTCCTTCCAACCCCATATCTCCTCCCCCAATTGCATCAAAAGGGGGTTTTCGTATTCGGAACTATTTTTTGAATTTTCTCTTTCTTATTCTCCACATGTCCAATCGCCATTTCTCTCTTATTTGTACATTGCACCATTCTTTCGTTGCATCTGGTAATCTAAGTATTTAGATTCTGTCTACTCCTCCCTCCCTCAATTCACCTTCTTTCCTAATCCCAACATCTTCGATTTTCCCTTTCCCAACACCTTCCAATCATTTCCTTTATTTGTTCTACCTCTGTTTCAATTCTTCCTCCACTTTGACGCTGTGTTAATATTTTCTCTATGGCTCTTATCTAAAAGTTAAATAAGGTTGGGCTAAATCTAAGTCCAGAATACTTCAGATTCTTTCTCTCTGATATATATTTTCCCATCATTTTCCATAGCTCTCTTTCTACTCTGTCAAACAATCGTTCCCCTTTCAAACCAATTTCTTTTTCTAACCGTTCATTCAGTACCATGGCATATACAGTGTGTACAATATAACCCGTTGCCGTTTTATTTAAAGTGTTATTAGCACCTCGTATACAAATTAGCGCAACGAAATATTTTGCACCTTGGACCCTAACGCTTTCGTGGTGATTTATTTAAATGGGAACACTTTAATCGGATCGTGCAATGACTCGCAAATATTCACGTACGTACTAAGAATTTTGCTCTCCCACCCGATATTCACTTAACTACTCGTCGAATCCCAAATACGAAACGACCCCAACGCAAACCAAACTGTTCCACTGTTTTTTACACACGCGGGTATAGCAGAGACGATTATTAGAACCGCCAACACTGTAACGTTTCGACTCGTATCTGCGTGAATACTCATTCCTTATCTTAACTTGATTTATTTTCTCGAGTATTAGTTCGGTTCTCTTTCACTACGAAGCGGTACACGTACAAAATTTCCTATACGTAATTTTGTACATATAACATGTAACAGAAAACCTTCATATCCTTTCCGTTTCTTCCTCTTCTATACTTTTTTCTGTTCTTTTCTCCTCTATCCTTTGCTTTATCTCTCTATCATTGTTCTGTATCTGTTTCTCTATTTGGTACAGCCTCTGTCCCACCAATTTTATTATCTCTCATTTCCCCTTTAATTACTTGTTGCCACGTTTTTACCTTTTTTCTTCATATTTTTCCACATCTTCTCTGTACTCTCTCCTATTTCTTCCTTTTGATCCTCTCCTTCTATGTCTACATTGTGTTTGTTGTTCATAACTGTATCTGCCTTCCTCATTGTTTCCATTGGTCAATCTTTTTATCTTCCCTTTAGAGACTCATTTCTATCCTTGTTCCTACCTTAAATCGGCGAACACTTTAATCGGATCGTGCAATGACTCGCAAATATTCACGTACGTACTAAGAATTTTGCTCTCCCACCCGATATTCACTTAACTACTCATCGAATCCCAAATATGAAACGACCCCAACGCAAACCAAACTGTTCCACTGTTTTTTACACACGCGGGTATAGCAGAGACGATTTTTAGAACCGCCAACACTGTAACGTTTCGACTCGTATCTGCGTGAATACTCGTTCCTTATTTTAACTTGATTTATTTTCTCGAGTATTAGTTCGGTTCTCTTTCATTATGAAGCGGTACACGTACAAAATTTCCTATACCGGCAATTGTACATCTAACAGAAAACCTTTTAAGCCTAAAGCGACCACTTGTTATTCTTCTTCATATCCTTTCTGTTTCTTCCTCTTCTGTACTTTCTTTTCTGTTCTTCTGTCCTCTAACCTTCACTTTATCTCTCTATCATTGTTCTGTATCTGTTTCTCTATTTTGTACAGCCACTGTCCCACCAATTTTTCTCACTATCTCTCATTCCTCCCTTAATTACTTGTTGCCACGTTTTTACCCTTTTCCCTTATATTTTTCCACACCTCTGTACTCTCTCCCATTTCTTCCTTTTGTTTCTCTCCTTCTATGTCTCCATTTTCTTTCTTGTTCATAACTGTATATGCCTTCCTCATTGTTTTAATTGCTTGATCTTTTTATCTTCCCTTTAGACTCATTTCTATCCTTGTCCATACCTTAAATCTTTTCGGTATTTTTTCGTTTAATAGTACCTATATAATCAGTTACCGAGCTCTCTCTTTCTCCCATGCATGAGTATTGGGCGTCTCTATCCCCCTCGATATTTCCTTTTAAAATTCTTCATCCTCTATTTTTCTTTGTTGCATTCTTTACTTCTTAACTTTGTATATTGCTCCTCTTCCTCTCTTTCACCTACTTTATTTTCTACTTTATTTTTTAACTCTTTCATTCCTTCTCTGTTGTATATAGTTATCACTCTCATTTTCTTCTCCTCTAATTCCACTCGTCTTTCCTGTATGCCTTTCTCCTCTTCCATTTTCTCTCCATTCCCTTATCTCTTTTTTTACCCTTGTTACTGTTCCTCCTTCCACCTTCCCTCTGTTATCACTCTTCGTAAATTCTCTATTTTTTTTATAATGTCCCAGTTATTTTCATCGATCTTCTATTATGAGAATCCTAAGGGCTAAACGTTTTATGGGGGAAAGTGTAACAGTGGGATCTGGGGGTAAAGAATACCCCTTAGTATACAGTAGTTCCATTGTTATATCCAAAACCCATGAGAAACCGAGGGTCACAGGGAAAGGAGTTACCGAGTGGTTCTTTGCCGAGGGTTCCCTTTGCTGGGGAGGGGGAGAATTCCACACCGCCCAGACTTCCGGTGTTATGTTCAATGCAATACTTGTTTGCAGAAGAGGATCTTAGCCATTCCAAATATAGCGCAACGAAATGTTTGGCACCTTGGACCCGAACGCTTTCGCGGTAACAATTTAATTAAATGCGACCACTATAATCGCATCTTCCCAGGACCCGCAAATACTCACATACGTATTAAGAAAGTAATTTATTCGTACTGTATTTTCAATTGGTCATAAATTCGCCATCATTTTCTTGTTGCTAAATGTATGAAGTACTCACGAGAATAAATTCGTCGGAAATGGCACGATCTTCGGTTGCGCGGCTAACGGCATTTGGTTCGAACTTTTAATTAAAAATGAAATTTTACGCGATCTCCAAAAAAAGGCGCACGCCACTGAAAGGCTTGGCAACGTATTTTGTTTTACGCGATCTATAAATTTCCGCGCGCATGTTTTCCCCAAAGGTCTCGCTAAAAATTCAATACGCGATCGAAAAAATTCGGCATAATTCTCGTCGAAGGTTTGAGTAGGAATTTCGCTCTCCCACCCGATTTTTACTTAAGTACTCGCCGAATCTCAAATACGAAACGACACGCAAAGCAAACGCTCACACTGTTTTTTATACATGCGAAGGTATAGGAGAGGCTGCTCTTCCCACGCTCCGCAGCGACGGTTCTTAGAGCTGGCAACACTGCAACGTTTCGACTCTTATTTGCTTGAACACTACTTTCTTTTTTTAACGTCCTTTATTTTCTCTTTCATAGTGAAGCGGTACACGTATAAAATGTCTTCTCGTTTACTAGTACCTAAGAAATTACCGACACCCCTCTTGCTCCCATGAATCTGTATTAGCCGTCCCTATCATCCTCCATATTTTCGTTTAAAATTCTCCATCATCCCTTTTCTGATAGTTCTCCCTCTTTGTTGCATTCCTTATCTCTTGACTTTCTATCTCGTGTTGCTCTTCCCATCCGTACCCATTTTCCTTTATTCTCTGTTCTGGCGTTTAAATCTCCCCCTAATATTTGCCCCTTCTACGCCATTTCATATACCATGTTTTTTTTTAACCCTTTCACCCCTTCTCTACTATAAATACTTTCTTCGATTCGTCTTTCCTGTAAGTCTCCCTCCTCTTTCATTTTCTCTCCCATTCCATTATCTCTTTTTTAAAACTCCTTTTACTCTTCCCTCCATGTTATCCCTCTTCGCAAATTGGTTCTTCCATAATTATGTCCTCACTCGATATCCTATTTCTTCCAGTTCTTTTAATCTATTCATGATTCCACCACCCCCACAACATCATACCCTCATCCCAGAGTGCAATCCCCGCCTCATTTCAGAACACCATCTTTACGCTTTTCCTCGTTCTTCTGTTGTTCGTTTCTGTCTCCTCTCCCTAACCCTTAAAGACCCCCCCCCTCGTTTTAATACAATACTTGTTTGCAGAAGAAGCTCCGATAATTTTCTAAAAAACTATTTATTTATTGTCCCTTTGTTCTGGGCTCTCCACAGACTTTCTGATCAGAATTATATACATGCGAAATACAGTGATTTTGTGGGAGAATGTGTAATCGGGGGGTTTCCCTGTATACAGTGGTTCCATTACCATTTCCAGAACCCATGAGACTACCGAGGATTAGAGGAAAAGGAGCGGCCGAGTGGTTTCTTACCAAGAGCTCTCTCTGCTGGGGCGTATTCCATACCTCCCAGATCTCCCGGTGTTGTGTTCTAAACAATACTTACTTCCGGAAGAAAATCTGATAACTATTACGAAAATAATAATAATAATAATAATATTTACAGTCCAAACAAGTAATAAAATAATACTCTTATAACAGGACAATATCTAAAAAAGAAATATTAAACTTATTAAACAAAACAAGAAAAAAACAAAAAAAAATCCTAAGGCTAAACGTTGGGGTGGGGGGAGGAGTGTAACCGGGGGTCGGGGGGAAGGGGTTATGGACCAACCCCCAGCATACATGTGTTTGCTCTTTATTTATCATCGTCCTCGCGCTGAACATAAAACCATTACCAATTATAGAAATTTAATTTTCTACGGAACGGAATTCTATTGGTCCTTCTCTTTGTTGCGTTTACGAACACAGGTCCGTATAACTAGCCGGAGTGCCAACTTAAAAAGGACATATGCGGCGCCTGATAATACCGCGAGTATCACAAGCAAAACGCAAATGACATCCAGCAACAAATACTGGTAGGTGGGGATCTCCAGAAAAGGGCTTCGGAGATGCTTGGCGCCCTTGTGGCGTAACACGTACTCCGTCCACCAGACGGCGCGTTCCAGTCCCGTCATCGGCTGATCCGAAGCCAATTCTGCCAGTTCGGTGACCTTCTTCTTGTACCTGGAAGATCATGAACCATGACTGAAATTTTCAATTGTTCCTACCGGGGGTTAGTTATGACCTCGATTATCGCGGATTTAAACTCCTCCTTTTGCAAATTCGTGTAGTCGAGCGACAGTCCGACGCCTCTCTCAAGCATCCTCTGCGCGTTGAAGAACTGGTCCCCGATGAACGGTATGATTATCATGGGAACGTGTGCGAAAATGGACTCGTCCATTGACTGTAGGCCTCCTTGGGTTATAAACAGCTTGACATTGGAGTGCCCTGGAAGACACAGTTATCATCGACCACAAAAAGCGTACCGGGTGACCCAATAAGACTGTTCCTCGGGGCGATATCTCGGGAACCGTTCGTCGTATCAAATTTTTGGGTAAATCGGTTATGAAGAATCGCTGAAAAATATTTTCAAGTTCTAAAAATGACCAGCAGAGGGCGTAACTACCATCTTAAATTTTAAAAATGCATTTTCTTTAAATTTCGCATAATAAACTAAACATTCTTTTTTCACATTTTTAAAGAGAACCAGTTTATCTATCATTTTTGTAAAAACAAAAACTCAGTTATTTCAAAAACAAAGATGGCGTGGGGCGTTCAATTGTTTTTGCAATAACCTGCTTTACCTTCTTAACCGTTTGATCGACTGTAACAAATTTGGTATCGTTGAAAAGAGCATTCCTTGGGCAACAAGAATCAAAATATAGTTAATTTAGTTGAATCTTTCTCCGCCAGGGGGCTAGTTTTGACACTATGATCCAAAATCCTAAAAAAATCAAAAAAATCAAATGGAATGATATGACCTTTTCTTTATGAAAAAGTAGCCAAATAACATACAAAGAGGCCAGTGAAAACCGTTTTTCAAAATCTCGTTTTTAATTTCAAATATTGGGAAAATGAGATTAATAAATTAATTCATTAAAATGCTTAAATTGTATCTTATTCGACGTATTTCCGGTATTTGTCGATGGCGCAGAAGATTGTTTGGAAAAGCACCCTACACTTTTAGGTAGGCCTTGGAAAATTAAACAAATGATACACGATGCATTATAAAATAATAACAGCCGTAATTTGTAAATTTTGCTGCTGTGTTTACATTCAGAAAGTGCAGTTTTTTGAATTTTTTTGAGGCCCGAAACAAAAATTGTCTCAGATCGACCCGGAAAAAAAATTTTCTTATAGAATGTGGCCTGTAGAATCCATAATTTCAAACAGTTCCCAGATTGGGCTACTAGTTCAAAAGTTACAGCCCTTTGAATTTTCTTTCGAAATTGGTTTCTAGTCTATAACTTTTGATTGAGAAGTCTGATCGAAAAAGTAAGAATTGTTTTGGATTCTACGCACCAAAATTAATAAGAAAAAGTGTTTTCCCGAGAAATTTTGGTGCAGTCGATTTTTGGTAAAAAAGGAAGGTTGTACACTGCCTTTTTTGAGGCCCGAAAAAAAAATTGTCTCAGATCGACCCGGAAAAAAATGTTCTTATAGAATGTGGCCTGTAGAATCCATAATTTCAAACAGTTCCAAGATTGGGCTACTAGTTCAAAAGTTACAGCCCTTTGAATTTTTTTTCGAAATCGGTTTCTAGTCTATAACTTTTGATTGAGAAGTCTGATCGAAAAAGTACGAATTGTTTTGGATTCTACGTACCAAAATTAATAAGAAAAAGTGTTTTCCCAAGAAATTTTGGTGCAGTCGATTTTTGGCTAAAAACGAAGGTTATCCACTGCCTTTTTTTGAGGCCCGAAAAAAAAATTGTCTCAGATCGACCCGGAAAAAAATTTTTCTTGTAGAATGTGGCCTGTAGAATCGATAGTTTCAAACAGTTCCAAGATTGGGCTACTAGTTCAAAAGTTACAGCCCTTTGAATTTTCTTTCGAAATCGGTTTCTAGTCTATAACTTTTGATTGAGAAGTCTGATCGAAAAAGTACGAATTGTTTTGGATTCTACGCACCAAAATTAATAAGAAAAGTGTTTTCCCGAGAAATTTTGGTGCAGTCGATTTTTGGTAAAAAAGGAAGGTTATACACTGCCTTTTTTTGAGCCCCGAAAAAAAAATTGTCTCAGATCGACCCGGAAAAAAAATTTTCTTATAGAATGTGGCCTGTAGAATCCATAATTTCAAAAAGTTCCAAGATTGGGCTACTAGTTCAAAAGTTACAGCCCTTTGAATTTTTTTTCGAAATTGGTTTCTAGTCTATAAATTTTGATTGAGAAGTCTGATCGAAAAAGTACGAATTGTTTTGGATTCTACGCACCAAAATTAATAAGAAAAAGTGTTTTCCCGAGAAATTTTGGTGCAGTCGATTTTTGGCTAAAAAGGAAGGTTATACACTGCCTTTTTTTGAGGCCCGAAAAAAAAATTGTCTCAGATCGACCCCGGAAAAAAAATTTCTTATAGAATGTGGCCTGTAGAATCCATAATTTCAAATAGTTCCAAGATTGGGCTACTAGTTCAAAAGTTACAGCCCTTTGCATTTTTTTTTGAAATTGGTTTCTAGTCTATAACTTTTGATTGAGAGGTCTAATCGAAAAAGTACGAATTGTTTTGGATTCTACGTACCAAAATTAATAAGAAAAAGTGTTTTCCCAAGAAATTTTGGTGCAGTCGATTTTTGGCTAAAAACGAAGGTTATCCACTGCCTTTTTTTGAGGCCCGAAAAAAAAATTGTCTCAGATCGACCCGGAAAAAAATTTTTCTTGTAGAATGTGGCCTGTAGAATCGATAGTTTCAAACAGTTCCAAGATTGGGCTACTAGTTCAAAAGTTACAGCCCTTTGAATTTTCTTTCGAAATCGGTTTCTAGTCTATAACTTTTGATTGAGAAGTCTCATCGAAAAAGTACGAATTGTTTTGGATTCTACGGACCAAAATTAATAAGAAAAAGTGTTTTCCTGAGAAATTTTGGTGCAGTCGATTTTTGGTAAAAA